TCGGTTTACATCTTCTGCCCCTGCGGACCTTAATTCCTTATGGTCCTAGTTCCCGTGTGGGCTTTCTAGGTTTGTGGTCTTAGTTTCCTTACGGCCTTGTCTGGCACGTGTCTGTTAGTGCCTTGCGGGACGCGGGCCCTTGTGGTTACTAAGCCCTTATAGTCTCTAGGCCCGTGTGGGCCTTTTACCTATAAGGTCTTTCTGACCCTGCAGGTTGATTTCCCTTGAGGTCCATAACAACAAGCTAGCTAAACAAGCTACAACACGTCTTAGAGAACATAACTTCCTACCCTTAATACCGCTGCAAGTTAAAACAACTCTCGAAGCAGCACATAAGCAATAGAATAAAGAATAGAGAGCGTTAGAGAAAGGCTAACACCTCCGCAACGTAGATACAGCGGTTCCTAGACTACACGTAAGGTACCTCTACGACAAGCTCCTACGTAACCTAGCAGGGCTACTAGCCCAGTTAAGAACTAGCTACTACTAGCTTAACCAGCACCGAAAACGAATAGGACGGATAAACAACGATAAATACGAATACGGGGATATAGAATCAATATCCTATGTGTTACTAGACTGTTCCCTACTCTAGGAAAATCGGCAAAAAATGTATTAAGAAACCGGACTCTAGAGAAACTACCTCTCTAGCCTCCTAGGCGGTAAACCAACAGACAAGAACTAGCCGCACATAGAAAAGAGGAAATAGACAATTTCAGCCGCTCAACTCAAAAGGGTACTTAAATTCGCTCAACAAACAAAAAGATTCCAGAGTAGAGACGACATCAACCAGTAAAACCCTATCTTATTCCCATTCTTCTACCTTTCCTTATCCTATCTCTGTTCCCCTTTCTCCTTATACTCTCAGATTAAATTACTAGTGTAAATTCCTAGCGTAATCCTTTAAATAGTCTATAGCCTGCATATCGCTTAGGGCGATAGGTCAGGGTAAATGAATACAACTCAACTCAACTCAACTCAATCAATCATATAAGTTAGGCTAGGATCTAGATTATTAGTATTTCCTATATATATTTAGACCACGCTCTCTAGCAGTAGATAGGACCTTCGTAGTCAACTCAAAGTATTAATCTCTACTAAAGGTTAATAGTAACACGCCTACTCCGATCCCTTACGTGACTTGTCTCTTAACTCCTACACTTCTTGTCCTTAAGGTAAACCCTTCGAACCGATTCACCCGCTAAGCAATTCCAACGCTTAGGCTGAAGAGGCCTCGTTACATTAGGTTAGGAAGAAGCTCTCTAGCTATTAGTATATTACTATATATATATTTCTACGCTTTATTATTAGTTACTCTACTACTATAACTTAAGTGCAACCTTCGTTCCTTCGCTACTAGTAAGTACTAAGGCTAGCTTCTCTCTCCATGGTCCCGGATCGCAATTTTCTATCTTGCGAAACGTCTGCATTAAACGAACAATCGTGTAGCTTGCCTCTGTTAAAGCGAGCTGCTGGCCAACACATATTCTCGGTCCACCGTTAAAGGGAACAAAGGCCCAGCCAGGTCGCAGCGGCCCGCCTTCTGCATCGGCAGCCCAGCGCTCTGGGAAAAAGTCGTTCGCATTTGGTCCGTACACAGCCGGCAGTCGGTGAATGGAATAAACCGAAAAGTGCATCATTGTCCCCTTGGGAACAAATGCAGGAGCCTTACCATCTGCACCGCCGCCACATGGAAGCGTCGTGTGCGTTGTAGCATATCTTATGTTGACTGGGACGGGAGGAAATAATCGGAGGGCTTTGTTACATCAGCCTCACCCTTACAAGTAAATCGCGATCGCAGACTTACTCTCGTTCAAGACGCTCTTCAGGTACTGCATGTCCTTCAGCGCTGTGTAATCGGGGAGCGATCCTCCCAAAGCGTCGACTTCTTCCCTGAGCTTGTGCCATACTCTGGGATTTCTCGCCAATGCGTGAAAGACACTGCTTAGCAGGCTTGCTGTCGTGTCTCGTGCAGCCAGCATGACGCTAAGCAGCTCATTGCGCAACTGCGTGGGATCTGTGGTTTCTTTGACCAGCTCGTTGAGAAGATTGTAGCGCTCCAGCTTCGCGGTTTCAGGGGGTCGCTCAAGTGCCTGTGCAATGTATTTGTCCGCAAACCCGTGAACAATCTTACAAGCATCTCGGAACTTGGTCTCGCGCAGCAGAGCTCTGAACCGACCTATCCGGACACGGATCAGTAAGTGTGCTTGGGCCATGTCGAAAGCGCGAGAAAAAGCTTGCGACTCCGATCCCTCGAGCGCTAGCTGGGAGTTAATCGAGTGCCCGAATAGAAACTCCGAGGCGCTATCGAGGGTGAAGTTAAAGAACAACGGCTGTAGGTCCACGGTTGAGCCGTCGGTTGGAATTCTTGCCAATAAGTTTTGGATATGGGTCTCAATTGTTTCCAGCTGGGCCAACTGTGCTTTGGTAAAGCTGGGCCGGATAAGAGCCTATGTTTCAATGTTAGCCGTGATTCACCTTACTGTGCGTAGGTTTGCTTACCCTCGAATGTTGCCATTGTATGCCGTCAGCCGTAAAAATGCCACTCCCGAGAAACGGACCAAACGCGTCGATTCTTTGACCCAAACCGAAATCTTTGAAGTTGGTAGCAAGTATCGCTTTGATGTTTTCTGGATCTGCAGTTGTAATGACATGTTGTCCCATGACAACAGCGGAAGCCGTATAACCGCTTGAAAGTGTCCGCTTCAAGCCTTCTTCCAGGCTGGTTTTTTTGCCTTGCTTAGACTTAATAGTCTTGTAGAGTCCGTACCCGATGATGCGCTCTGCCTGTGGGACTTTTGCTGGAGGAAGGCAACCTTTCGCACGCATGAATTGATGCGCTTCAATTGAGGATACAATGAGACCTGCACATATGTACAAGACAACCACCCCGGGGGCAATCAAAACTAAATTTTGGCAATCCATAATGTTGCGAAAAAAAAAAAAAAGCTGTTTGGTTGTTCCTACAGTACACCTTAGCAAACATCTTATAAAACGAGGGGAGAGCAGTGCGGTGAGTGGAAGCATGTGAGTGACTGTGAATCATCTTACTGTTTCTCTAAATCACGATTACATCTTACCTGCATGCTTACGACCGACATATTGCCTGTCTTAGCCTGAATCATTGGTGGCGCACACAGCGGCTTAGCAGGCTGCAGCGTCCCTTGCATGAACGGCCTTGTTACTTGAAGAGTTTTATCCGCCGTGATTATTCAGCTTGTTCGGAGTCTAAAAAGCACGCTTATATTCAGCCCGCCTCGGCTCTATCTGAGATCTCAGCAACAATGACTCCTCGCATTCTTTGCCTTCACGGAGGCGGCGCCTCTGCTGCTATTTTCCGCGCCCAATGCCGCAATCTTGTCTCAGGACTCCGAGACAACTATGAACTCATCTTCGTCAACGGACCCATTGTTTCCAACCCAGGACCTGGTATACTACCGGTATTCGCCGACTTCGGGCCTTACTATCTCTGGTTTTCCGCTCAAGAATATACAACCGACGGACTTGCCATTCTCAGCCAAGCTCTGGATGACGCACTCATTCGAGAAGGGCTGACGCCGGCTGATATATCCGGAGTTATTGGATTCTCTCAGGGCGCTGCAGCCGCATGCGTGCTACTTTTACAGGCTCGATTTGGGGACAGTCGCTGGGCCAGACTCAGTTTTGCCGTGCTTATCTGCGGTGCATGCAACCAGAACCTAATTAACCTGATTGGCAATCCGCTTTCCGTCCGGTCTATGCACGTTCACGGCTTAAAGGATCAATGGTTATCAGGCGGCCAAATGCTCTCCACTTGTTTCGAAACAAAACTCGCCGAAACCATCGAGTTCCAAGGGGGCCATCACATACCGAGAAATCCTCAAGACATAGAGCAGATACTCGAGTTCATTCGGAATGCCAGTGTAAACTGAAACAAGGTTTCTTTCAGCGCTACATAAGCTCTCGATCAGCCCATTCTTTGAGTTACTCTGGCTGGTTTTAATTTAGCATTTTCCGGGGGCGTAAGCGTTTTGCCATGTGGAGATGTCTTTGCTGCGAAATTTGTACTTAAAATAGCAACAGATCCAACAGTTGGCAACTACTCACCAGTTGTAAGCAGGGCGCTCGGAGAAGTCGCTACCGATCAGCCTAATTTCCTTCATTTTAGATGACTTTAACTATTTTCGGCAGGTGATCTAGTTACTACGTTTCCAGAATTATGTGGGATCCGAATCACAAGATTATTAGGAAATGTCAGATTTTAGTCACTCATGCATGTCAGACATGCTTATGGGGCGAAACACTATTTTGCTGATGAATCACTGCGGCCAGTTACCGTCTTTCAGAAGTATCTCTGTCTTCAGAACTACTTCTAAAATAATTCGCACATGTTGATAGAAGGTCTTCTACAACTCTGAAGAAAATGTCGAGCGTCGCTTGGAGAACAATTTTTGCCACATCCGTCTTTTCATCTTTTGCCCTCGTTCGATATGTGCCAGAGCTCCTGCCCAGTCCTAAACCGACATTTATAGCAACCTTCGCTCAGATTTGGGCAGCACAAGTCACAATATGGGTACTGTGGAAGGTATTCCTAAAGCCGAAGTACCTGTCGCCATTGAAGCATCTTCCTGGGCCTAGCGGAGGATCTTTTTGGAATGGGCAATTTAGGATGGTTTATGGCCTCGGGACGGGCGAAGCAGAAGCCAAATGGTAGGACATCGGTAGACAAAGCAAGGTCAAAAGCTAACTGACCTGCCACAGGATGGAATCTGTCCCTAATAACGGGTTTATTCGATATCTATCGCAACTCAACCAAGAACGTCTCATTGTAACATCTCCCACCATCATTGCCGAGATATGTATGAGAAGCTACGAATTTATTAAGCCTCCCGTACTTATCCTCCTGGCCGGACGACTACTCGGAATAGGCCTTGTTCTTTCTGAGCGGGACCAGCACAAGAGACAACGCAAAATGTTCTTGCCAGCTTTTGCGCCCAAGCATATCAAGGAACTGTATCCGACTTATTGGGCAAAAGCGAAGGAAGTAACTGCAAAGCTAACAGACCATCTACGCCACAACGATTCTGCTTTCGAAGTAGGCCATTGGGCATCGAGGTCGGCCTTAGATATCATCACTCTGGCGGCCTTCGGCAAAGATTTTGGCGCCATTCAGGATCCGGAATCTCCTCTCAGCAAGGTCTATCGGACTGTTTTGACACCTACTAGAGGTTTCCTGATATTGACTATGCTAAAAATACTTGTTCCGGCATGGATTGTTGGCCTGATACCCGTTAAATACAACACCTACCAAGATGAGGCAGTCAAAACGATCCGGAGAACTTGCCGTGAGGTTCTTCACGAGAAGAAGCACAAGCTTGCAAACAAGTCACTCGAAGACAAGGACATTCTCAGCGTCTGCCTCAAATACGAAGAGGTTGCGCATGTAGATGAGGAAGCAGTGATCGACCAGATGACAACCTTCCTTGCAGCGGGCCATGAAACAATTGCCGTCGGCATCACTTGGGCCATTTACATGCTCTGTGTACACCCCGAGTGGCAGTCTCGGCTTCGAGACGAAGCTCGCACAACCATCTCACCTCCTACTGGCAATAGTCAAGTCACAAGCACCGACGTGGAAAGAATGCCGTACCTGCAAGCTTTCTGCAACGAAGTCCTCCGCTGGTATCCGCCCATTCCTGCCACCATGCGGGAAGCCACCGCGGACTGCGTCTTGGACAATCAGTTTATTCCTAAGGGAACGCGTCTTTTCATTTCTATCAAAGGCATGAATCGTGATGAGCGTTTTTGGGGACATGATGCCAAACTTTTCAAGCCGGAACGCTGGCTCGGCCCAGATAACCGCTTGGACGCAATAGGCGGGTGTAATACCAAGTACGGCTATCTGTCGTTTATGCAGGGCCCGCGCAACTGCGTGGCACAGGCATTTTCCAAGGCCGAAATGGCTTGCATGGTCGGAGCTTGGATAAGTCGATTCGAGTTCCGACTTGATAATGAAAATCTGTTGGACGAGACCAAGATGGAAATCTCAGGTGGTAGTTTCTCAGGGAAGCCATTACATGGGCTTCATGTGAAAGCAAGGATTTTGGAGGATTGGTAAATGATACTTTGGACAAATGAGTTAGCATGTAGTTAACAAGTATATCGCCGCAGCCAACTTGAACACACTATCTCTTACCTACAGATCTTGTATTTAGTGTATAGGCACGGATGGAGACGTGAAAGGCGCGGTCATATGGTCTGAAATCTTCAAATCACCAAGTTGTTTTTTCAGATGGCGAAACATAAATTACAACTTCGACAAATCATGAGAAAAGCGAGATACAAGACGATGGCATTGTCTGGCATGACCATGCTCAGCTCGGTATTGCAGGCTAGCGAGGCAAACATCTTCTCGACTCGTCCAGGACTTCAAACTGCTACGGTCCTTTACCTGCCAGTAACTTGAAGCTCGTGATAAGGGAAACCAGTGGACAGTTGCCTGCATGATGGGGCGGGCTTATTGAAATCGCAGATCGAGGACGCGTACGCGGGCCAGATGGACAAGTTGCCGGGAAGTGCAAGAGCTTTCCGGGGATTAGTGCATATCAGTGTTGCTTGCTTCGATTGGAATTACTGATGGCTGAAAGATACTTGGAGGGAGCTGAAATAATGGCTCCAAACCAGCGATTGGAACTGTTGTTCCCTCTGTATTCTTTGAACGTCTCTGAAATGCAGTGACTGGTGAAGAAGATCATGCAAACATTGTCACTGTGATTATAGTAGACATGTGTGCGAGCGGAAGAGGAGGGATAGCTAGTTCGCTAAAGTGTTTATTCTCAGGTATGGTATCTCGAAAATGCTACGTACTTCGACTTTAGCAACCATGCCGCTGAATGGTAGAGTCGATATGGCGGTTGTCCGAGGTTGTAGCGCGAACTGCTTTGGCGATATAAGGTTAATGCTGTTGGAAGGGAGTAAGATTGAGAACGGTTATTGCGAAGGGAGTTACTGCAGAGGTGTATCGGAAGAGAAAAGGGTTACTGCGGTGGTAGCACTCTGGGTTGTCTTTTTCGCTTGATCGGGCAAGATGACCGAGACGCTATCGCTGTCGCCTCTGGCCAATGTGACTTCGTACCGCTGACGAGAGATACGAGAGTGACGAAGCGAAGTCGAACTCATCACACCGGCCATAACGCAGATCCGTCCAACTTGCGTGCTTGCCATATCCGTCTTCGGAGGTTCAGAGAGGTGACAGTAGGTAGGGCACATCCGAATGGACTGCCCGTCCCGGCGGTATCACCGGCGGCACCGACGTTTGTTCGCGGGGTAGCCAATTTGAAATCTTGTCCGGTCCCAATATTTCCCCTGTGCGACTACGCATAAACTAGACCGACAAACGTCTCTGGACGACGCCGTCCCAGCCCGACGAGTTTGTGACCCAGCAAAGCTCTCGTCAAGCTAACCACCAGACGCACTCTAGGAAGCGGATGTATTTCCTGTTCGGCGACAGCATCGCGCATCGCGTCGCATCATCTTTGTCCGCCGCGGCGCGAAAACGTCATCGCCGACGCGAATCGCCCAGCATGCCTCCAACGGCCATGTTCCCTCCCAGCGGTATCCAATGCGCGCCACTACATTCTCGCCTGCCGGTGACACCGAGTGAGCGACTGGGGGCATGCTCTGGCGAGAGTTTTCGTAGATGGTCGCATCTGAGAGCTATAACGACGCGTTCGACGTGATTTTGGCGTCGATGCTGGCGCGGTGTTCGAACGACGCGGGTGAGGTTCAGTAGAGTACGGGTACGCGGTGCGATTACGAGTTGAGTGCGGATGGAGGTCATGGTGCGCCATCTATAGCGACTGCGCTGAGTTGTTAGCATCATGGTCATTCGGGAGGGGGATGATGGTGTCGAGGTGATGTCAAGGGCGGGGTGCGCCCGGAGGAGCTAGAGTACCTAGTCGTACAACCAACAACGGTCCGGTAGATCACCCGCGGCGATCGCAACCAGGTACACCAGAGTACAAATAAGAGGAAAACACTACGACTACATGGATCGTTGTCGTCGAAGATGCAGAAGTCGTGGATGCGCGAACGACTGGGCCACCGTCGCGACAAAGCCGCAGATCCCTACCATCACCCGCCTATCCTCCCTCGCGCTCGACCTCCGCCGCACGATGACGGCCAGGCTACGGCTCAAAGCGCATTCTTCCAACGTCTGCCCGTAGAGCTGCGGCGCATGGCCTTAGTGGCCGCCTTTGGCGACACTACTCTCCACATGCACCTTGAACACAACTACCCGCCAGTAGTGAAAAGGAGATTGTCGCTACCATGGGAAACGCACTTGAACCTCGCCGTCACCCTAACTTCAGGCCTGAACACAATCTTGGATAGAGACAACGAAAAGGCTAAAGAGTGGCTGTGGTGGGGCTGTGTCTGTCACCGAAACCCACCCAAGGGCCTTGACATCGGGTGGCCGGACGGTGTGCCGCCGTGGCGCGATTCGTGTCTTAACGGAGGAAACGGGTACTGCGAGCTGTGGCCAGGAGAGTGGCCCGAAAAGTGTCGCGTTGGCTGCATGGGGTGGTTGAGGTCGTGTCGGCAAGCGTGAGTCTGGAAGACGCCACAGTCAGGGTCGACAAGGCGGAGGGTTCTGACGTGTTTTCAGCTATGTCGAAGGGGTCGATGTGCTATACGCCACCAACACGATGCACATTACCACTCTTGTCCTGGTCGAGCACGCCCCGTCACTCTTCCTTCGGCAGTCACTCTCGCGCATCAAATCCCTTGAACTGATATGGCGCCAGCCAGTAGGTCGGTACGCAGCGGAAGGGGTGCCTTACCTAGAGCCTTACGCGGGGCCAGAGGATGCTTCTGCACAGCCTTGCCCAGAAACAAAGCCCCTCATGTCACTCACTCGCTGGCTTCTAGAGGGATTCCCGGGATTAAAGGAGTTGTACCTTTCCCTTGAACACTACAAGCCCTATCCACACGGTCCCTTTCTTAGCGTAGGGCCTTACCCGCCGCGCGAGCACGTTGAAGATTTGGAGCAGGAGTATCTGACGTCGGTGGATGAAATGGTCCGGAGATTAGGGCCCGGGCTGAAAGATTGCAGCATTGCTCTTCCAGATGATCTGTATTCGGCGCTGCGAAAACGGGCATTGCGGGCCGGAGTGACAGCCGATTCTATAGGAGGGAGGTGGACGGGAGAGGGATTCTGGAGAGGGTTGGGAGATGATGAGGCCGTCAAGGGGTACTGGATAAGAGAAGGCCCTGTATGAAGAGAAGACAGACGTCATTGTCGCAAAGACAAAGACAAAAAGTTTCAAGGCGTGCGAAACGAAATGAAAAAGTAGCGAAATGAGAGAGTCTGTGAGAGTCCCATGGAGATGGACGTGCAAGGTTTAGCGCGGGGCATTGGGGTGCGGGCACGCGGGGAACTAAGGCCGGATTAACCGACATTTTGGCGACCGACGCGCGAAAAGATGCTCGCAAGTTGCGCATCATCTCGTACATGGATGCCCAAGTGAAGCAGTCAAAGCCAACATCGTCACGTCGTATCAATGTGTTAGTGCCGCGACCCACGGCAATCAAGGCCCAGACACACCGCCAGAAAATTTGTCCGCCACATGCTCCGCAACAGCCCGTGTCCCTGAACACGACAGCGCCGCGCACCCAGTCGGCCCGATGGCCGAAGCAGGTCAAGCAACCCTCACACCACTGCGCAAAAAAACTTGGCATTCGTGGCCAGTCGAGGCCGGCGTGGGCGGGCGAGACGGGTCAAACAGCAGGGCGATTAGGATCGGGAAGGACGAAGGAGTGCGGTGTTTGTCATCCTTTTGCAGCCCAAAGGCAACCGGGGGCTTAGCGACCGGTGACCACTGACAGCGACCGTGGTGCCATGCGCGCATTGATGGGGGGCACGTGGGGGAGTAAATTGCGAAGGAAGCAATGGAAGGGTGGGGTGCGTGTGGGTGAGAAGCCTGAAAAAGCTGGAGAGTGCCGGGGAAGAAGTTGAGGCTCGACTGATGTTGAGAAGAATTGCCGCGGAGGAGATGGCCCAACATGACAAGGCCAAGCGTTACCACGAAACGGCAGTGGCGGAGGCGCTCGACGATCAGTCGATTGTTGGGTTGATTCGGCCGAGAAAATCGGCAGCCGCCACTGCCGTTGCATCCGTCAGGCTGGTGGACTGGACAAACCGGGGTGTAAATCCGAACGTGCGTCTGGGGGGTCCCCGGTGCCCGGAGGTCGGGGCGAATGTCGGGGGGTAATCGGGGACACTGGGGAGACAATCGGGGGGGGAATAGTCGGGGGCCCGTGGGGGCCAGAAAAACGGGTCTTGCGGAGGCCGAGGGGCCCCGTGGGTCCACAGCCTTACCACTTTGAGATCTGCGATCTGGATAGAGCCGCAAAACCTCAACTTTTTCAGCCTTCTCTGGATAAAGAATTCGGGTATATTCTGCTATAGAGCATCTCCATTTTACCCGCTTCCAACGGCTCGGAACACTTGCATCAAAAGTGCGAATAAGCTTTGCCACTGGGCTTGTGGCTTGAACGCCTGTCCATCACCGCGCGCCGCCTGCCGCGCCGCCTGCCGCATCTGCCCTGCATTCTAGAAAGGGGACCGAAGAAATTTTTTTCTTCTTCGTCGACAAGCGAAACAACGGCCAGAATGCTACCGTGTCCTTTGTCAGAGCCTTCGCGAGGCTTGCGGCTCTAGAACTTGGCTCGCTTCGAATGCCGGCTGCCGAGTCATCACTCCCGCGGCGCCGATGGCGTGAATCTCGTCGCACGGCATCTGCTGAGTGCAGGATCATCAGTGGGTCACGCTATTAGTCTCCGGAAACGGCAGCGGAACCGCCAGGTACAGCCAATCGCTTGCCTCTCTCGATGCGGCCCGCCACCAGCACGTGTCGCCGGCCCTTTTCGCTTCAGGAACTCGACCGTGGTCGAGGGCAAAAGATTTCCTTCCGAACCCTCCCACCACTATATAATCGCTTCCCAGCCCTGGTCAAGACCTTTTCGTTTCATCCCAAGTTCCACTCGACAAAGAGAAACACATCCAACAAACAATCACTCCTCCTCTCCTCCCCTCCACCCTCCTCCAAAATGGGCTTCAGTGATCCCAAAGCTGTCGAGGACAGCACCCACCACAATGAATCCCCGCTTTCCGACTCGCAACGGAATAGCACAGATCGCAAACCCGTCAGCCAGCCCGCAGAATCACGACCTGTGCCCTTGATCGCCTGGGTCCTGGGCGGTGTTGCCTCGATTGGCGGTTTCATCTTCGGCTACGAATCTGGTCAGATCTCTGGTATCATGGCCATGGACGACTTCAAGGACCGCTTCGCCGACAATGGTTCCTTCTCCCCGGCTCGTTCCGGCACGATTGTCGGCCTGCTGTGCATTGGTACCCTCATTGGTTCGCTTCTGGCTGCCTCCGTCTCCGACAAGTTTGGCCGCAAGTACGCCATCTCGTTCTGGGCTTTCTCTTACATTCTCGGCACTATTATCGAGATCACCTCCGAGCATGTGTGGGTTCAGTTCGCTATCGGCAGATTGGTCGGCGGTTTTGGCATTGGTGCCCTGTCTGCCACCGTCCCCATGTACCTTTCCGAATCCGTCGCCAAGGGCATTCGCGGCGCTGCTGTCGCCTCGTACCAGCTTTTCATTACCCTGGGTATCTGGACTGCCTACATGGTTAGTACTCACCTGTTTGACTCTTTGTATCACAATCTGACTGGGTTTGCCAATAGGTTACGTTCGGTACTGAGGGAGCCTACCCCAACAGTGCTCAATGGCGTATTCCCAACGGTCTCTCTGCCTTGTGGGCCATCATCCTTGGTCTCTCCATCTTGGCGATGCCCGAGTCTCCCCGCTGGTTGTACAGCCGTGGTCGCGTCGATGAAGCCCGCAGCGTCATGGCCCGCATGAACAACTGTGATCCTCACTGCGATGAGATCAACGCCGACATTGCCGACATTGAGCAGAAGCAACAGGAGGATCTCGCTGCCGGTACTCCTCACTGGTATGAAGTGTTCACTGGCCCTCGTATGCTTTACCGTACCATTCTCGGCATGGTTCTCCAGGCTGGCCAGCAGCTCACTGGTGCCAACTACTTCGTAAGCAAAGCCGTTTTCCGCACACTCGAGTCTAAATTGTACTAACTTGAACTAGTTCTACTACGGTACTACCATCTTTGAGAAGACTGGCATGGACAACTCCTTCGTCACTTCCATCATCCTTGGTTCCGTCAACGTTGCTGCCACCATCTTCTCCCTCTGGCTCATCAACAAGGCCGGTCGTCGTATCTGTCTCATGGTCGGCGCTGCATGGATCTCCGCATGCCTGTTCATCTATGCCTTCATTGGTCACTACAAGCTCGACAACGCTGATGGCTCGGTGAACCACCAGGCTGGCCAGGTCATGATCGTGTTCTCCTGCTTGGCTATCGTTGCCTTCGCCATTACCTGGGGTCCTCTTGCCTGGGCTGTGGTCGGTGAGCTGTACCCCTCCCGCTACAGGGCTACCGCTATTGGTCTGGCTACCGCTTCCAACTGGCTCTTCAACTTCCTCATCTCCTTCTTCTCGACCTTCATCACCGACAAGATCGACTACTTCTTTGGTCTCGTCTTTGCAGTCAGCTGTTTCTTGCTGTTCTTCATCGTCTACTTCTTCATGATCGAGCCCAAGGATCGGTCGCTCGAGGAGATCGATACCATGTACGTCACGCATGTCAACCCCATCACGTCCGCGAAGTGGGATGCCAGGCAAGCCGGCCTTGATGTGCAGGAGAAGAACGCGGCTTAGTGGAGTCAAGAAGAAGTATTGTTAGCCCCATTTCATATCTATTTAAATCCCCATCTCAAGTCGCATTGTTTCCGTTAGATGGCCTACTCTCCTTTTCACGACATACCCTCGCACTTAATACCACTCTTTCTGTTTTTACGTATCACGATGGCATGGCAGTATCCCTAATGCCCACGCTCATCGCTGAGATGTATCTCCTGTATTCGAGTCGGTCAGATACGAACTGTAGAACAAAAGTTCATGTATATAATGACGAACATTTGTTTATAGACAACAAGAGATAATTTCTCATATCTTTGAAACTCACGGTGATCACTACTTCATCTGTAATCTCTACTTCATGGTCAGCTTTGCTGGTCATATGTGCTTATGTTTTGCGATACTCACCAAGCCTTTCAAGCTAAGTAGGATGATCTGTACCGGGCCAGAATGCTGTGCTGATGGTTCTTGTTTAGGTTTCCGGGGGCTTGGATCCTTCGAGTGACTTCCAAGTTCCAAGACGCGATCTTTCTCGAAAACTGTTCGAAGACGCGATCATTCTCGAAGATAGTCGCCTTCTAGAGAAAGCCAAGTCGGTCCAAGTATTAAAATTAAACGCACAAAGACTTTTTGTTACGTATACAAAAGCGCCGTTAAAAAGCGCAAGCAAAACGCTCAGAATCATCCAAGGTCTAAAGTGGGTTGATGCTTCCACTACTCACCGCTAACTAGGAATTCCAAATATCGTCATCGGGCAGGCGCACCTCCCCGTGGTACGGCTTGTCAAACACGTGTTCGCCATACGGTGGTAGCGGCAGCGAGTCACAAGCACAGCTGCCGTCGTACAACTCGGGTGGCAACTCCGGCGGGGTCACAGTGCCTTCGCTGCTTGCGTCACTGCTGCTGCTGCTGCTGCTGCTGTTGCTTGGGATCAAGATCGTACGGGGGCGCTTTTGGATGGGCGAGAAGAGCTTTGGAAACAGGTAGACGGATTGCTGTGTTGAAAGTAAGTTAGTGCCCGATGCTACGGTGAGAAGACATTTTGTTTACTCTTCTTACATTGGAGGCCTTCCCATCTTCGTCTTGCGTGCATACCGTTACGCGCAACTTATACCGCACATTCACATTCTCTTCGTTGACGCTTTGCACACAGGTAAACGGCACCAGTGGAAGCTGCATCGGGACCGAAAATCGGATCGTCGCGCAATTGCTCTCGGGCAGCGGGCTCTCTAAGAAAGTAACAATGTCGTTCGGCGTCCTGGTGATGGTTTTTATGAGCCGCTCCTCCTTGGACGAGCGCCAGAGCTTGTGATCTCTGGTCACGGCCAGCTGCACAGTCTGCAGGAGGTCGAGCTTAATGGACTCGACGTCGCTGGAGGTGTTGCGGTTGCCGGTGATGGTGAAGTCGAGGGAGAGTTCGCCGTCTGTGGGTTGGTAGGGTTGAGCGAGGAAGATTTGGCAGGTAAGATCGGAGGGGAAGGTAAGCTCGCGGAACTAATGAAGGGAGAAATGTTACTTCCTCTGTCGCCGTTGAAAAAGAGGAAGGCTTACCTCGGGGGCAAAATAAAGGTCATCCGCCCAGAAAGAAGGCGACTTTATAAGTTGTAAGTCCTCGGTTGTGCTGGTAACCATGGAGAGAATACCAGTGGCGACTTCTGCTGTCAAGGTGTAGGAAATGCTGGTATTGTAAGGCAGCCAAGATACGGATTCGGGGAGGTCCCCGCTGAGACTGAAGGTAAACGGCCATGTGTACAAGCCCGGTTCAGCCTTGCTTGCTTGTGCGGCACTTCTAACGAAGACGTGGAGTTTCTGCTCTTGATGGTGGATGGTCTCCTTTTGCTGAACAGTTTGCGGCTGAAGTGTATTTGTGAACCAGCTGCACACCGTTAATTTGCCCATCCGAGCAAGGACAAGACTTTAGCGGTTATGACTGACCTTACTTTCCGAACCCCTTTCAATATCACCTTGACGGACTTGATTGTGGTGGGAGTTTGGCTAAAGAAGGTAACATGGCCTTTGATGACTTTCTTCTGGCCGTCCCGATGCGTGCGCCGAAAGACGATATCTTTGCTGTCGAGGCTACTCATCCAAGTCAGTCAGCATTACCATGCCAACGAGGCTATGCTAGCACATGCCCTATTCTTAAAGTTTTGTCAGGATTGTGCGATATCATTCTAACAATTCCTCGGCGTTGTTTTGCTCGCTGAGCCACAGAGATTGGGAGGCGCTGATGCTGTGATCGAGTCTGAAAGTGCGAGGTCTCGCGACCTTTTGTATTCCTATTCCTGCCAGTATATGCTCCTTAGGGGATAGCCAGCACATGATTCTCGTGCGCTTGGCCATGGGTGCAGAGCAGGAGAGGCGTGCTGAGAGAGACGGAAAGAGAAGCGTAAGCGTAAAGATGCTCCTGAACCGGAATCGCGTCCGACGGGTAGCGCGGACCGTCGTCCGGCTTCGATGCCCAATAGGGAAATAATCCCAACGCCTTAGCGTGCTTGGCTTTATCACGAGGTCGCCCACAGGGACCCGCATGTGCTGGGATTCGGATGGCGAATCGGAGGCTTGTGGGTGGGGGTGTATTTTACGTACATGCGATCGCTTGCAGGCACACAGCTGGTGCGATCTTCTAGACCTTAGTTCCATGTATGAAAATATTGCATTCTTGTTTACTACGTTGCGCAAATGCTGTGCATATGTTGTCTTCGTCGCCTGCAGTTGTTCGTTACTCAGAGAGTCATGTTTGGCCGACGGTGGTGTGTTCTATCTGCTGACGCCATCCACGTCACCGCACTTAGTGTTACGGTCCACAAGATCGACTTCATTAACTCTAGGTCCAAGACTTTAGGAGAGACCGAAAAGCAAAACGGAAAGAAAGTAACTTCCTTCTATCAAAGCAAGTAGGTCTTGATCTGCTCAAGCGCATACTTGAGTCCCCTTGCCTCCTCCGGCTTTATGTCCAATTCCTCCTTGCTTACGTACGACGACCCCAAATAGGACGGCCAATCAGATACCACCTCGCAGAACTTGAACTGCATATTAATCTCTACGCCCAACACGCCCCAAAGGTCCTCGTACTCTTTCGACGTGAACTCGACAACGACGACTGGCTTCCCCGTAACTTCGCTCCAGTCTTGAGCAATCTTTTCAAAGCTCACGACTTCAGCATGCACGATGGCATACTTGCCAAGTGCTTTCTTGGGGTGGGCCAAGATTTGACGTACCCAAGTGCCTACGGTAACTGAGACGTCGCCCGTAATGGGGAACGTAGTAGATGGCTTCGATGTAATGGGCCAAATGTACTTGCCGCTTCCAGGCTACATATTTGTGGTCGGAGTTAGTCCTTTACCGCGTATCTATCAAGTTCCTCGGGGCACGTACCACTTCGATGGGCTTCAAACCCGGGAGAAAGGCCAAGTTAGACGAATAAAAACCAACGTAAAGATAGGTGGTTTTTGCGGCCAACTCAGGATACTCATCCCGAATGCGTTGGTCAACCCTGGCCTTGTAGTCAAAGTGCGGAACGTGACATTGGCCGTTGGTCCCATCATTTGCGGAAGGCAGTGTGCTCCAGACGTAGTGCTGTAGAGTTTCTGTTTGCGATGCAGCTTTTGCCAAATTCACTGCATGTTTCGCTTCGATTTCGCCGGCCTCGCTAGGCGACTTTCCGGCGAGGAGATGCTCCCAGAAGTTCGTCACAGCGAAGATGGCTTCGACACCCTGTAGGGTACTCAGTGTTATTCTTCTATCCTAGGGGTTGAGGCCGAAGCATATGCTTGATGGAAAGCGCGACGTATCATGTAAGGCTCTTTCCAATTGTATACTGTAATCCACTGTTTCTTTGTGGTTTCTTCTCACTCACCTCGAACGCTTTCACTAAAGAGTCCTCATCGTCAAAGTCCGCACCAACAACCTCGGCCCCTTTTGTCGCGAGGGTTTGCGCAGCGTTGCCATTTGGATTGCGTGTAATTGCTCGGACTTTCCAGGCACCGGTCGCGAGGAGAATACGAGCAACAGATCCTCCTTGTGTCCCAGTGGCACCTGTGACTGCGATGGTCTTTGTCATTTTGATTGATTCTTAAGTTTTGTCACAGGCTGTGGATTCCGCAGATGGACTCTCTGTTTATATATGCTAAATTCCGATTTTTACTCGGAGTCGTTTCTTGGGAAATCCATAGAAGATCTGGGAAATGCGGGGTCAAAGAACTTTAAATCGCCAAGCCGCAGGGCATATTTAGGATAAAAGAGTAAAGTTTCTGGCCCCGTAGATCCACGTCTTGTGGAGGCCAAACCCGCCACTTGAACTAAGATTTCGACAGCCACTTTCAGCCCAGTGGGTTCATGAGAGCGCTCGGATATGCATCAAAGAGTTTTTGGAAGTTTTGAAGAAAGAATTTTGTTCAGTCATATTTCCAAGAATAAGCCCTAATCAATACCGTTAATGCTATAGCATGTGACGTGTCCTTAATCGTGGTTGAGGCGGTTGAGAAAGCAATATGAGGAGCAGGAATACTGCGTCGAGAGCCTGAAGTATTCAAATACTTAGCAACCGCTGCTGAATTGCTCAAATGCACAATATGCGTTGGTCGCTAAACAACCGTGCCTTGCCGCAGCCCCATGTGCTTTTACAGTTTCACTGTTGGGGATCACCGCAGTTCGACCACGAGGCTCGCGGATCGTATCCTCGATTCCTCCCACCAAACGCTGATGATCAGAGCGCAAGGCTGAAATCTTTAGGCTAGCGCAGATGCACGGTGAGTCATATCAAGGCTGCGGAGTAAGCGAGCAAGCGCGGCAAACCCTTGCAATCCAGGCTTGCCGAGGAAAATTGCCTTGTTTTCCAGACCGATATGCATCATGGGCTGAGCGTTAAGCACCAATACCCTCAGCGCCTCCTCGGTGTGTGCTCGTAAAATCAATTCAGACGTACTCTAAAAGGACGTTCTCGCAGGTAAGCGCTTCCTTCAGCCCCATGATTACATGCCTCCACGGACGCCAGGGTTTCTTAATAAGGCAAGTTGTTCCGGCAAAGCAAAGACTGTTGCCTTAAATGTTGGAAACTTAAGTTTTAACTATGATTATATAAGAGACTGGAGATAATTTGCTATCCGCTTGTGTGTAAAGTGAATTGAAATACCTTGCTAGGCCATTGGCCCGCTCTAGGATGCTAGGATTGTCGAGGCGATGGGAACCCTATGCAAAAGGTGAATGGTAACTATTTCTTTCACCAAAAAGATTTTTTGTAAAGGCGATAGATTTCTATGGTAGTTTGAGTTCTAATTATGTTCTCCAGCCCTCGATTCCTGGGTGATGGTCCGAGAAAGGCGTTAGGCTGCGAGAAAAAAAAAATTATTAAGTATAACGAACAATGCCGCACCAATATTCAAAACATACTGTACGTAGAGTTATAGCTTAATTATTACTTAAACGCCAACCGAGCGTTTAAGAAGCCGTTATTACGTCTTACTGCGCACTTCGCTGAGATTGATCAAGAGATGAGCGACCACTACCGTGATCTTGCTGCATCTCAGCTGTCTATAGACAGCCTTGCGTAATCGATCAAATGGTGTACCGTCCGAATACTCAACGAAATTAAACTCTGCCTGTATAGGGTCTCCCTTTGCACATGTCCAGCCGCTAAATCATTTCAGTTAGAGATAATCAGCATCGTCCGATGATGCGAATGGATGATCGTCTACAATAACCGACATTTCAGAATGCACCTTTACTTTCCACGAGAACCAAGGGGTCTGCCTGCTAGCATGTGGACGTCCTACACCGCCCCCGGGATATTCATCTACAGCTGAATACCCGAGAGCTCTAAGCATTCAAGGAATGTTCGACCGTTCAATGCCCACAGGAGATCAAAGTTGGGAAAATTATCCACCGAAGTTTCAGAGCGGCCAGAGATAAGCTTGCGCCCAACGCGAAGGGTAGTTTATAGATAAGTCAAGGAATATTCTTGTTCCTATAAGAAGGAAGTGCTCGGAATTGAGACACGTAAACAGAGTTAAGACGTCTTTGCCTGGCAAGTATCTCCTCTTTGTGTTACTTTCACCTCTTAACACTGAGAAGTGAGAACTTTCGAGTGAAGTATACAATTTTTGTGTAATGTGTTAACAACCCGCAAACGCTAGTGGGATTGTTTACCTCCGCTGTCCATAATTTCGCAGCGTGGAACTCTCACTTTCGTTAAATTAACTTCCAGCCAACTCCGAGCTTTCTAAGATCCGATACATCATCTCAGCCATAGACGGAGCCAATTGTGGCAATGCTGCGGGCCGCTTCCTCACCATCGAAGGTGGCGAAATTCCATGATGATGGCAGAAGCAGACACTAAGTCCTAGTGTAGACTTAGGGCTTCCCCGAAGAAAGGGCGGATCATTAGTAGATAAAGATCTTAACTCTTAACTAATATCGCTACAACTTGTTAATAGATCCTCTTTGTCTGCAATACAAGATTCCCTTTAGTAGCGGAACAATTACGCGTCTCTGCATTAATAAACAAACTTCACAAAACAAACTATGGAATAACATGGTAATTTCTCGAATAGAGCACGTATCGCACGTATCTAGGTGTATCCTCTTAAAAGCGTGGTTTAAGATATAAGCAGTGACAAAATAATAAGTAACCATTATTTCACTGTCGATCAGCCCAAAGTGTCATCTATCGGCTCGGTCTTATGCCTCTAACTACGAACGAATAAGAGCGTCCTTATGTCTCTTTGTGGCTATCACTTCTTCCCTCCACAGCCAGCCTGCGGCAGCGGCTGCTCCGGGTCCGAAAACAGCAGCGGCACAGCACAACAACCCGACAACAGTAAGCCAGCTTTGCCGAACCATACCCGCCGCTTTCAGGTCCCAGAATAACAGAACAATCCAGATAAGAGAAGAGGCAGTAAAGCAAATGTAGTTGTACTTCAGCGCCTCAACTTCTCCGAGATACGGAATGATCGTGTGGCCGAGCGAGAACGAAGTACGTAGTACTGTTCCTAGCCATACGAGGCCTGAAACTGCTGCCATCAAAGAGATCGTCCACCGAATTGTTGGTACGTCACGCGTGACGTTGTTTATACGGTCGTGTTGCACAGTGTTGGGGACGAGCGGTGTGTGCGCAAGTAGAAACTGGCCGAGCCCAATCCAAAGTGGAAACGAATTGTAAATCCACTCGCCAATATGGCGCAGTGTAGGATCCGGAGCGTACCTTGCTAGTAAAGATGGAATGTAGTAGATTAGTATCATGACAGGAAGGACGGATGCCGTATAGCGCATGTCTGTGAGACGCTTGTCGAGCATGCTGAAAGCTTCTATCGGCGTAAAAACGTAGTGGATGAAGAAGTAGATTGGCATGACAGCGCCGACTTTGCACAACGAGGCCATGCCGAAGAGTATCGGTCTGATAAAGCTAGATAAGCATTGTTGACTGTGTGTTGACAGGGATGGTAACTTACAGCCTTGCAAGGCTCAGAGCGTTGGCTCTCCGCGAAGATTCAATGAGAAGGATAGCATACACCAGGCCAAAATCTGCGAGAAATGTGGGAACCTGGGATGAACTGATGCTGCCGTAAGACATTGTCGCCAGGCTTTGAGAACTCGTGTTGATAAAGCACTGAACCGACATTGCCAGAAGCGGAGCTGCAATTATGGCCCGACGCATTATGCTCTCTTCGTTGCCGAGACCTTGGTTGCGGTTGAACGGCATAGTCCCAAGGAGTGATTTGGGAGGGGGAGGCAAAAAGTTCAGCATTGTTGACCCAAGCCAAGTCCAGCATCCTTCGTTTATCGGATAGTCTCCGCCGTAAGGAAACACCCAGTGCGCGATCAGCTTTTCCTTAGTTCCTTTTATTGCCTGGATCCGCGTCAGATAGTTTGATTTTTCGACAGTTGCAGAAGCCCGAAGCTTTCTCTCTTGTTGGTATTCTGCAAGAGCATTCCGGATATCTCCATATGAGGGAAGGGTTCCATGATCCTGTTTGTTAACCAGGCTCTTGATTGAATTTGCGAGGGCGGCGGCGCTTTCGATTCCAGACATGCCGCCAGCACCTGCGTTCGGGGTCATCTTGTGCGCGCTGTCTCCCAAGCAAGCGAACCTTCCCCAAGTCCAGTGCTCAAAGTCGGCTTCTTCCAGGGCCACAAGGGTAGCTCTCTCACAATTTCTCCAGATGTCCCCGAACTTAACAGTGCCTCCCGGATAAATGGGTATGTAGGAATATTTCCGTGCCATCTCATCTTTGTCCTGTTTGTTGAAGCGCGGGATTTCACCCATGCGGTAAGTTTGAGGCATCTTTTCGAACAGGAACCAGTATACGCGCCCTCCTTTCGCAGTGATGGTCATGGTTGACACATCCCGGCTAAATGTAACGTCGTAGGCTCGGGGCAGCAACCCAGGTGTCGGTGCGGATATGCCAAACAAGCACCTGTACTCAGCGATCATAGCTTAAAAATGGTCAACATTGCTTCAATAAGACCATCAAGTTAGCTTACTGTCTTGGACATTGTCTGGTATCCTTCCAGGCTCCTGTGTCTTTGCAATGCGCCACATCTCTTGCCTTGTCTTACTGTAAACGCCATCAGCACCGACAATAATGTCGCCGCAGTAAAAAGTGCCGTCTTTGCATGTCGCTACTACTTTTCCGTCGACTTCTTCCACCCTCGATAAGCATTTGTCGAGGAGTATTTTGTTATGATCCCAGATATGCTCCGAGAGGATTTGGAGAAGCCGATGCCGGTCGAAGAAAAGGATAGGATAGTACGTCCTAATGGTATTAGACAAAGGTAGTAGTCAGCAAGCTGAATTTCACTCACTGCCTGGGTTGACTAAACTTACCGCGCCCGAAGTAGCTGGAAACCGTCGTATCTAGGAAGCAGATACGATCCATCAGCCGCATGGTAGCCAGCAGAGTCAAACGGTTCCGTGGAGTTCTCAATGTCTTCGTAACAGCCAAGCTGGTCCAGGATGCGGCTTCCGTTCGGAGCCAATCCGATTGAAGCTCCGACGTTTGGTGCAATCTCCGTCCTGGATTCAAGCAGTAGATAGTCAATTCCGGCGTGTTGCAATGAGTTTGCAAGCGTAAGGCCCGCAATTCCTCCGCCAACTATCAGTACTCGAAATTGATTTGGTTTTTCCATGTTGAAGGCGTGGGAATTATACGGAAACAAGTCAAAAGGACAGAGTTCAGTGATGTTTAAATATCGTCCCCACGCACTCCGCTCAGACTCAAGACCATAGTCCTAATTTAGATCCTAAAGTCAAAATCGCAGGGATGTGTGTTATCAACAATGCCACTCGGCGGAATTGTCCTCGTCGGCCGCCGAGTTACCGAGACAGCTTGGACTCAAATGTGGCCGTCGGCAATCTGGCCCCTTGGCGATCTTTCCACTAAAGACGTGGGGGCTAGAAACAGTTGGCCTGATATTTTGTTCACAGTTCACTCACCACAATTTGGTTTGACGACCTTAAGCTTAGGCTTAGGAATAACACAAGTCGGGGCAATATCGAAGCGCTTGTTAGAGAATTTGGCTTTCAATAAAGAGGCGCGCAAATAAATATTCTTGTTACTTTTAACGAGAGCTATCTACACGAGTCTTAATATCTTTAAGAGATATTCTGAAGGAACTGCGTAGAAACACAGTAGAAAGTTAAGTGCTATTGCAAGCGTCGCACGATACACGATTTTTAGGCATCTTTAACGTATTTGGCTCATCAAATATACTAAGTAGTATACATAAATAGGTACAATTCAATATGCACGGACTGAGCATAAATCCTGATCTTATACAAATCCAAATCCAGAAGTTTCCCCGGATCCTTATCGCCCAAACGTGCCCACAAAACTCATATAACCCGTCCCGGGTCTGTAGAGCGCTACGTAAATCCTAGTACCGAACGCGTGGCTCTGGCCAATGCCCCGCCGCCTGTTTACGATGCAATGCCCAGAATGGGAATTTTGAGATCAGCGATCATCGGTGCGTTGTATCCCACCATCTGGCCAGGAACAAAGACTTGGGAACTTGGACTTACCAGCATGCTAGCAACCGCCTACGCCGCCCTAGTCTTCCAAAAAAAAAAAACGTTTGTTAGACTCGCCCGTTAACTTTTCGCCCCCAGTGGCGGTGCCAGGTCTCCACATAAACCCCTCAACCACGTAAGTCTTTCGTTGCAGAAAACTCAGCCCCGAACATTGCTGTCTGTTCCTTTAACCTTATCTAGTAAATGTAATGACTCAGTCCAACTTTAATGTTTTAGCTTTAAGCTAGCAGATATATATCCTATAAATAGTCACACTTCTATCATGAAAACTGATACTCTATTTTACTCATAGCCTTCGATTGATGTACTCGGTTAGAGTATTATAAAACTACTTTAGTAGATCTTCTATTAAAGGAGCAGATGAATTGTTGAAAACAAAAATCTACTAAATTATCCCAGTACGTAATATAATGCAATGAAATCGCTCGATAACGCTGTTTAAGAGCCTTGGTAAAACGAAAATACCTACTGTATATATTTATATAGTGTATAAGTAAGTTACTGGGTTTTCTCTTCGCCAATTAAAGGTTTCTATAACTATTTAAGTATATTATAAGCCTACAGGTCTGGAAAACGCAGTAGGTAGAAAAGGTTGAAGGAAGCACTGCGGACGTAATATAATGTTTGCTTTAAAGAGAATATTTTCATTTAGGTCTAGTACTTATATTGAAGAAGAATATTCTCTATTTCCTTCAGTGGTTCCATGTACAGTATAAATTTCACCTATATACCCATTTGTTTAATGGCTGGAACCGACAAACTTAATAGTCATTCCCCACTACATACCACAATCAAAAGCACTTAAACACTGACGTAATCTTTTCTCATAAGCAACGCGAGATCTAAATAATTACTCTAAAAGATTTTCACAACTGAAGAAACCCAACATATCAAAACACGCCCTCCCTAATCTTCCAAACCACCACACAACCACCTCTTAAACAACCATCGTCCCACTCGCCTTCAAATCGCGGCTACTAGCCCCAACCCAAAACGTATACGTCCCCTTGACGATCTTCCAATCCTGAGCCGCAACATCCCAAACGCTCAAATCGCGCCTGCGCAACTCAAACTCGACCTCCTTCTCGCGGCCCGGCTCCAGCCTCAGCTTCTCGAACCCGCGCAGCTGGCGCACCGGCTGCCCCGCCGCGGCCGGGAAGCCCAGGTACAGCTGCGCCGTCTCAGCACCCGCGACCTTGCCCGTGTTCTTGACCGAGACGGCCGCCTTGGCCACCGTGTCCCACATGTCGGCCTTGCCGCCGATGCCCTTGGCGCCGGTGGCGAAAGGGCTGGCGAGCGCAGAAGCGTTCGTCTTCTCAATCGTGACGCTGTCGGAGAAGGAGAACGACGTGTAGCTCAGCCCGAACCCGAACTCGTACCGCGGCGTCACGTTGTACTTGTCGAAGTACTTGTAGTCGATGTAGTTGCCCTCGCTGTACGTGCACACGGCCGTGTCGCACAGCCCCACGTTGTAGTCGCTCTCGTTCTTCGCGATCGTGTACGCGAGCTTGCCCGACGGGTTCACGTCGCCGTACAGCACGTCGACGATCGCGTGTCCGGATTCTTGGCCTAGCATGCCGCCGTAGACGAGCGCCGTGACGTTCTCGTTCTCGATCCATTGGTCGACGAGGCGCGGGCCGCTGGCGTTGATCACTACGACGGTGTTGTTGCATTCCGAGGCGACTTCGGTGACCATCCTGGGGGGTGGTTAGAGCTTGTAGAGTTGGAACGTTGAAGGAATGGGGCTTACTTGTCCTGGTCAGCGTCGTAGAGCTGACCGCGGTCGGCTCCTTCGCCAGAGTACGCGTTCAGGAAAACGAGGCAAACGTCCATGTCCGCAGCATAGCCTTCATAAGTCTGACTAGCGCCAGTGCCAGTGCTGAAAGAGGCCATGCTTCCCGTGGCGCCGGTAGAAGACGAGGCGCTGTAGCCCGTGTCATTCATGATCCAGCGGAGCTGCGTGCCGTCATCCATGGCCCTGGTCGTAAGCGCGTAGTGCGGAGTGACGAGATAAGTGAAGGAGCCGGTGCCGCTTCCTCCAATGTCGGCAGCGTGGCCTTGGTACACGTCGTCAGAGCCCGTGACGGCGAGCTCGTGCGAAGGGCCGGCAATCGGCGCGCCGGCGTGGACACCGAAAATGGCCATCGAGCGCGGGCTCTTGAGCGGGAGGGCGCCGTTGTTCTTCAGCACCGCGAGCGAGGACGCAGCAACTTGTCTGGCGAGCTGGCGGTGGTTCTTGCGCGCGTCCCGGAGATCTTCCTCCTCGGCCTTGGAGGGGAAGCTGCCGTCCTGCTGGTTGAGCTTGTAAGAGGGAAGGACGTTGCGGATGGCCATGTCGTTGAGGCGAGCCTCCGTAAGGCTGCCGTTGTTCAATCCTGCGTTCATAGTAGAGTTGGACCAGGTGGATGACGAGGCGTAGTCCATGCCAGCGTTCGCCGAGCCGAACGCAGTCTTCTGGCCTCCGACGTCGCCGAACACGAAACCAGGGAAACCAAGCTCGGTCTTCAAGAGGCCTGCAAGGAGTGCTTGGTTCTCGCATGACTGGAGTAGATTAGCAATCTGAGCAACGAGCTAGGAGGTTGAGAATACCTACGTAAGTCTCGTTGACACGGTTAAGTGCGCACATGACCGCACCAAGACCCTGCTTGACGCCATCGTAGAAAGGCCACAGGTAAGTCTCGTGGATAGTCCTACGCTGCATCAGTACCAAGTAACAAAGCCTCCAGGCATATAACTGAGAACTTACTTGTCATCAGCGTTACTCGAATAAGCAAGGCTAGTAGACGAAGAGGAGTCACTGTCGCCACCAGGTCCGCCACCCATTGAAGTACTGTTGGAGGCACCGGAAGGGCCGCCGCTCATAGAGGTGCCGTTGGAAGAGGGGCCGCCGCCCATGCCGCCATCGGGAGGGCTACCGCCACCTCCACCACCGGACGAGACGGTGCGGTTATTCTCTTGTTCGTTCAGGAGGAAGTGCTGTAAGATGGCGTTAGCAAAATACGACTTTCCGCACTGGTGAATTACTGTACATACCTTTGCGCCAGTGATGACGCCCGCATCATTCATGGCCCGCACAGCCTGACCAAAGAAGATACCCTGTAAACGTTAGCTATGATATCGCCGACGCTGCAGCCGGCGTTTCTTACGTTGAGGTACGAATCGGGGCCGAATGATTCGGCGTTACGGCCACCCCTGTGCTGGTCAGCATTTGCCACTTCCATAAAAAAGGAAACTCATGACTTACCAAGGCGTCCTTCCCAGGGGCTGGCTGACAGGTCCGTTGATGACCTGCAGTCCCTTGTTGCGGAACTCGGAGCCCAACGCCTTGTGCTGGGTGTAGGCCAAGTTCTTGTCCCAGGTCATGGCCAAGGCGGAACCAACGGGCCATGTCGTGACTGGGCATGTCCGTCAACCTCTCTGTGCAAGCGCCGTGAAGAAGTAAACTTACCATAAAAGTAGTCGAGAATAGAAGCGCCGGAATCCTTGAAATTCAGGGCAGAGAAGTTCCCAACATCGGAGCCGGTGATCAACGAGATCTTCTCAGCCGTCGTGAGGCCCTCAACGAACGTCTTCGCCTCGTCATAAGCGGACTGCCACTCGCCGAGGTTCACGGTCCCCGAGGACAGCAGCTGCGAAGTGTAGTTAGTCGAGTAGGCATAGATGCCATTGGTAAAGAGCGTCAGCAGCGCGAGATGCACAAACGAAGGAGCCATCTTGTCGAAACCGTTGGGATCCAAGCACGCCTCTGCAAACAAAGCAAGCGGCCATGGTCGGCATAAAAGCAGCGCAGACGAGCAGAGCATACGCGTGCCCGAAGCAGAAAGCAGCCTAGCCTACACGACTAAGCGAGCGCAACGAGGCCAAAAGCGGGGCCCGTCGACACACCCAACCGTGCCAACTCTCGTTCGTGATAGAGAGTGAGACATTCTCACGCCTATCGCCCGACAAGCCGCCACTTCCCTCATAGCCCTCTCAATGCGCCAATTTGCCCACAGCCTTCACGTCGCGTAGCGTGCGTGGGCGTGAGACAAGACGGTGGCGCATGCGCGCGCACTTCCTCCCTCTTGGCCCGCGCTGAGACATTCCGCTCCTCGCCCTCCTATAGCCCTCGAGGGTGTGGCGCTATATAGCCGCGATATCGGGCTCAACGGCGTGGCTGCCGGCCATTTCGGCCGCCCCCATGGTTGCGCGGCCTCCTCGTGGCTGGGTGACGACGCGCGCCTGCGTCCGAGCGCGAGCGGGAATACCGGCTGCGGCCGGGAATGGCGAAAGAGAAGCATTCTTGTCGCTATCGTGCGTGCGTGTAAAGTCAGTGGTTAGTTGTGCGGATGCGATTTTGCCGCGATTGTTTGGTGCTTTTTCCGGGTAGGCAACGATTCGCATTGGGGCCCCTTAGCTAAGTTTCGCAACCAATAGGTTTCGTTTCGCTTTGAGTTTCATCCCGCTCATGCTTACCAAATTCTCTCTCCCTAGGCCGCTCCCTTTTCATTTCTTTTCCGCCGCCTTCTTACCGTTGCCGTTGTCTGTCTGTCGGAGAGTGACTGTCGCTACGGACGCAGTAGTGTCATGCAAGACTAACACCAGCAAAGAGAGAAAAACGGTACGATTCTGCACATACTTATCATCAAGTCGTTTGCACATGATTCACTCACTCCAAACCGCTCATCCTTTCATACGGCAAAATGTCCATCAAACAGACGTGACGCCAGGTTTGATCTGCTCCAAGCGCGCAAACAACTCTTTACAAAACTTCTCCTCCAGCTCTTTGTTGGCCTGGCCTTCGACATTCGCTCCGTTTCTGCGTTCAGTTAGAACCTTGGCAGCGACGTGGCATTCATTCATTGCACTTACGGAGCAACTTTGCCGTCCACCAGGAACGCACCATGCGTCTCAGCGCCAACGTCCGGGGCAATGGCATGGACGAGAGCGCGGCTGCCAACTTCAGTCGTGCGGGCGAGGAAAACAGCAGACAACTGTATCACCATGCCCTGGAACCATGGTACCTCGTCGCGGAAGATGTCGCTCTTGCACAATCCAGGCGTGAGATAGTTGATGACGACGTCCGACTGGGGCGTAAGAGGGCTGGTCCGGGCAATGGCGCGGACGGCGTACAACAGCAACAGCTTGGAGACTTTGTACCTACAAGCTAGTCAGGGAAAATGCTAAGGTGATGCAGGAGATATTGCCCAACCTATCGTCCAGGTCGGCGTGTTCTTTGTCGTTCAAGGCATCCAGAATGCTGCCTGGTAGTTCCTTCTCGGAGAACTTGGCGATGTACTGGAGCTCGCTGCCCACGAAAGAGAGACGCCCTCTGGCACGGTACTTTTCGGCACTCTCGCGCAGCTTGGGAAGGACTTCCAAGCCAAGCAGCGATGCACCAATGACATTGGTGGCTATGTGCATTTCGTGCCCCTCAGCAGTCCCCCACTTGAAGGTTAGGATGCCGGCATTCTGCACCACGGCATCGAGGCGTTCGAGCTGACGGACGCGGTCGCCAAACCGCTGGATAGAGGCGTAGTTTGCCAGGTCGAGATACCACACCTCAAGGCGCGTGGGCAAGCATTGAGTGGTCGCAATGACATGTTCGACTGCAGCCTCGCCTTTCTCGACGGAACGAACGGCTAAGATGACGCGAGCGGCATTGAGGCGGACCAGGTGCTTGACGGCTTCGAGACCAAGGCCGGTATTGGAGCCGGTGACGATGACGACTTGGTCCGAGAAGTCGGCCGTGGGGTAGGTTGGGGTGAAGAAGAGTTGCGAGCGCAGAAAAGTCGTCAGGAAGGTCATGACGGGCGTGGAATGAAGGTGGGAGAGAGGGAGCTTGGGAGGAGGCCATGAGTCTGTGCACCCCCGCCCCTTCGGCTCGGCCCGCACGCATCATCGTGGGAGCTGGGCACCTAAGCGAGTATTGGTTGCACCAGAGAATATCTGGGAAAGTTTCGTCTTGTGTTACTCATGTGTGTTTCCGTTGTAGGAGTGGGGTGTGGTCAAACGGTTATAAAGGCCTAACCTTAGTCCGCTCCGCCATGCAGGGTTGTGAGTTGTCTCTGGCAGTATTTGTCAGCGATCGATATCTATAAAAGCCAAACGACAGTTCCTTTTCAATGGTCCAAAAGAACGTCTACCACGCCAAGTTTGGGTCCGCAGCATATCATACCATACCATACCTTCGAAAAAATGGCCCCTCGGATCTTTCTGTAAGAAATTGGCGCAACAGCGTTGTTGCTTTTTCACTGATTTCTTTGTAGGACGGGAACAACGGGGTACATTGGTGGAACCGTGCTTGATACGCTCGTTTCACGCCATCCCGAGTATGACATCACTGTGCTTCTCCGCAATCCTCCCGCAGGTTTTGCCGACCGATACCCTGCTGTCAAGGTCATTCGAGGCGACTACGACAGCACGGATATCCTCACTCAAGCCGCTTCGGATGCCGATGTCGTAGTCCGTACGTCTGCTGCTCAACTATCCACAAAAAATAAGATAACTAACAGCTGATCAGATAGCGGCGACTCCGATCACGAACCTAGCATCCGAGCCATCATTGCAGGGCTACTATCACGCTCCACTCCTTCCTTTCTCATCCACCTGGGCGGCAGTGGAATAATATCCGACTGGCAAGAAGATCGCCCTCACGGTGATCTCAACCCCAAGGCCTGGTCCGACGTCGAGGACATCGACAACATCTGGAGCCTCGACGACAAGGCTCTGCACCGCAATGTAGACAAGATCATCCAGCAAGCGTGGGCTGAACATGGCCAGAAACTGAAGACTGCAATCGTTTGCCCGCCGGATATCTACGGCAAGGGACGCGGCCCGGGCAGAACCCGGAGTGTGTACGTGCCCATGTTCTACAAGGAAATTCTGGACGTCGGCGCGCCTTTTTATACGGCCTCGGGCACCAACACGCGCTCGTTTGTGCACATTGATGATCTGATGACCGTGTACCTCAAGCTTGTCGAAGCGGCTGTGAATGGTGGTCAGGGCGCTGAATGGGGTCACGAGGTATGTCCCCTGTATTTTTTTTACTATTTGATGCTAACTAGTGACAGGGCTACTACTTTACCTCCACCCAAGAACTAAACCAGCTTGAGATAGCCCGGGCGACCGGTAGAATCCTCAAGAACAAGTCACTCCTTTCCACCGAAGAGACAAAGCAGCTCCCATTCGATCAAGTCAACCAGATGCTGAAGCACCCGGTCTTTGGCGTAATTGGTCGATACATGTTCGCCAGCAACTCACGCTCGCGTTCGGATCGTGCTCGCAAATTGTTTGGCTACAAGGCTGTGGCACCGAGCTTTCTGGACTGCTTGGAGGAGGACTTGGATTACGCGATACAGAAATGACCGGATGAGCTTTGAGTTTGATTATCGCTAGACTTGACCAACTGATCTGAAATCAAAAGATAGTGAATGAAAACTTCAAACTGGTAAGAAGACTTGACCGAGTAACCGGGGAGTTTGTTAACGCTATTTACAACCATGATGGGGGCCAAAACTTTTCCTTCTCGTATTGCTTCCCGCATGATTTGCAGTTGATGACATGGTTTTGGCCATCCCCGTGCGTCCTTCTTTTGATGGCGTTGAGCATGAAGGAAGAGTTGTGGACGTTATCTCCCAACGCCTTGCTGACAATGTCGGAAAAAGTGCTGGGCGTGCCACAATGTTTGCACGTCTCCTGTGGTGCGGTGTTGTACGTTTTCGAGATCATTTCTCTGCCATACTCCTCGCCGAGGTAGCCAACCAGTTCTTGGTGCTCTACGGGGGTTATCGGCCATGCATAAGAGATGCACTTGCCGGGTCCGATTCTAATGTCGTTGCCCATGGGGTTGTAGTCGGATTTCTCGTCTTTGAAAAAGACAAGATCAGTGTCGTCGTCGGAGCGCTGTTCCAGAGCCTTGATGACGTGGGATGGGACATTTGCTTCCATGATGGGCTGTGACATCGATTGGGTTATTAGCAAGTATTGTCATAGCTTGCCTCCAGCATTGACATTCTTACCTTTCGTATATTCTCTCGAGTTCTTTGTGTGAAAATGTAGGTTTTCGTTTCTGAGTTCTGACTTCCTACATTGCCATGGTTGCATGGTATTTATCTTTTCCCACAAACCACAGCCCTTAGGGTATTACAAAGCGGGGTAGCAGAGATCCCCCATGATGTATTATCGTACATTATCGTGAGATTAGCTGCGAAACAATGATCTGCTTTGCGTCTCCCTCGTGCGACTTTTATTCCTGGGTAATGGATCCCCAGCTGTTATACAGTACCACATACCCATGCTTTTTGTTTGTTTTTCATTTTTGTTGTTATTGCTGTTAACCTCACTAGGTATGGGTAGGATGCTCGCCTCAACGGCTCCCCACTTCAAATCCGTTGGCGTTTTTAATGGTCTTCGCGCTGCTCTACGACGCAGGCATTGGGGACGCAATTGCGTCTGGTTTGACACCATGTTGACGTAAAAATAAGGCATAGATGCGTAGCCAGGTTGCCGTTTGCCAGGTACTTCCGATAATCGAAATAGCTCTACTTCAGATACTGTACACGATTTTGAAGCCAGAGACCTCCCCTTTGCGGTATGCTTCAAAGCCTCTACTGACAAACTCCAGCCCTTGGAAGACCCTGGTCGGGTTAGGTTGTATCTTGCCCGTTTCCAACCACTCAGGAAGTTTATCGAACAGCTCCGCTGCCAGCTCGTGATCATCTTTGGATGGCTGCTGTACATCAGTAACGATATCGTAGGTTGCCACCACAACATGCCATTGACGAGAGGATCTTACAGGCCAGTAGAATTCTCCGTATCTGTGCTCCTTCAAAAAAGCAGTCCAGACGAGAACATCAGTGACTTGTACACCGCGAGAAACCTCTTCAGTATTGGCTTTCCCTGGTCGTACGGTGCACAGCGTTCCGCCTCCTTCTCTGAGTGCTTTTGAGGCAAGGCTAGACGACGACTTCATGCCAATCGTGTCAAAAGCGTAAATCAAGTCTGGAGCCACCGCTTTGATTTGTTCCACAACGTCTTCCGACCGATAATCAAACACATGGTGTGCACCGAGTTTCTTCAGCCAATCGAAATGCTTAGGGCTGCAAGTCGTAATGACCTTGAGCCCTTGCTGGACTGCCTCTTGGATTGCGTAAAGGCCAACGCTAGCTTAAAGTGAAGGTGACCGTTAGTTCTGTGTAGATTTGAGAATTTTAGCATGTGATCTTATGCCTGACTTACAGCTCCCGCCCCAGATGAGAACACTACGCTCAGCGCCATCTCTAGGAATGTTCAAACACTGCTTTGAGAAGAATGACAGCCAGGCTGTCGTAGCGGCCAATGGAACCGTGCTTGCTTGCTCAGATGTAATTCCCTTGGGAATTTTGAAAGAAATCCGCTCGTCCACAATGGAATACTGAGAATACCCGCCAATGTCCTTGACCTCTCCTGCCCCGCACGTCAGCTTCGAATTTTGTTCCAAATCAGACGAGAAGCGCTTACCACCCCAAATCAAACCAGCGACCTGATCACCTTTCTTGAGCTTGGTGACGGTTTCATGGACATTATCGACAGTGCCGGCAAAGTCGCAGCCAAGAACGGCGCCATCTCCGAAGGCGTTGGAATCAAACGATTGGACTGGAGCTAATAAGCCAACCGATACTACTACTGTCGCGATTCGTCTTACCATCAGTTGGGTTTTGAGCAACGTGATCAACCTTCACCAGAGCCTTTCCAGGACTGGTCGTCGGGAGAGGAAGATCGTCCAAAGCCAAGCGGGGTTTGCCGTCGGAGACCCGGACGACCTGAGCTTTCGTTGTGGTCATTGAGTATAGTATGATTTTTGGAGAATCAATGACAGGAAACAGTGTTTGCGTTCGTCAATTCTTGACGGTCGAAAGGTAGCAATTTATACTTTGCAGACAAGAATATCAAATAACATTGCCGTGGATCCAGTTGAAAGCTGTGAGCCTGTGAGGCGACGTCATGCTTGCTAAGCTCCGTCTTGCAGTTTTGTCGTACTTTCTATGATGAAACTGGAAATCGACTTGACCTGATGTCGCGGGTGAGGTGCGGGGCACGTGCGGGGTTTCTGTCAAGTGAGGAATGTGGAAGCGGAAGCGATGCATCTAGCCCAACTGGGTCAAGCTTTTGGCTTGGAGTTGCCCTACATGACGTATGCAGCCTGCTTCCACTTGCCCTCTATCCTTCAGTGGGCAAGTCGAAATTTCCACCTTCAACAAACATCCTTCTGAGATCTAATTTGATTTTTCACCTTAAAATTATTCTATCATACACTTCTATGTGCCCACTTGCGATCAGTCAGCAAAAACCCGCTTATACACGGTCACGGAAAGGATGGTGAGCATCCCTGCACCTCCATCCACGGCAGTGCGGCGACGTTGACTCTCGTTGAAGCTTAACTTGCCGTGATCGCCGGTTAAAGTGTACATCGTCTGCCCATAACTCGCTGAGATTCTTCCAAACAAAATACTAAGCTACGTCCAGGCGATGAAGCAAGTCCAGTTTGTGGTAACTGTACGCGGAATGACCGTGTATGCGATAAGGGCTTCCGGGTCAGGTTCCACAAGTCACGCACGCTCGGACTGACAGAACCTGAATCGGCAGTTATTGCTGCTATCGAACTGTCCAGAGCAAACCCTCCAAGGTTCGAAGTGCGTCTCGATGTGACCAATTTGATTTAAGCTCTAGAATTTAGCACTCTAACATGAATACCTTCTATCCAGATTATTGATAACACACGAGAAACAATCGATAGTTACAGAGAGACGGACAGTGAAAACGACGATAACGGCAATGATTCAGCCAAAGACGTGTCTCGAATGCCAACGGCAAATCATAGTGTTCAGTCGCAACCACCGCACGCTGTATTAATTGATAACAGTTTAAACCAGGATACAACTCCAGCCGTGGACAGGGTGGATAGCTTACCCTTGACTGCAAACATTGAAACAGTACCTGACAACCATACGCCGAGTGAGGGCGTTGATGTCAGCTTTCCTGGTGCCGATGCTGGACAGAGACTTCCAACTCCGGCAATCCATGTAAACGAAGCTTTGTCACAGTCCGCGCTGTCCATGGCGCTTACAAGCTTCACTGATGCTCCTACAGAGCCAGCAAGGTACTCCACTTTGTCTTGGCCAATTGGAGAGAGTATGAAAGCCAAGTTGCTCTCTGCATATTTACGCGAAACTGCAACATGGTGTGAAACCACGGATACCTTACGGCATTTTTCATACAGATCATCTCCACTCATTACCAGTTCGGAGCCTTTCCTCGCAGCTGCATTGGCCTTGGCCTCAAGACAGCTTGATCTGACTACTGATCATCCTTACTCCATCAGCCTAGAGCTGTATCAATACAGTGTGCACAAACTCATCGAGCGCGTGGCTGAAACTTTGGATGCCTCGTTACTTATGAGCTGCGTCATGCTCTGCGTATACGAGATGATCGATTCACCGGTCGGTGAATGGCGGCGCCATCTACACGGCTGTGCGCAGCTGTTCACCTCACGAGGATGGAATGGATCATCTGGCGGAATGGTTACTGCCTGCTTTTGGCCCTTTGCTCGCATAGGTAAAGACATTTTCTGAAAGAAATCTTGGGCTTCTCTTGCATGCTGATGGTATCAAAGATATATGGGCTGCGTTTCTTACCCAACAGCAGACATTAATCCCTAGTGATCTGTGGATCCGTCCCGACTATCCTACTGAAGAGACGATACCGCTCGTTGACCGTTATGCAAACCTCGCTATAGTCTTATTTTCCCGGATAGTCAATGCGTTGGCATTCTCAAGAGCCAATCTGGACTCAGACGAACAATCAACCTCTCAGAAGAACCATCAGATCCTAATTCTGTGGCAAGATCTTCAAGAGTGGTACTTAAATAGGCCTGCGGAGGCAAAGCCACTGATATATACTGCCGGGAGCGGTGGAAACGTATTTCCTATCAGCGTCTTTGGCACTCCTTCGGCTAGTAAGGACCAATCTAATGATTGAGAAAGCTCTTGTTCTGATGTATATTCCGTTAGTCTGCGGAAACACTTTCTTTCACACGGGATCGATATTACTTCTCGAAAAGCTTTCCTCACTATCAGTTTCTAATACCGAAACTGGCGATTCTGTAAGATGAAAGCTATACCAAGATAATAGAAATACTAATAAATTTCAGCAAGACATCATTTGGCACGCAAAACAGATTGCAGCTATAGTGTCATCAACGGAAGACCAGTAAGTCATTTAATTCTGCTTCTCTTACCTATCTTTGTCACTGACAGAACCTTGAAGCGCAAACTGGGTAAACAGTGTACAGCCACTGTTCATTGCCGGTAGATATTTTAAAGACCCATTTGAGCAAGTCACGGTTTTGAAGCTTCTTGTCAACATCGAGCGAAGTACGGGTTGGAAAACCTCCAGCAGACGCCGTGAGCTTAGGGAGATCTGGGGATTTGAGTAGATACCTCTTAAGCAAGCATCGAGTGTCGAAGGAACCACTAAATTAAGACGGTTCTGGCAAATGTTGTAAGCTTTTGTACCGAATTCCAATTTGGAAGATGGTGTTGCGGAGCTGAGGATCTAACGAGCAAAAAAACCAAAGTCGGAAGTATGCGTCGCGGAGTTTTGTGAGCGGTGTATTTAGCCAATACATGAAGAGAAAACTCACCAAGAACTCTGTTTATGTTTTTCAGACTGGTTGGATATTCTACAGAGTCGTCCTGGGTTCGCAAAACTACACGTTAAGACTGAGCTTGGAATACACCACTGAAAGAATATTTTATGAAACGTACCAAGGGAAAGAATTGGTACAAACTGACATGCGTGTGAATGCAGAGCCTCAGAGTATAGAAATCACATAGGAATTTTTGCTCAACGTAGAGAAGCCGTATGAGCTGGACGAGGAAACTGCGGAACATAAAGGGCTTTATATACAGTAGAGAAGTGAGTGTAGACCCCTATAAGCACCATTATTCCTCTACCCCAAATCACCGCCACCACACAACCTTATCGCGCCTCAGCAGGCCCCCCTCGAGCATCCGTCTCCAAAATATCAGCCAGGGCAGTCGCCTGATTAATACCCACCACATGCCCGGTCCACCTCAACGTCCTCGCCAGCCAGCAGCGAAGGTCATGCGAGCAAACATCCAACGAGCCGCAAAGAAACATAGCCCACAAGACCAAGTTACTGCCAGCGCAGCGAATGACAGGCAGATTAACCCACTCGAGCCTCTTATCCACGGGGCCCGCAAACAAGTTCTTGAAACTCGGCCACGGCGAATCCGACGGCCCATGCCATGTCGTCGCAGCACCAGCGGCGGGATCAAGCCCCTCGCCGCCCGGCGCATAGCCGATATGCTGGGGGAAGCAAGCGACGAGGTCGTGCTGGAGGTGGTACAGCGTGAGCGTCGTAGAGTGCAACAGCTCGGCATACGCCGGGCCAGTGAAGGCGGGCGGCTCGGCCGCCATGCCCGCCAGCAGCGTCTGCCGGACCGTGTCCTGCAGCAGGAGGCGGAACGCGCGGGCGGCGGTGGCGATCTGCGCGGTCCAGAAGTCCTTGTATATGAGGCAGTAGCCGAAAAAGACAACGTGGGGGTCGTTGTCCGTGACGACGCGGTCGCAGGCCCAGTCGGGCGGGAACTGCGCGATAGCAGCCAGGGCGCGGGCGTCCAGCTCCAGAGCCTCGTGTACGATCTGCGCTGGGGTCGTGCTACTGCGGTTGGCGGCTCTGGCCTTGAGGGTTGCGAACGCGACCATGACTTGGCGGAGGCGCCAGATGGGGGTGGTAGTGTCGACGAAGGGGTGGACGGCGGCGTCGTCGAGGAGGTCGAGGAACGAGGCGGGCACGCCCGTGCTCTGCTTCAAGCAGCAGACGAGGAGGGAGGCGGTGGCTTGCAGGAACATGCGGCGGCCGATGAGGGTGTTGAGTTGGGCGTGGCCGCGCAGCTTGACCAGCGCGACGGCGCCGCTGACGTGGTTTTTCCAGGCCAGGAGGGACTGCTTGTCGGAGCCGTGGACGGTCTCGAAAATGCCCATTGCCATGACCGCCAGTAGCGTGCTGTCTTTCTTGGCTTGCTGGGGCGATTGCAGCGCTTTGTTGATGAGCCCGATGGCCGCGAGGTACTTTTTCGTTGCTTGCTGCGGGAGCGTGGGGTTTTTGGTAAAGTTGGATAGGCTGGCTAGGCCTACTGCTTGCATGCTGACGAGGAGGTGCTCGTCGAGCTCGCAGGTGCTCATGCCTCCTCCAGTTGCTTGTGCTGGGTCTTTTGCAAAGGTGACGCCGCTGCAGAAGTTGGAGTAGAAGAAACAGGAGCCGAGTTCTTCTATGGAGGGCGTGAGTGCTGTGGACGTGGTGGGAGTTGTGGTGCAGGTACCGGGAGGTACAGCGGTAGCACCTTTCCGGACAACGCTTACGGTGTTCATGGGCGTTGTGTCTTTTGGTGCTCGTTCACGGGGTGCCACTGTGTTGGCGCGCCTTTTCTTCGCTGATGCCTTTGCCCGGAACTTCCCCTCTATTTTTTCGCTTTCGTTTTCGAATGCAAGGTCTAATTGGTTTCGATAGCCTGGGCATTGCCGACCCATCCTCAGGCATTGACTACAACCTTCTTGACGTTGGTCGCACTGTAATGATCAAGTCAGTATAAAAACAAAAGACTTCGCGATGACAGCTCACTTTGATCTTCCTTTGGCGACAACTGTAACATCCTTTGGACGGTTTCCCGCGGTAGACCATATTTCCCAACTAGATTTCCTCTCCTTTACTTTTCTTGGAGTTTCCGGCTCCTGAGTGACAATGAATCACTGGTGCCTAGAAGGTCGGATAGGCTTCTGATGTGACGGGTTTTAAAGAGTACCACAAACTGAATATATTGTGGAACAGACCCATAACGGATAGGTAGTACGGGAGCCGATATATACGTTTTAGAGCGCCAAATAGTGTCGAGGATTAAGACAGAGTGCTCGAAAATAGCTGCCTGGGGTGGCGGAGTCACGAAGGAACGGCATCCCTGCTACCGGTACCAATCCACGCATAACACCGACACGGCGTGCGTTAACGCCGACATGCCGTAGCTCCGAAAGGCCAGGGGCACGCGTGGCACAGTGTCGCAGCTATGTGATGGGCCAAGGGCTGGTTGTTGGAAAGTGATCCAAAGGTTCGAATAGGAAGGTGGTGAGTGGGCCGGTGCTATTACCTTTTCGGCTACCTCGTTTGGTTTGTGGTAGTATCTTGATGGGATCGTAGAGGGCCGCGCCATGGTGTTGGCCCCCATTCTAATAATGCCACTTATAGGTAGTTGCAGATCGAGTGAAACAGCTCGTGGTTGGGGTATCCCTTTAGAATCCCAGGTAATATGGAACTGGATCTCCATGGAAAATGAATTTCTAGGAGCCAGTTAATCATTAGTTAACCGCGTAAAATTCATGGCTGATTTAGCTTGATTGGATGGTAAACGCCACAACACAACGCAACACAAGTCTTGCGAAACTTCATACTTACTTAGAGAACTATGTGATATCCAATTTATTTAGCTGTGCCGTTAAACTGTCATAGTGGTATCTTTTGTGTCGCTCAAAAACAGCCAGTCCTTCCAAGTTCCAAGCCGCAAACTTCATGATTGCGACGATGACTTGATCAAGAACATGACCGCAAGTCATTAAGGCGTAGGCAATTGTGGCTCCATATATTTGGACCCAAGACAGTTTCGAAATCCTGGCTTTCGTGTGGTCCTCGGTAGCCAGATTTTGATGCATAAAGCCGATGCCTCAGAGGCTGTCGTCTCCGTGGAAGAATCTCAAGATCGCAGAAGCCACAATCTCTCCATCGTGTTTTAAATCAGCTTTGCTCTTTCCAGCATCAGCCGCTTCAAAATCCTGAATACTTCCTCTCTCAACCTGTCATTGTCAGTCCCAGGATCCTCACATCTCTGGCTATCAAACAACAACAAAGACTCACTCTCTGCTCAATCTGCTTATGCACCATATGCTCATCGAAGCCCAAATGGCCCTGACTGGTAAAAGCTCTCCCCTTGATGAAGATACCCTGCACCTCTGTTGTTTCAGTCGAGCCCCAAACATGCACTTCGTCTTCATTGGACAGAAGATCGGTGGTCTTGGACGAGGGAGCATTGACGACATGGTCCTGGTGCATCTGGTGGAGGTTTATTTTGCCTTTTGTGCGGAAAAGCTTTTCGCCCATTGGGGTCAGGGTGACGGGGGTGTGAGAGAGCTCCCATTTCCTTCCGGGGGTGGCATCGACGGTGGAGCCGAGTGCTCTGCAAATGACCTGGTGGCCGAAGCAAACGCCTAAAACCCGTTTAGCTTCCTTAAGTCTCTAGCAGTATTTCTTTGCTGACGTACCGCTGAAGCGCACGTCGGGACGCCTCCGCCATGTGTCTGCCGCCATCACGTTAGCAAAGCTCCGGGCACCGGCTCCGCGGCCCACGAACCTTGGACAAACTTGACGAGCTTCAAGATCCATTCGTCCGACGCATGGGCGTCGTACATGCTGCCGGTGATGAGAACTGCGTGGATATCGCCCAGGTCGTCGACAGACGGGACAGCGCCGCCCTTGTCCTCGACGACAAAATGAATCAACGACTCGATTCCCAGCGAGGGGTCATGATTGTCGCCAGCAGTCTTGAACAGGTTATCGAAGACATCGCCAAAGCTGCCTGCCTTCTCATGGGTCTCCGGATGTTGCTCGTCCGTCTCCAAGACGAGCATTTTGATGCTCTCCGGGTGGGAGGTCGGCTTGTGGCGGGCTTCGGTGGGCATTGTGAGGAGCGTAAAAATTCGACAACAAAAGGGTTTACAGAGAGAGGAGAATGAGATATGATTGAGAGAATAGCCTGCTGGGCTTGTATTCGATTCTTTTATTTAGATATGCGGTTTTCGTGCCAAGCTGCGGCGTTTGTTGATGACGCATGGGCAGTGTTGGCGTTAAAAGTTGATCCACGCGCGCGGGTGCGCAACGTCATAATTTATAAAATCAGAATGCACAGGTCAAGGGCTAAAACTTTGATGCATCTAATTTTTCCCGTCGTTATAGGTGTTGAGGATGTCGAAATAGATTAAATGCGGCTTCTATAAACCTATGTTTAAAAGTTAGCATGAAAACTCAACACAAAACACCCTTCACACACTGAAAAATCTTTAAGCACCTCCAGATAGAGCCACTCCCCATCAATCGTAAACCACAGCTCCTGCCCACATTCAGCAACCCATCACAGTGCCAAACACGCGTACACTCTCAAAAACACACGTACAACGAACACCAGTCGACAACCCACACCTCCGACCAACGAACGCAGCAACAACAACAACAAAAAGCACTAGAACGACCAATGACGACGCCGAGAGCGCGATGCTCCCCAGCCTTACCCGAAAGCGATCAGTCACAAAAGGCGATCCGCGCTAGCCTCTCGGCGCACTCGGATACCTCGGCGCGACGCGATCGACCCCGGGCAGCTGGGTCGATGTCGCGTGGAGCCGTCGTACGAGCGGCCTTGGGGCGCGGTGCCGAGCCGAGCCCCAGGCAGGCACCACGGGCAGGAGTACTGCTTATGTACCCTTCCCCCGCCTTTGGAAAGGATAACTATCAAACTAGTCCGGCATGAGACGAGAGATGATTTCTGGAGAAAACCGGAGAGGACGAGGATGAGTATGTAGGCGCGCCCGCCTCCAATCAAGCATTATGCATTTTATCTACAAAAAGAGATTTTTCTTGCAAACGTTAGAGATGATGAAATCTCAACCGAGCAGAAGTCTATCACACCCGAGAATATAACCTTCACGCCACTGCATGCCGTCGCACATGGTTCGCCGTTCGCCTTACTCATCCATCCCAAATCCTCGATTCGTCAAACCAGAAACAGATGAGATCATTTCCAAGACGCTGCCGCCTTACTCGGCCTTCTTACTGGCCTTGGTCCTCAGCTTCATGAGACAGAACACCATCGCATAGGAGCTGAATGCGAAAAGCGCAACAATAGCCGCGTCTCTCCAGCCATAGTAGTCTGCATTTAATCAGCGACTGTTCAGACACATTGGAAATAGGCAAACTTACAGTCCTTGAGGTTAAGGTTGAACAAGTAGTCGCTACCGTCGCGGTACTCACAGACCTGGCACCCGCTCGTAGCGTCAGGGTTGATGAGGTTGGAGCGGGAACCCATGCCCATCATGTATGAAGCGAGATAGTCCTGGCAAGTCTGGTTTGCAGGCGGGTCAAAGATCGCAAACTCGCTGTTCTTGCACTTGACTTCCGTAGACCACGTCGTGAAGACCAGCAGCGAACCCATGAGGTAGTTGAAAGGGTTAAGGTAGTACATCCAGTATCTCCAGAACGACTGAATTTGCGCGTATGGCACGAGAACACCGCAGAAGGAGACCAGGGTACCGATGATGAGGGGCTAGGATGGTCAGCGTGTGTAGGGTGGGTTAGGTGTAACAGACTTACGTTGATCAGAGATGCAAACACCGCGTTCGGCGCATATGCTGCGACGAACTGGCCAATGCCCGTGTAAACGAACTCGTACATGATCATGACGAATAGAGTCGAGCCGGCATACTTGGACGCAGTTGGGAGCCCAGCTGTGTAGTACCAGCAGACGAAGTAAAGGACACCGCAGATGAGCAGGTACGGGATCTCGCTGACGATCAAGCCGGTGACGAACGGACCCCAGTGATACATCTTGCTCTTCTTCTCACGCGTCTCGTAAATGTTGCGACGATCAATGAAGAGGGGTTGCAGCTGGGCCATGACACCAGGCGCCACGAAGATGAAGTTGAAGACAGTGAATAGACGGAGCTGCAAGTCGCTGACAGAGTCGCCAATCATCCAGAAACTGAATCCGTTGAACAATGCACTGCCAATGTGGAGAGCCATCTTGTTGTTGATGTAGTCGGTGTTGCGGTAGAGCGAGAGGTTCATGCGGTGAGTGACAATCTTGACCTGTTCCCAGATGGGCATGGCAAACTCGTGGCCGTCATCGACGGTGCCAGGCGGCTTGGAAGCGGCGTCACTGATGATGCGGTCAAGCTCCTGGACAGTCTTGTCATGCTCAGGTGATTCCAGCCAGACCTTGTTCCAGTCGCGACCTTGAGAAAGACTTCCAGAAACGACATCAATCATGTGCTCGGCCGGGTTCGACTCTTCAGGGCAGGGTGCGCCGTAGCGGCCAAAGTACTCCTTGATGGTGTTTGCGTTGTCGCCGATATCGCCGAAGTACACTGTCTTACCTCCCTTGGCCAGGAGAAGAAGGGTGTCGAATTGGGCGAACAGTTGAGCAGACGGCTGGTGGATAGTGACAAGAACCGCTTGGCCGACCTCGGCCAGCTTGCGCAGGAAACGGACAGTGTTGAAGGCGGCCTGGCCGTCGAGACCGGAGGTGGGCTCGTCCAGGAAGATGAGAATGCTAGGTTTCGAGACAAGCTCAACACCAATGGTGACACGCTTCCTCTGTTCAATAGACAAACCGGCACCGGGCCGACCAATCAGAGTGTGTTCGAGGTCGTGCAGCTCAAGGAGGTCGATGATCGTGTCCACGTATTTAAGCTTCTCCTCTCTGGGTGTTTCACGGGACTGACGGAGCAAAGCCGAAAATTCGAGCGCTTCCCTGACGGTAGCCAAAGGCTCGTGGACATCAAGCTGTTCACAGTATCCGGCAGACCGCTGGAAAGAGACAGGGAGAGGGCGACCGTCGACCATGATCGAACCGTGGATCGTACCATCGGTCTTACGCTGAGCGAGAACATCGAGCAGAGTGGTTTTACCAGCGCCAGAGGAACCCATGAGGGCGCCAAGCATGCCCGGCTTGACGTATCCTTGGACGTTGTCGAGGAGGACGCGGTCGCCGCTGGGAGTCTTGACAGTGTACGTCAGATTCTTCCATGTGAAGATGGATGTGTTTCTGATGAGCTGGCTATCCAGGTTATTCTCACGGTCGGAGGAGCCGGCCTTGGGAGGGATCTTCTCGCTCCGCTGGGATTCTTCGTCGTTGGAGACAAGGTGAGCCACATTATGCTCCTGCTCCCTTGGAATCAGAAGAGAGCGGCCTCCCTCGCCAAGCTGCTTCCATCTGCTAGTGAAGATAATCGTAATGGCAACGAAGAAAACCCACCAAGCCCAGAGGATGCCAAAGTTGCGCCAAACGTGGCTGTGGCTGTAGGAAAGGGAGTCGAGATATTGGTCACCGGTAAGACTGGAAGCGCCCGGGGTAGCACCACTGACGCCAGTGCAGGCTTGGTGGGCAGGGTCCGTGTACTCCGGGCCGAAGGGTACCAAGTTGTTGGCGAAGCAAGGAATTTGCTTGTTGTGGAACTCATTGCCCATCAACGCTTCGAAGCCATAAGCCAAAGGATCAATCCAGTAAATCCAGACGAACCACGGATGCATGTTGGGCTTGACGATCATGTAACCAGTATACATAATCAAGGCGCTGATGAGGAAACCAGACACCTTCGAGGCTGCATCGAAGGTTGGAAAGGCCGCACCAATGGCTCGGAACAAAGCAGTCATAGTCATGGCGGCGGTGAACAAGATGATCCAGTAGGTGAAGAACGCTGCCGCAGTGACTTTAAGGCCGACCATGAAGTATATGACAATTCCAAAGTGGGTTACTTGGAACAGTAGGACTGGAATGTCGGCAACGATTTGAGCAATACAGAAAGCCGCGGGGTGGTAGAGCGCAAATGCCCTGTGTTTCGCAAGTACCGGACGCCCGCTAAAGCTGTCGGTAACTTCGGACATGGCAAGCAGAGAGTTGAACAAGAGAGAGAAGAAGAGAGCACCGCCCTTGATGAAAAGACCAGCCGAATTTTCAGGGGCGTTGTAGAAGAGAGAACCGGCGATGAGAGCTTGGATCAGAGTCGAGACTTGCTTGAGGATGAAGGTTGCCTTGTCTCCCCACAGCATCTGGTATTGTCGGATAATACAAGCATGGACTTGGGTGAAGAAACTGGTAGTCAATTCTGATGACTTGGGAAGGCGCTTATGCTTCTCAAAGACGACACTGTTTTTGAACTCTTCCGTACTCTGCTTTGTGCTTTCCAATTCGGGGAAGTTGTACTCGGCGGCCATAGCAGGTTTAATCGGAGTCTTTTCGTAAGCAGCGAGCACCTCGTCGGCATTCCTAGGGAACCTGTCCTCGAAACCAGGAGCAATGCGGCGCTCCGTGGGGACAGTCACACCAGTCAGGAAATCGGCAACGTTCGCAGACGAGTCGCATATGAAGCCATGCTCTTCCATGAAAGGAAGAGCTTGCTTGCGAGATCCGTAGAAGATCTGCTTGCCCTCATCGAGGACTAAGACCTTGTCGAAGAGATTGTAGATACCATTTCCGGCCTGGTAGAGGGTGACGATGGTAGTAAGACCCATGATGTCCGTCATGGCCCGCATAGCCTTGGTCCATTCCAAAGCGGTACTGGCGTCCAGGCCGCGGGTAGAGTTATCCCAGCAGAAGACGCTGCCGCGAGTGGCGAGGCATTCGACAATTGAAACACGCTTCCGCTCTCCTCCGGACACACCGCGAACGAACTCGTTGCCAACCTTGGTATCGTTGGTATGAGCAATGCCCATTGACCGCAAAAGGAAGTCCTTGCTCGCTTGAGCGAACTCCTCAGGGCTGTTGTGCATATCACTGGGAAGGTGGAAAGGAACCTTCATGCGAGTAGCGAAGTCCATGGTCTGACCAACGGTGAGAGAGGGGAAGAAGATTTCTTCCTCGGTGTTCATGACGATCTGGCCACGGTACTGCTTGGCTTGCTTGTGATCCATGTTGCCAAACTTGACGTTGCCGCTGACCTCGGTGTATCCGATTCTCCTGTTGGAAAGGATGTTGAGGAGCGTGGTGCAACCTGCGCCGGGCCTGCCAAGGACCAAGAGCATCTCGCCTGGCTTAACGCAACCATGGGAGTTATCCAGGATCGTCTTCATCGGGATGCCACGGCGACCCTCTTGAACGTGCTTGGGGATGTCGAATTGGGAAAGGGCGTTCTCGTTGAAGGTTGCATCCGAGCTCATGCCTTTAACGGTGAGGTTGGTCCAGGTAACTCCGAGTTTACGGTTTCCACTTCCTTCTTGGTCTCCCTGGGCCTTGATAGCTTTGACTTCCTCCAGCATCCCCCAGTCTTCCGTCTTCTTCTCGTCCACATCTTCCGAGTCGTCAAAGCGGTCAACGTCAACTTCTGATCCGCTGTCGTCTTTGGTGCCATTCGATATCGTCCTCACGATTCCCTCCCCCGCGTTATCCGCGAATTCTGGAGTCAAACCAGCCGCGCCGGTTGCTGCCATGTTGACGATGGTCGACAAGTCGTGTGACTTGGTCCGATATGTTGCTCTTGGTACAGTGATCCTTGGTAGAAATTATGTAGGAGGGATTGGGCCCTTGAAAACAATATGTATAAGGACGAGGTGGGGTGAGTAGGGATCAGATTAATGTAATGGACAAAGAAGACTGAAAGAAATGCCTTTAGATAAATGATTATGAGAAGCGGAGGTTCACGGATACCAGACGGGAGGTACCTTGGACAACCGGGATCCCAATCAGCCGGTTTGAAGGAAGGGGCTGAGGGAAGAGGAGGGTGATCAGCCTTGCACGACAGTGGTGGCTTACGTGCTCTTGTACAAAGACCGGAGGCCGAGAAGCAGCCGCGTTGGGTTGGCCGGACTCCGGGGCCAATCATTGTCTAGATGGAGCTCGGGCTTGTCTTACAGCGGAGGGGAGCGGAATACCCAGTCCGCCCGAGCTTGGCACAGATGCCATGGTCCATGAGCGTTGTTTAAGACGCGCTCAAAGCGTACGGAGTATTCTACGGATATCACATCAATGGACCTTTCCGCTGTAAGTGAACTGTGGAAAGTGTAGATATTAGGTAGTGTTTTGAGGTATGCTCCATGTCGCAGAGAGGTAACGGAACGACGGAAGCAATGACACCCGGACAATCAAGAGCACAGTTCGTACGACTGCGATTGCGCATGGCAGATTCGGAGGGGCGTTTGACAGATGGCCATGGTCTGGAAGCTGAGGTTGGTGGGTTGGGTTGTGCTGAGGTGTCAGCTCCGTGGTTCGTCGGGGCTCGGTGCTAATGACCCGACCGCAAACGGCTTAGCGTCTCGTTACGACGGGGGCGGGGATTTAGCCTCCGCCGACCGACGGACGATTGTTTCCCCTTCACGCCCCACACCTACTTCGACATCCATGACGCCGATCGTTTCGTTTGCTTTTGATGTTTGGTTTGCTTTTCATGCTTAACCGAATTTTTGCTGATCGATCGAATCTACACACGCGGCAACTTGCATGTTTCTTTTTTTTGAAGCCATGCACGCCATCTCGTCATTGCACGTCTGGACATCGTGCCACCGTGCATGCAGACGGCGAGAAACTTACCAGTAGGAGTTTAACCTCATACCTCACTCGGCCCATCCCGCTGGAACCTGCCACATCACTATTCACTCCGCCGTTAGTTAGTGTTTGAAGGATCGCTCCAGGCCCGTTAACTCCGACACCCACACCGAGAAACTGGAGCCGGCCGAGCATTAAGCAGATCTCCGACCCACGATAAAGTAGAAACTCTCCGGTCCCGGTGGCTGAACTGCTCGTGCTGTCAGGACAGGGTGTCAGTGACGAGCATCATGCAAAAATATATCCGCCTGTCAGTGAGTCACATGCTACTGTACCTTCCTGGCAGCTCCAACACATACATCCTCAATAAACAGTTTCGGAGCAATCGTTGCTCTACACGCAAAGCTTCAGTACTACTGCTTTTGACCAAGCACTCTGCTCCCCCATTGGTCTAGGCGTTAGAATTCGTATGAAACGATGCTTTGTGACCACGACACGACCAACACCTATCGGTAGTTATTCGATTTTCAAGCGACGCCACTTACTGATGTCGATACTTAATTTATCAAGGTCCAGCAAACTCGTCCCCGTGTATCAGCGTAGAACTGCCGCACGTGTCACTCCACGCCGATGAGACCACCATAAGGTAAGATGACGATAGTGGTGTGGTCGGCACGGTAACGGAAGCTCAGTGAGGTTTCTGAAACACCTCAGGATAGTTGACGAGAACGAAAGTCCAGTAAGAGCACTGAGACATGTCAAGTTGGTTTGTGATGATTGGAGACTGGCTCGAAGCGAAAAGGAACAAAAATATTCGTACGACTCTAAATCGGGCTCCCCGTAAGCCGCCCCCACACACTCAACCCAGTCCCTTACCCCAATGCTTCTTACTAAGCAAATTCTATTCATTCCCGGACATACCTCATGAAAGACCCGAGAATCCGAGTTAGGAAAAACAAATAAGCTTATCACAATAAGGCAGACCGCACCCAATCAGCCTCCAATCAGACACGAAGACCAAGCAACCGCCGCAATCAGACGCGAGGCCGATAACAGCCACCGAAAGAACAAGGGTTAGAATGTGGCCACCACAAGCATGTGAAGGAGCAACAAGGACTTTCAGTGGGTACAAAAGCATGTGTAAAAGCAAACACCGCATGTATACGGACTGTTACTACTGGTGGCACGTTAAAACTGGTGGCACCGGCAGCAAAGCACCCCCGGTACCCGCGGGAGGCCACCCGCCATCTTACATCTCCGCCCAAACACGGTTACCGGCAGCTTGCAAATCCGTGCCTGAATTCCGTTTCCGGGGGGACACAACCACACACCTTCTCTGTTGTAACTGACCCCGCAACGTCCATTTCAGCGCCCGAATTATGGCAGCTTAAGACTAGCAGCAAACGGCCCACTTTGAAAATAAGACTTGCACAACCTTAGCCCTCAAAATACGAGATTGACAAGAACGCTAACCTCTACTCAAATATACACTTTTGCTCCATCGAGCCTAGGAGCAAAGTCTCCTCACTCCATAGTCAGGACCGCCCTAAACCTCACCTTCCCACTGAGCATGTGATCCATAGCTTCCTGTGCCTTTTCTAGCGGGAATTTCTCCACCATGCACTTGACATCCTGGTGCTGGGCGAACGCAATCGCCTCCTCAGAATCGAGTGCATGACCGGACGGCCAGCCACAAACACTGACAGTGGCGTCAGTATTTACCGGTCAGAAATATTGAGGAGAAGCAAAAGACGAAGCCTTACCTGATGCCCTTCATGATCATCGTGACGGTATTCACCGGGATCTCACCCGCCGCTAGAATGCCGCACCATCAGCAACCGCTTTCAAACCCCACCCATCACCACCACCCTAAGCAACGAACAAAGGATACTCACGTGCAAGGACCAGCACTTTTCCCCCAGCCGCACAACCCCCCACTGCGTTTCCAACTGCGTCTTTATTCGGCGCCGTCACAACCACCAACGCCGCGCCACCGATCTTCTGCAAAGCCTGCGCTACATCCTCCTTGCTGCTGTCCACGTAGTCGTGCGCACCCAACTGCAACGCGAAATCGCGCTTCGTAGCACTGCTCGACACAGCGACGACGCGGTACCCCATGCGGCGAGCATACTGCAAAGCCAGATGACCAAGGCCACCAAGGCCCTGAACAGCGACCGTGTCGCCAGCGGTAATGTGCATTTTTCGGATAGCATTAAAAACAGTAACGCCCGCGCAAAGGAAAGGGGCGTATTCAGCGGCATCGACGTCGTCGGGGATGCGCACGGCAGCCTCGCTCCGCAAGAGGCAGTACTCGGCGTAGCCGCCGTCCTTGGTGACGCCGTTGATGGCCTGGTTGTCGCAGGCCTGGAAGAAGCCGCGGTTGCAGGCTTTGCAGGAGCCGTCGTGGCCGCCGTGCCAGGCGCCGCCGACGCGGTCGCCGACCCGCCAGCGCTGCGAGGTGTTGGGGCCGAGAGCGACGATTTTGCCGATGATTTCGTGCCCGGGGACGAGGGGTCTGTTTGTGGGGTTTGCATAAGCACTTCCTACCGTGACTCCTGTTCGCTGCCGTAGTGGAGTGAGGGTTTGGAGGGAAGGGTTGCGCTCACCCCGGCCCCATTATCCCCGCGCGTACCATTTCGTCAGCATGGCAGACGCCGCAGGCGGCGACCTTGACGAGGATTTGGCCTTCTTGTGGGTGTTTGAGTTCGACGTCTTTGAGCTTGAGGGGCTGGTTCGGCGCCTCGACTACAATGGCTTTGTAGGTTTTGGGGAGCTGGGGCGATCCCATGATGGTGAGGCGAGGAGTTTGGGGGCAGGAGGAATCTCGAAATTGGTGTTGGTGTCTGAGGGCCAAGACGGGAAAATAAAGGTAAGGAAAATGGCAGGCTGGTAGGATGCTCTTACTTAATGCCTTTCACCTCCTGCCGGTGAGGCTTTTAAGGCATTTGCTCCCCTCCTTGTACCCCTCCCTTCGCTGTCACGCGGAGATAGTCAGTCCTGACGCCGTGTACGCACACGCTACTGAAGCCTCCAAGGCTCTCATCGCAGCAAACGTCTGGCCATATCAACTCTAACTCCTAACTCCGCCCTAGGTAGCAACGTCGACAAGGCTTCATCACCCTCACGGACCATATACGGAGCAGTGCAGCAACTCGAACTTACTATGTAGTATGGTAAACCCGCTCCGCCGGTCTAATCGCCGCAATGCGAAAAATGCTGTGAGCCTCGTGGCTGTTGCTTATGCTGGTGCCTGGTGATACATAGGTGGTGAGATTCCCCGCATCATGCCGCCGGATGGAGTTAGCCGCCGTATATACCGTACTCTGTATCTCCGCCTCCGGGTCTGAACTATGTGCGCGTCAGCGGCGCGTTGAGGAAAAATATAACCATTTTTTTTTATAGGCTGGTTGATAGTTAAGGTTTATATTCCTATATCCTGTAGAGACCTATGTGACTTACTGGAATCTAGCTATTTATTTATTTAAATGTTCTGGTGGACTGAATGAAATCTACCAGGTAGGCTTTCAACGAGGCTGACTGAACTGGTCAGTGGCACTAAATCAGGCTGGGAAGAGAGCCGGTTACCCGGTCAACACTATCGAGTAGGAGGGTCGCCGCATATAACTATTGGAGGGATACCGTAAAGGTATGCATCCACTCAGCATCTCTGTCCCAATTCAGATAACAATGCATATGCGCGTTGACGTGTCTACGAGGCTGGATCTATAGGCATCTAATACGGTTTCACAGAGGAACTATGTCAAGGTATAATGGCAGCTGACGGATTGCGAAAGTGATCACATTCCCTCATCTACTGCTTTATTTCTCTCACCCTCGGTCGTTATCATGTCAGAACTATACCATGGCCTCGACTTGTCGATAGATACGATACGACTTTTCACCATACGAGATGGAGATGCGTCCAGTCCTATTCAATGCGACCTCAAAGTCATCAGTCGCGAAACCTGCCAGAACGACTACGTCGCTCTGTCTTACTGTTGGGGCGATCCATCCGACAAAGACACAATCTTCGTGAATGACCGCCCACTTGATGTTCCTCGCAATTTAGTTGCGTATCTTCGAAAAGCTCGGATAGAATCAGATGAGGAGACACCACGGAAACCTTTGTGGGCCGACTCCATCTGCATCGATCAAGCCAATCTGGACGAACGAAGTCGCGAAGTCTGGAAAATGAAAAGAATCTACGAAGACGCCGGCCAAGTAATGCTATGGCTTGGACCAGAGGCCGATGACAGCGACCTTGCCGGGCAGCTGATTATCAGAACCCTGGAGCATTTCTACGAACACATCGATGACTTTTATCAAAATCTTCAACACATCCAGGAGGATCCCAGTATGCAGAAATGTATGGTTTTGATCGGGAAGGCAGTGCTAGGACTGGACGAAAGCAACCCTGACGAGCACCCAGATCTTGAGCGCGACTGGAAGGCCTTGATATGTCTACTGAAGCGAAGTTGGTGGATGAGGACTTGGATCATGCAGGAAGCAACGACCGCGAACGAAACTATGATGGCGTGGGGCAACACGACCATTCCATTCCAAATGGTCCTTTCTTGTATTTCCATGATCACCGGAACAATGTCCTTTTTTCTGTGTGACTCCGACTTACTTTCAGGATACGAAACTTCCCTTCCTCCCTTCGTTAATGAGGTGTTTACCTATATGGACAAGGGTCCAATGATCATAACAAGAATCAGTGAATCTAGGGAACAACTTACCACAGCGTCAAGTCCCTTAAGCATATTGAAGATGGTTCAAATGTTTAGGCCTTGTGGGGCATCAGACAACCGAGACAAGATTTTCGCACCTCTGAGTTTATTTGAGAATCCACACCTACCGAACTTTGTCATAGACTACAACGTCTCGGAAAAGGCAGTATATCAGAGGTTCGCCGAGTCTTTGATCCTAGCCACCAATCCACCAAATCTTGACGTTTTGGGCTTTTGTTGGACACATGAAGAAAAAGAAGGGCAAGAATCCCCGAGTCTTCCCAGCTGGGTGCCAGACTGGACAAAGCCATCACCGCACGCACTCGAACGTCTGCCAAAACGACTTCCAGAATTCGATGATATCCGCATCGGAGAAAGAGTCGCGTACGCAGCCGATTCAGTGCTGCGACGGATGGCGGGAGCGGAGCAAAACCTGCGGGTGCAGCTTGTGGATGGCCTGCTCCAGGCACACGGCCTGTTGCTCGCGCAATTGGAAGATATCCGCCCTCCATTTGGGAACAATTCTGCCTACGAGGATTCATTATTTGACGACGCGGAGACGAGGATGTATACGCCAACAGGCACGACGTTGCACGAAGCCAGCCTGATGACAAGCTCGTGCGGGCTTTCATACAAAGAGGGCGTTTTTGACCGTTCGGACCCTGTTAACTGGAACGAACTTGATCTTCGAACCCTCCTGGATTTTAGCGATAAGAGAGCATCAGGGGTAGCAGAAGTTAAGGTCCCTGACATTCTCTATTTCTCTCATGCTTTCGGTCGCTGTTTGGCAAGCACTAATCGGGGATTCATTGCACTTGTACCTAGCAATGCACGGGTTGGTGATCAGCTCTATATTCTCTATGGCGGTCAAGTTGTCTATTGCCTCAGGAAGGACGGGACCATGCATACTTCTGTTGGAGAGTGTTATGTGCATGGTATTATGGATGGTGAGTTCATAGGATATCTGGGGATTGATGGGAGTACAATTGTCATGGACAAGGTTACAATAAAATGAGGAAAAGGTCCGGGAATGGACTTTGGCTTTGTTCAAGAGTAAACTATTTGCCATGTTTCAAGTGACTTTCTTCTATATGATTCAAGTTTCTCAGCATACTACGGTAGAGCACTCGCCGCCTACCCTGCAGCTGAGTCAGCGGGCCAGTGCACTTGCGCACGAACGAGGCCCCACGCCAAAATCTCAACACCACGCACATCTCCTCCCGCAAACGCGCGCCGCTTCAACATGGGCGTCCCCTTCGACCACGCACCGGAAAGGCCGGAGCACATTGATGCCATCCTCAACGGCCTCGACAGGTACAACCCGGAGACGACGGGCGTGTTCCAGGACTATGTGATGCAGCAGTGCGAGAACCAGACGTACGACTGCTACGCCAACCTGGCGCTACTGAAGCTGTACGTCACCCCCTTCTTTCACTTTTTCCTCTCTCGACTCGTTTGCAATGATGAAGAACGAACCACACACGTTTCCTATTACCCGAGGGACTGGAGCATGAATCACTCCGCCCGTTGAAGCTTCATTATTAGCTCTATCTGAAAGCAAACAAACATCCCTTTCTTTCTCCTGCGACCCGACACGGCGCCATCCGACAGACGCTGACGCGCATCGCACGCACCCAGGTACCAGTTCAACCCGCACCTGACGCGGGACGAGACGATCACCAACATCCTGGTGAAGTCTTTGACGGTGTTCCCGGGGGCCGACTTCAGCCTGTGCCTCTCGCTGCTGCCGCCACACATCCTGTCGCCGCTGAACAGCACGTCGGCGGCAAACCCCGCAGCCGGGGACCCGGCGCTGAGCGAGGCGGTGCAGAAGCTCAACGTGCTGAACAACCTGCTGGGCAGCGCCGACTACGCGGGCTTCTGGGCGACGCTGGACAGCGACGACCTGTACGCGGACCTGATCGCCGATGTGGCCAACTTCGAGGAGATCATGTGCGTGCGCATTGCGGTGACGGTGTCGCAGGCCGTGCGCGAGATCGAGCGCTCCATCCTCGAGGCGTGGCTGAACAAGCGCGGCCAGGAGTTCGAGCAGTTCGTCACGGGCGTGTGTGGCTGGGCTGTCGACGGCAACGTCGTCAAGGTGCCGCTGAACAAGGAGAACGAGGCCAAGGGCACCGTCGTGAGGGAGAATGTCAAGTTCGACCGTACGTCTTTGTTCCCTCTAAACAAAAAAGAACTTTTTGTCGCTAACTACCTTCCTCCCTGCAGAGTTCTCCCGCCTGATCAAGCGGGCCTACGAGCAGCCCGCGTAAGCTTGCAACGATGACCCACCCATGTCGTCGACTTTAATTCCCTCATCACGCATTCCCCAACGACGATGATGCTGACGACGATGACTCTTGCGGCGAGAACCTAAGCAGCCACCACACCTAGGCATGGCATGGCAAGGCATGGGAGGTATGAAAAGGGAAGGGAAGGGAGGAGAGCTAAAGGGGGCAAACGGCGTTACGAGGAGCACTTCACGGACGGGCCTAACTGAATTGATTTTTGCAGAGCGAGCGAGAGAGAGAGAGAGAGAGAGAGAGGGAGGGGGACGAAAAACGGGATGCCGATTTACCCTACCTGCTGCTGCTGCTGCTTGCGCCGGGCATTTCGGCACGACTGAAAAATTTTTCTAGCACCACCCTTCATTGTGGAAAGAAGACATGGACGAGGAGCTGGGCGGATGGCCGCCGAGAACACCCTTCCTGCTGCTGCCGCGAGAGAGAACCGCAGTCATGGCGCCTTGCCTGCTCCGTCTTGCGGGCTAGCTGGCGAGCTTTCCTTGCTGCCGGCCATCCATCATGCCGCCGCTGGCTGGCGATGGCCGTCAAGGCTTCAGCGGCGCCGAATCAAAGACCAAACCATCAAGTCCACAGCGCTGTGTGCAAATGCCTTCGTAATCTTGTCCGTGATTTATATGAACCGTATCAAGCAAGCAACCGTCCCCCCAACAAAAACATCCTCACGTCCTTGGAAAACCCCTTCGCAATATACCCAGCACAAACCCATTCAACCCTACCTCCTCCCCCCAACCTCCTCCCACTGCACGCCCACCCACTCCTCCACATAGCCGACCTCCCCGTCCCTCACGCCAGGGGCGGCGCAATCGCGCTCACAAACGCCCACAATCAGCGTCCCCCACTCCATGCCCTCGAGGCCCAGCTCCTCGGCCTCGAGCTCCGCAATGGCCTGCGGACAAAGCTGGAGCTCAAACACGCGGTTGGCGTTGCAGTTTGCGCAGCGGGGGATCCCCTGCACACTCGCGGCGGTAGTGCGGACCTTCGCGTCGCTGTGTTGGGGGTGGGATGAAGGTGTGAGGGCCTTGCCCACCGCGTCGTCCCGCGAGTACAGCAGCGGGTGCCCCCGGAACTCGTACCGCAGGACCTGGTCCGGGTTCTGGGCGAGGCGGTCCGCGAAGCGCTGGAAGGCCTTGTCGAGCGTGGATTCGAAGGCTTCTTTGTCTTCTTTGCCTGCGCCGCTGCTGCCGCCGGCGGGGGTCGGCTCCGCGGCGTCAGGGTCCAGCCGTGTGTTCTGTGGTATGCTGGGGGCTTCGGTGCTGAGGGTTTCGTAGTCGGCGTCGAGGTGGTAGGAGGGGTAGGGGGGCGGGAGGGCGGAGGTCGGGGGCCAGGGCTCGTGGGGAGGTGTGGGTGCGGTGGGCGTTGTGCTGGTTGTGGGGGTGGTGGCGCCGATGCGGGCTTTGGCGGCGAAGGTGGCGGGGAGGGCGGACGTGCTGTCGCTTGCTGCTGCAGCCTCAGCTGTGGGAGCGGGAGCGGACGCCTGCGCGGGCTTCGCGGCCAGGCTGCTCGCGCTGGCGAAGGGGTTTGCGTTCGCAGCCGCGCCGCTGCCAGCAAACGGATTCGCAGCGAAGGGATTCGCGCCCGCAGCAGCAGCGCCAACGCCAAACAGCGCCTCACCGAGGCCTTTTTCGATGGGCTTATTCTTTCGCTCCTCCTCCTCAGCGCGCTCAGCAGCCTTCCTGGCCTCCTCGTCGGCAGACCTCTTCAGCTCGGCCTCGACAGCGGCCTTGGTGACGCGGGTAGCGCGCAGGGCGCGCACGGAGCCGGGTTTGCGGCGGCAGGCCTTGCGGCGGCAGGCGAAGATGTAGAGGCGGCGGTCGTGGCCCGGGAAGTGCGTGGGCAGGTTGGCGTCGAGTTGGAGGAGGAGGGTGGGTGGGGCGGAGCAGGTTGCGCATTTGGCGAGGGCGAGGGAGGGAGGGGTGGTGGCGTCGAGCCAGGTCTGTGTGTGTGTGTGTTAGTGGGGATTGGGGGATGGAATTGAACTGCGAGACGTACAGGGTAGCCGCCGAGCTGGCTGACGGGGTCGTCGGTGGGCTCTTTGGAGGCGTAGCCTAGGAGGACGTTGGTCTCGGTGTACTCGCCGTCCGAGTCGTCGCCTGAGGAGTCGCTGTCGTAGGGCGCCATTGTTGTGGTGGTTGGTGGGCGGGACGAGTCGTGGTGGTGACGATCGAGGAAAAAAGTACTGGAGTAATGCTTATCGATACGGCCGTTGCCGTCACCGCTGAGATCAGAGTGATAGGTAGTGATACATATATAAAATGCTTGATGTATTTTGTACTAGGTATACAGTAGTGGAGATTTGTCTTGCAATACATTGTAGGACCGCTCCTACTTGTCGTCTTTTTCGTCGAGGCCGAACATGTCGTAACCCTTCTTCTCCGGAGACGCGCTCAACCACGTCCCCAACGCACGCTGCATGGTCAGCTTGTCTTTGGAACCCGTGTTGATGCCACGCTCATCACAGGCAGTGCGCAGCTCGCGCGCAATCAACAGCTTCTCGCCGCCATCGCGCTTTAGCAGGTAGTCATCGACTGCCAGATAGCGGAGATGAGCACGCAGGCGGAACCACAGCAGATAAGTCGGGCACAGGGGCGCGGCAGTTTGGAGCAACCACGCGGGCAACAAGCCATGGGCGCGATTGCGCAGGACCAGCCAGTTGCGCGGCTGCTCGCGCGCATACGCCGGGTCGGAGAAGACGGGCACGTTCCGGCGCAGCAGCTCGCGCTTGTACAGGTCCTTGCTGATCTGCTTGGGGATGCGACAGGTGCGCGGGACGAGGCCGGACACGAAGACGACGACCAGCGGCAGCCACTCGCCCAGCAGCAGCAGCAGCACCGCGAACACGGGCACGCGGCGCATGTCGTAGCGCGAGCGGCGGATCAGCTGGAACTCGGCGCGCGAGAGGGTGCACTGATCCGGGCGCTGGGGGAACGCGCGCGCGTGGCCCAGTTTCGCCGCGAGGCCGCGGTTCACGTTGACATTCTTGACGCCGGCCTTGTAGAAGGCGAGGTATTGTTTGCCGGTGCGCAGGAGGTGGCTGAAGTAGTTTTGACCGGGCTCGCGCTCGGGCAGGTCGAGGGGAATTGGGGAGGTCGAGACGGGCGGGTTGACTAGCTCTTCGGGGTCGACATTGCGCTGGACGGGGGGAGTCGGCGCTGGCTTTTTGACCAGGTTTTGTTTCTGCGGCGGCAAATGCGAGGCGAAGCGCTGGGCGGGATGGAGGAAGAGCGGAGCGGCGCGCAGGAGAAAGGGTCGGTGGCAGGGAGAGGAGAGGGCGAAGGTCGCAGCGAGGGCGCTGCCTGGGCGGAGTATCATTGCATTGGTAGTGGTGGTGGTGATTGTGGTGATTGTGATTGAGTCGTGGTGTTGGTGTTGGAGTTGGTGGAACTTTGGAATCCTGACGACATAACTAACTTTCGGCAGCCTACAGATTGCTTCCTATACCCTTCTGTTCTGCCTCATGCGCGTCCGGATGGCTCTCTCTTCGCCAGCGCGCTCGGATTTCACTCCAATTCCGTCGACTCTTCCACCAATGCCTCCCACCATGATCGCCGCCACCATGCGCGTCGTCGCTAGGCGCAGTGCGTGTCGGCCGCCTTATCCCACCTTTGACTTTCCTTCCAGCTGAGCTGCCACCATGCCGTTCAACCTCGGGCTCCGCAGCGCCGCTCTCAATCCCGCCGTAACAGGCCTCCTTCTCTTCGCCCTCACCGGCGCGCCCTCGACCGTCCGCGAGCCGCTGCTGGAGCAGCTGTCGCGCCTGCCCGCCCAAGTCAGCGTCGCGCGCGTCGTCAAGGTCCTGAAATGGCTCTTTGCTCTCGGCCTTGTACACAAAGCCAATGCCTGGCTCAACTCGCTCGCGCTCAACGGATGGACCCGCAAGGCCGACACTGAGCGCTGGGTCTGGCGCGAAGAGGTGGCTGTCATCACGGGCGGTAGCAGCGGCATTGGCGCCCTGCTTGCCCAAGGTCTCGCTGAGAAGGGTGTCAAGGTCGCCGTGCTGGATGTGCAGCCGTTGTCCGAGAGCCTGAAGAGCTGTACGATTCCCGCGCAAACACCAATGCTTCAATCTAAGCTAACACCATGCAGACAGCGTCTTCTTCCAGCACTGCGATGTCACTGACCACGAAGCCGTCGCTGCCGCTGCCAACGCTGTCCGCGCCTCTCTTGGCCACCCCTCCATCCTGATCAATAATGCCGGTATCGCCACTGCCACGCCTATCATCGAGACGCCGCCCGCGCACGTCCAAAAGGTCCTCGGCGTCAACCTGATCAGTCACTGGTTCACCTGCGCCGAGTTCGTCCCGGACATGATTAAGAAGAACAAGGGTTGGTACTTAGTTTTTCAATGTCCCCAAACAGCTTCGCTAATCCCTGTCCCAGGTCATGTCGTGACCATCGCCTCAATGGCCAGCTTCGTCACGCCAGGTGGCGTGGCGCCCTACGCCTCGTCCAAGAACGGTGCCCTCGCCTTCCATGAGTGTACGTGACGAGTAGCTCACGCCCCAAATATCTTCCAATACAATCCCATCACATCCCGCAAACCACCCACTAACCACACAAACAGGCCTGGCCCAAGAGCTCCGCCACCTCCACGACGCCCCATCCGTGCACACGACCATTGCGCACCCCAGCTGGACGCGCACCCCACTGACCGAGGCCAACCGCGCGGCGCTCGAGAAGCGCTACGGCACGCTGCTGACGGCGGAGTCGGTTGCGGACGAGATTCTGGCGCAGATCTTCTCGTGCCGTAACGGCCAGCTCTTCATGCCGAATGGGTTGAGCAAGGTGAGCGGGCTTAGGGGATGGCCAAATTGGGCGCAGGAGTTCATCAGAGGAAGGGCGGGACGGTTTGGGAAGGGGCAGCAGTCGTAGTGGGTGAAGGAAGTGACAGGACTAGTTTGGCTGCGGAATCGGTTGGATACGGTATATCCATGCGGTGCTTAGCATCGTATTTGGATATGATTATTCTCCGGCTAGGCCCATGAAAACAGTCAATGTTATGGCTGAAACAATTGAAGAAGTTCATTCATGTTGGCCTAGCGTGCCTGGGTTCCCAGTTTGGGAAATGACCTTGGAGTTAAAAAATCAGCGTCTCAGCTGAAGCATTGGAGAAACTATTCCAGCCGTCAGTCCATCTCGTCAGGCAAAAATTCAAGGTACAAACAATCTCGTAGGTGTGATGTTGTGTCTTCACATGAGCGGGTGGCATTTGCCGCACCCGGCCTAGCGCGACCGAGCGGCCCTAGCGCAAAGACCCCGGTCAATGTTTACTTCGGCTCAATGTCAACAAGCCAAGCACCAGCACCACCATCACCATCTCGCAGGCCACACACAACGCGCGCGCCTCGCACCCCCTCACCGCGCCCACCTCATTCTTTGGCCGCGCATGACGACGGCATAAAACGGCATCTTCACCATGGCGCACATATTTCCCTCCTCGCCGCGCACCGAATATGCCGACCAAACGCGCCTCAGCCACCCGGACCTCGACATGTCCATCGAGCCGTCGTTCCACTCGCCATCCAAGCACGGCGACGACCTCGTGCGCCAGATGCGCGGCGGCGGCCGCTCCAGCACCGTGCTCGCGACGCCCAGCGCCCGCAACCAGCTCGCTTCGCGCCGCAACAACCAGCCGTCCAAGAACGAGTTCACGCCGTTGCTGAAGAGCGCCGTCAAGAACAGGATCACGCGCTACGACTCGGAGAACGACAAGGGCCTCTTCAAGACCGGTATTGAGACGCCCGCGGCGCTCAAGCCGGGTTACAAGTTCGATAATTCGCCATTGCCCGAGGCTAGCTCGCCGTACAATGACAACACCACTACCTCGTTGACTGAGATCAATGACCCCGGTCCGCCGGTCGCGAGCAGCAGCATCATGTCCACACCCATGGCGGCGTCGCGCGGCAATGACCCTCTGGACCGCGGAAACATGCTCACGCTCAGAGAGCAGGAAGCGGTAAGTTTGATGGGTTCCCTATTGATTCACACGCCTATGATATTAATCGCGACACTTTAGAAACTCGCGCAAATCGACAAGGAAAATTTCGGCCTGAAGCTGAAAATCCACTACATGGAAGAGAACCTGAAGCGCAGCGGCACCGAGTTCCAGCAGCACACCATCAAGGAAAACACCGACTTGAAGGTCGACCGGACACAGATGCAACTCGAAATCAAGAACCTCAAGAAAACTCTCACCAAGGCGGAAAAGGACCTCGAGGACTACAGGTCACAATTGCGCGACTACGCCGACAAGGTCAAGCGCCGTCACAACGATTCTAGCTCGCGGGAAGAGATTGAGGAGCTGCAGAAGCTTGCGGACGACAGGGCCGCCGAGCTGGAGCAGCTGCAGAAGGATTTGGAAAACGCGACGAAGGATGACGAAGAGGTCGAGAGACTCCAGAACGACATTGGCGATCTCGAGATGGAGCTGCGCGAAAAGGACCGGAACCTCGACGAAAAGGACGAGCAGCTGCAGCACCTGCGCGAAAAGCTGGAAGAAGCAGAAAACGAGCTCGACGCGGACGATGATGAGAGGCAAAAAATCCTCGACGAGCAGGCCGACCGAATTGACGAGCTTCGAGAGCAACTACAACGCGCCACCCAGGAGAGGGATGAGAAAGAAAACGAGCTCGAAACTCTTCGGGAGGACCTTAATGCCGCCGATGAGGATAAGGTGACTCAAGTCAGGGCTCTCCAGAAGCAGCTCGAAGGCTTTGAGCGTCAAAAGAAGGAAGAATTCGAAGCTCTGGAAGAGAAACTTCGCTCAACCGAGCGCGAGAAGGATCTTGAGATCAAGGCTCTGGAGCGTCAGGTGCAGGCCGCCGAGAACGAGAAGCAGAGCGAGGTAGATGCGCTGCTTGATCGCGTCCGGATTGCCGAATCTTCCGGCGGCAACCAGGTCCAGCTCGCACAGCAGGCCGCCAACGATGTTCGGGAGCAGCTCAAGCAGGTGACGCGCGCGAAAGACGACGAAATTTCGGACCTCAAGGCTCGCCTTGACCACGCCGAAGCCCTGACCGACAAACTCGAGGAATGCCAACGCCAACTGCGCCAGTACGCAGAGGAATCGAAGCGGAGAGATGAAGCCGAGGACGAGCAAGAGGAAGAGCTGCAACGGTTGCGGGACGAGCTCCGCGCTAGGGACCGTGAATTCAGCCCCATCAAGAGGCGCGCCGGTGAGCGCGACTTGGTCATCCAAGGCTTGGAAGAACAGGTTCAGAAGCTGCGTGATGAGCTCAGGGCCAAGGAGCGCGAATTCAGCCCGATGAAGAGACGCACCGGTGAGCGCGATACCGCTTTCAGGGAGATGGAACAGGAGATGCAAGACCTCCGCGACCAGCTCAGAGCCAAGGATCGCGAGCTCAGCCCGATCAAGCGGCAGGGCGGGCAGCGCGACGCGCTTGTGCAGGAACTGGAACAGGAAGTCCAGAGACTGCGTGACGAGTTGAGGACCAAGGATCGTCAATTTAGCCCTATGAAGAGGAACGCTGGTGAGCGCGACATTGCCATGCGGGGCATGGAACAGGAACTCCAACGACTGCGCGAGGAACTCAAGGCCAAGAACCGCGAGTTCAGCCCCATCAAGAGAAGGGCTGGTGAGCGTGATACCGCGGCGAAGGACATTGAGAACCTGCGTAACAGCCTAAAGGAGCGCGACAACGAGCTCTCGACGTTGAGGAAGACCATCGACTCTCAGGCAACGGCTCTCGCAGAGGCTAAGCGCCTTCGCTCCGCCAACGAGGAGCACGCGCAGGATCTGAACAGCGTCCACAAGCTCCTCGACCAACGTAGCTCTGATCTCCTCGAGCGCACCATGCAGCTGGACAACGCCCGCAGGACTCTGGGAGAACGCACTCGGGAGCTGGATACGATCCGCAAGTCGCTCGACGAGCGCATGGCCGACCTGAACGACCGGAACCGCGAGCTCGAAAAGGTCAAGAAGACGCTTAACGACCGCAACAACGAGGTCGAGATGCTCCGCAACAGCATGGACGAGCCTGACACGCAGCTCGAGGTGGTCAACAACCTCGTTCGCGAGCGCGACCACGACTTGGAGGATCTGCGCCAGGCCGTCAACGATCGCGAGAAGGACTTGGATGCTTTCAAGAAGCTTGCCGACGAGAGGCTCAATGCCATCCAGAAGCTCAGGGAAGAGCTTGCCAGCACGAAGGAGGAGCTCGAGGACGAGATCGAAGTGCTCATGACCAGCGCCGACGAGGCCGACCAGGAGAAGCAGTCTCTTCGGACCAAGATCGAGCAGCTCGAGAAGGAGATTTCCGGATCATACGAGCTGCAGGACAAGATCGAGCCGCTTGAGAGGCAGCTCCGCACTGCGGACCGCGAGAAGAGCAGCCTGCAGTCGCAGATTGAGGATCTGCAGCAGGACCTGCACATAGCGGACCAAGACCGGGAGTCGCTGCAGAAGCGCGTGCAGAAGCTCGGCAAGGAGCTGGACGACATACGCGCGACGGCCAGCGGCGACCGCACCATTGCGGGCGAGCGCAAGGACCTGCACGAGGCGGTCAAAACGGCCCAGCTGGAAGCCGAGGAGCTGCGCGTCGAGGTGACGGAGAAGGAGAGGCGGCTGGCGGAGCTGGAGAGCAAGTTCCGGCACGAGAGCCGCGAGAAGGAGAAGAAGGTCAAGGCGGCGCAGCTAGAGGCCGAGGACCTGCGGTACAGCAACGCGGAGAAGGACGGCGAGATCGAGGCGTACCAGGCGCGGATGCGGCACGATGGCAACGCGGCGGGCGCGGCCAAGCGGCACGCGGCCGAGCTGCGCGAGCTGCACGAGATGCTGCGCAACGCGACGCTGGAGGTCGAGGAGCTGCAGGCGGCGCTGGGGGAGCGCAAGCGCGACCTCGACGCCGCGACGCGCGAGGCGCGGCAGCTGCTGCGCGAGCGGGAGAAGGAGCAGCAGCGCAAGGCGCAGGACGCGAGCACGAGTGGTGGCGGTGTGGGTGGCGCGGCTGTGGTGCTGGATCTCAAGCAGCAGGTTGCAGAGAAGGAGAAGCGCCATGCGGGCGAGCTGAAGGGCTTGGCGCGCCAGATTACGTATTTGCGCGCGCGGTGTGTGCGTGAGGGCGCGTTTAGGGAGAATTTGGCGTATGAGAAACGCTTCTTCCTTGCGCAGATTGAGATGTACAACCAATGGTAAGTTGGCGTGTCTCTTCCCCTTCCCTACACCACCCTTCTTCAAACCCGACAGAAATAAAAACTAACGCCCCCCACAGCAACGCAACCCAGCTCCGCCTCATCGAAGAAATGGGCATAACGCCCGACGCGACGTTCCGGGCCAAGAAGCCCGGCTTACGCGCCGTCGGGCTGGTGGTCGTGGCGAGCGTGCGCATGCGCCGCGCGAGGGAGGAGTGGGCCAAGTCGCGGAAACTGCATGAGGCGCTTGTGAGGAAGCTGGAGGGGATGAGGAAGGCGAGATCTTTGGGTGTTGGGGCTGTGGGCGGGCCGGTTGGGGGAATGGGGGGGAGGAAGAGCCTGGGGAGGTAGTGTGTGTGTGGGCTTGGGGGAGGGGAGGGCGTTTTTGGTGTGGGTTGGTAGGGGGGGGGAGTGGGTGGATGGCGTTTTCAAGTGTTTAGCTGTTTGTTTGTCTGGGTGGGCGGGGTTTTTATGTCTTCTATCCCACGAGGAAAGAGACGACACACACGTAGTGGTATGCACATGCACATGGGACAGTCGACAAGGGCATCCGTATCTATCGGTCTAGTCCGTCAGTTATCCTATCCCATTCTATTGCTTACGTAGTATATCTACCTTCCTCTCTCATAAGGCTTTCCAGACGCACCAGACCCGGTGGAATCGAATCGCAAAAGCCATACATACATACATACATATTCAGTTCTTTCGTTCATTCACTGCATTGCTTGTTAGGCTGGCGGCGGGACTTGCTGTCTGTCCGTCTCCGCACACACAAACTCGAGACCTGCGCCTCATCCTGCTTGACCACCACATGATGCCGGACGAAGACACGTCCCAAGTAAGGTAAGATAATTTTGGTGAGAGGGGCAGTTATAGCGGTTAATATGGCGTAAGTTGATACTTGTTGAAGACGAGCTTGAGCCCGCCGAAGACGAGGGAAAGCGTGCTTGGGTGTCCTGGGTGACCAACGGAGATTTCGATGAGCCAGATGACTATAGATTACAATCAGCCAACGATGAAATGTAAGTCTTTTGGGGCCGCGATGAAGACGCCATTAAGGAATAAGCAATCCGCATCCGCATCCGCAGCAACGGCCTTGCCGACGCCTCCGCATCCGGTTCAGGACGTTTTGGAGCAGCGTCTCAGTACCTTAGGTTGAAAAAGCGCTGGGACGTGAAGACAGGGCTCTTAGTGGAGGCATGTACGCCGTGTTTCCGCAATGGGACTGCAGCCAATCCCCACATCATGGAGACGTATTCTTGGGAGAGGATTTCGAAACGACGTAAATGTACGGGACGCCGCAGGAGCATTCGGAGGCAGAGTTATCCCTCGAGAGTATGTACTGTAGGTAGGTGAAATGTCCTACGTACATACGTATAAAGGCGTTGATACCAAGACTCGTGCAGCACTAACAAGCACTCCCGACCACACTACAGACACGCTCTGGCGAAGCCGGAATAGCCTCTTCCGCAGCAGGCGGCAGACTGGCGATGAATGACGCAGTGCGGTGAGCTTGCCCAATAACGAACACGAACACGCAAAAAGCGACACGAACACGTAAACTCAGCAGCGCGGGAAAGCAGACGCCAACAACAGAACCCCAGCCGCGTTCTAGAGGGACACCAGAACCTGGTTTCCGCGGCTCTTGTGGGCCGCCTAGACGCAGCAATGCCGAAAAGGAGGCCATGTCGACGCCGATGCTTCCGTCCAGGGCGGGGGTAATGGTGCATATATATACTGCCTCTCCTGCCTACGTAGCTAGACAAGGCAGCAGCACCATCGCTCTCGTTCAGCAATTCGTTCGCTCATTACTGAACGCATACACTCATTCGTTACCTACCTACCTGCCGCAGTCGTTCACCACCACCAGCATGGTCCCGCAGCAAGCGCTCATGGCGCTCCTGCTCGCTCTCGGCGCCACCAGAGGGGCAGCCGCAGCCGGCGCAGCAAGCACCAACTCCACCAACAACAACAACTGCAAGACGACGCCCACCGATGCCTCCTGGCCTGCACCCGACGCCTGGGCCGCGCTGAACACCACGCTTAACGGGCGCCTGATCCAGACCGTGCCGGCCGCAGCTGTGTGCTACGGCGCCGACAACATCCTCACTAATACCACGGCGTGCCAGGCCGTCAGTGCCAATTGGTCCTCCTCTATTTTCCATGCCGCTCTCCCCGAGAGCATCGACTACCCGCTCTATGCTAACGAGTCGTGCCTCCCGCCCGGCGCGTCGGGCTATGTGGAGGGTCGGGGCTGCTCGCTGGGTGGCTTGCCCGAGTATGTGGTTGATGCGAAGACGGAGGAGGACGTTGCTGCTGCGATGAAGTGGGCGGCCGAGAAGGGGATTCGAGTCGTAGTCAAGGGGACTGGGCACGACCTTTCGGGCAGGCAAGCAAAGCGTTGTGCTTTTATTAGTTTTCGATGCTGACAGCAAACAGGTCTAGCGGTGCCTTCGCCCTCTCTATCTGGACGCACAACTTCCTGGCCCTCTCACGCGACACAGCCTGGCGCGTCCCGGGCACCAACACCACCGAGGACGTCTTCATCGCCGGCAGCGGCCACGGCTGGGGCGACGTCCTGAATTTCGCCCTCCAGCACAACCGCGTCGTCACCACGGGCCAAGACCCCAGCGTCGGGCTCGGCGGCTACATCCAGGGCGGCGGTCACGGGCCCCTCAGCAGCTACTACGGCCTGGCCGCGCACCAGGTGCTGCAGATGCGCGTAGTGACAACCACAGGCGACGTGCTCGTCGCCGACGACATCCATAACTCCGACCTCTTCTGGGCTCTGCGCGGCGGCGGCGGCGGCCAGTACGGCGTCGTCACTCAGTACGTCATCCGCCATTTCCCGGAGCCGGCTCATGTCATGATGGGTACGCTGCAGATGATGCCGCGCAGCGGGAGCGAGGCCGCAGCCAACGCTTCCTGGAACGCGGCCGTGGAGCTGTACCGCGCGGTGCCGGACATGGTTGACGCGGGGCTGACGGGATCGGCGACCATGTCGACGGGCAAGACGGCGAGCAAGTTCGCGCAGATGGATGGTGACATCGGCGACGGTGTCGTGATAACGCAGGTTTTATTCGCGTACAACATGAGCGCCGACGCCATGACGGGGCTCGTCGACCCCGTGGTCAAGGACATGCTCAGCCACGGCGCCAACGACTCGATCAAGGTGGTGTGGTCGCCCGGCGCACCGCAGAACTACTCGGCCTTCTTCGACGCCATCTCCGGCAGCAACGTTGCGGGCGCGCAGAGCCTGATGTCGAGCCGGCTGCTCGGACGCGCCGAGCTCATTGACACGCCGCGCGAAGTCGTCGGAGGCTACCTTCGCCGCCTACTTGCCTCGCAGGCGCCGGGCGCGGGCACCTACTCGACCATCGGGCTGCAGGGTGGGCCCGGCGTGCACGGCGTCGAGGCCAAGCGCTGGGGCGCCGTCAACCCTGTCTGGCGCAACGCGTATCTGCACTTCATGGCCGGCGGCGCGGACATGGATACCGAGGCGGATGGAGCGGCCGGCGCGCTGGACAAGGCCGCGCAGTGGGTTGAGGAGACGAAGGAGAAGACGTGGCGGGAGTGGGCGCCAAAGACGGGCGCGTATATGAATGAGGCGAATCCGTTTAACCAGGAGTTTAAGCATGACTTTTATGGCGAGAGCTATGAGAGGCTGTTGAGCGTTAAGAGGAAGTATGATCGGTCGGAGAGCTTGTTTGTGTTGAGCGGTGTTGGGAGCGATGCGTGGGAGTATGACTTGAGCTCGGGCAAGCTGTGCCGGAAGGAGTAGGTTGTTTTGAGTGCTGGTGGCTCATGACTGCCTCGGGGTACTGCCGTTGTGGGCATCTTTGGTGTGAGGTGGAGCTTTTTAGATGTATAGAAAATGCGGATGTTAATTGGAGAGAATGATTGAAGTAATGTGAGCAGAATGGATGATGGGAAAGAGGTGTCTAGACGATGAGATAGGTATGATCGAGTTGAGCACGAAACCAGCTCATCCGAACATGAAGCCATCATCTCCATCTGTCGTGATGTGCAGTCGGACGAGCGTCGGTCGTGGCGCGGAGTTTAGTCGACGCGCACGCGCAGCGGGGCCAATCACGACGCGTGCGTTGTTGTTGTCGCGCGTCGATGGCTGGTCTGGGGTTTCCCAACAATCCCAGCTGCGTCCCCGCATCCGGACACTGCATACGCCTACCTAGCTAGCCAGCAATCCCATCTCTTCCTCTCTCTCTCTCTTACTTCTCAATTCGCTCTCCTCTTTCCCCCACTCTCTCCATCTCTGTCTTTCTGCTCTTTCATCCGCCGGCCCAGAATGAGACCCCGCACCGCCGCCTCAGCCGCCCGCTCGCTGCGCGCCCTCCGCTTCCCCCATACCCACAGCCATGCCCACATCCGCACCCACGCAACGCGGCACGCCCCTTCTGTCGCAGCTGCAGCAGCCTCGGTGCCCAATGGCCGCGCGCGCATGTCCACGGTCGTAGAGGACGGTGCCGCCGCCCGCGTTACCCCGCCCCCGCCTCCGCCGCAGCCGCAGCCCGCTGCCTCGACCACACCCACCACGATTGGCGTTTCCGCAGAGTCCGCCGCCGAGGACCACGATGCCGCGGTTGCGAGGGCGGCGGATGTCGCTGCTGCACGCGAGGCCGGCGCTCGTGACGTCTTTCGTCGCGCGGTGGCTGCGACGGAGCCGAGGACGAATTGGACGCGCGAGGAGATTGCGGCCGTGTACTACACGCCGTTGATGGAGCTGGCGTTCCAGGCGGTGAGTTGGGGTTTTGTGTTTCTTCTCTGGAGGGACATGATGGAAGTGTAGGTTGGAAGCTTGGAAACTAACGCAACGCAGGGCTCGCTCCACCGCCGCTTCCACGCCGCCAACGAAGTGCAGCTCTGCACGCTCATGAACATCAAGACGGGCGGCTGCAGCGAAGACTGCAGCTACTGCGCGCAGTCGACGCGGCACCAGACGGGCCTGCAGGCCACGCGCGTCGAGAGCGTCGAGTCGGTGCTCGCGGCGGCCAAGACGGCGCGCGACAACGGCAGCACGCGCTTCTGCATGGGCGCGGCGTGGCGCGACATGCGGGGGCGCAAGACGAGCCTGCGCAACATCAAAGCGATGGTGTCCGGGGTGCGGGAGCTAGGCATGGAGAGCTGCGTGACGCTGGGGATGATCGACGGGGCGCAAGCCAAAGAGCTCGCCGACGCGGGCCTGACGGCGTACAACCACAACTTGGACACGTCGCGGGAGTTCTACCCGTCGGTGATCTCGACGCGGACGTACGACGAGCGGCTGGCGACGCTGGGCCACGTGCGCGACGCCGGCATCAACGTCTGCTCCGGCGGCATCCTCGGGCTTGGAGAGAAGAGCCGCGACCACGTCGGCCTGCTGCACACGGTGTCGACGCTGCCCGCGCACCCCGAGAGCTTCCCCGTCAACCGCCTCGTCCCCATCCCCGGCACGCCGCTCGGCGAGCGCAAGCCCGTCGCCTTCCCCACGCTGCTGCGCATGGTCGCGACCGCGCGCATCGTGCTGCCCGCGACCATCATCCGCATCGCGGCGGGCCGCACGACCATGTCCGAGGAGCAGCAGGCGCTCTGCTTCATGGCGGGCGCCAACGCCGTTTTTACCGGCGAGAAGATGCTCACGACCGAGTGTAATGGCTGGGAGCAGGACAGCCAGATGTTTGCGCGCTGGGGGCTGGAGCCGATGAAGAGTTTTGAGAAGACGGCCGTGCCGCCCGAGGCTGAGAAGGTGGCTACGGAGGCGGCGAGGGCCGAGGCGCTGTGATGGGGTGGGTGGGATCGGATGTTTGATTGAGTTGGTAGATAGGTATTGGGGGTGGTGATGATGGGTGTGGGGTGCACATATGGATGTACGTATGCAAGCGATTTAGAAACACGCGCTACGCAACAATACAAAAAGGGAACGAAAGAACTTGTCCGCCTCGCCGCCTACATATCTATCGGGTAGACGCACTGTGTACAGACAGCCAAACCGCACGCACTCGCGACGTAACTAACTACTCCCACGCCCCGTCTAGCAAAGCACACAAAGATAGACAGACTGTTCCCTAGATGTACACACATAACCACTCTACAGCATCGCCCTTTCCCCTTCCTTCAACACACCCCCAACCCACCCCCGTACGCACCCCACCAGCCCCCTGACTTCCGCCCCCGTGTTCCCTGCATGCAAGCACACGCGCACTCTTGCCGCGCCAGCCGGCACAGTCGGCGGCACGACGGGCCGCACCATGTAGCCCTGGCGCTGGCAGTGCGAGGCTAGGGACCGGGGGTGTGGCGTGTAGATGGGGAGAATGGGTGTTGGTGCTGGGGCAATAGGGTTAGAGGGGGTAAGGGAAAGAGGCGATACGAGAGAGAGGAGAGGGGGGTTGGTTGCGGGGAGGGATGCGATGAGATGGGTTAGCTGGGCGTGGAGGGCGTGGTAAAGGGTGTGGAGGTGGTGGATGGACTAGGGGTGGGTTAGCTGTTTTGGTGGGGTTTGGGTTTGAGGGAGGACTTACGGCGTCGGCGTCGCCTCGTGCCAGGTAGTCGTAGACGACGCGGATGTTGGCGAGCAGGGGGAAGGGCGGCGCGGTCGTGTAGATGAGGGTGCGGGCGTAGTTGATCAGGTAGTCGCGGGTGAGGGGGGAGGCGAGGACGATTGCTGTGGGGGTGGGTGGGTGCGTTAGTTGAGTTGGATGAAGGAAGGAAGGAAGGAAGAAACGCACCGCCCGCACACCCCATGGCCTTCCCAAACGTATGCACCCTTGCAAACACCCTCCTCTCCAACCCGAGCGCGCACACGAGCCCCCTCCCCCTAGCCCCGCACACCCCCGTCGCATGCGCCTCATCCACAACGACATAGCCATTTCCCCCTGCCAACACCGCTTCCACAGCCTCCACCATCGCCGCCAACGGCGCCACATCCCCATCCATGCTATACACGCTCTCTACGGCCACGAAGACGTTCCGTTCGCCCGTCCGCACCTTCTCGTCGCGCGCCACCAGCCCCTCCAGCACGCTCCGCAGCGCCCCCGCGTCGTTGTGCCCGAACGGAATCCGTGCCCCGGCTCGTGATAGCCGCATCCCGTCGTGCATGCTTGCGTGCACCAGCGCGTCGTACACGACCACGTCGCCCGGCTGCGGCGCGCTGCTCAGCAGCCCGACGTTCGCGTCGAAGCCCGTCGTGAAGAGCAGGCCGGAGTGGGCGCGGTGGAATGCTGCGATGCTGCTTTCGAGGCTGAGCGCGTAGGCGCTGTTGCCGTCGAGGAGGCGGGAGCCGCCGCTGCCGAGGGGGAAGAGGGGGGGCGGCGTGTTGGTGGTGCTGTTGTCACTGCCTGGGACCGAGGGGAAGGGCTGCGGCGAGTTGAGCTCGGCCAGGTACGCGGTCCGAATGGCGGCCGAGGTCCGCAGGGACAGGTAGTCGTTGGAGCTGAAGTCGATGCTGTCGGGCGGGGGGAGGGTGAGTTGCCGGCGCAGCGAGCGCGACTGCCGCGACGCGAGAAGCGACTGGAACGTCTGCTCTAATGGGGTGGTTGGCGACATTGTATTGTTTGTTGGTTGTTGGTCCCGATTGCGGAGGATGTGGAGAAGGCCGAAAAAGGCAATGTCGAGGTTGGAGAGGAATTTTTTGGTTGGAGCGAGTTGGCCGATGGACTTTGTGATGCGCTTCCTTGCTCTTGCGTGCCCGTGGATTGCTCAACGGACGGTTTTTCTTTTTTCAACCGCCTTCTTTTTTTTTTTTACCCTGACTCCGATGTTGTTTGTTGTTGTTGTTGTGTTCGGTTCGGTCCCGGCTCGGTTTGTCGCGCGCGGGCGATCGCGAGCATTCCATCTCAACATTCAACGAAAGCTTCACCTAGTATCATCGCCTTCTCTCCGTCATGCTTGCCGCATAGCCTGTGCTGACCCTCTATCGCCCTCCCCTTCAACACCACCATGCCGCCATTGGGCAGCCTGCTGTGGCGCGGCCTGCGCGTCCACCAGGTCTACGGCGCCAACACGGGCGTCGGCAAGACCATCTTCTCCACCGTCTTGTGCAAGGCGTCGAAGCTGGCGTGCCCGGACGAGCGCGTCAGCTACGTGAAGCCCGTGTCGACGGGGCCGCTGTCGGACGCCGATGACGAGTGAGTGTATGTCGTGCAACTGCGGGACCTTCTGATGTGTGCGCTCGGACTCATTGATGGACGTGCAGGTGCATATGGATCCGCTGATTTTCTGTTCCATCTGACTCGATTCTTCAGACATATCTCGTGGTTCGCGCCGGGTGTTGTCACAAAGTGTCTCTACCAGTTCGAAAAGCCCGTCAGCCCGCACATCGCCGCGGCTCTGTCCAAAAAAGTAAGCCCTACCTCGCCTCCATCCGCAAACACTAACTTTCAAAGGACACGCCCTCGGACGACATCTTGCGCTCCAAGCTCTACGACTACGTCTCCGAGTGCGCGCGCGCCGGCCCGGGCTGGGCGTTTCTGGAAACCGCTGGCGGCGTCCACTCGCCTGGCCCGTCCGGAACCTCGCAGCTGGACCTCTACCGCGCGCTGCGTGCGCCTGTCGTCCTCGTCGCCGACTCGCGCCTGGGCGGCATCTCGTCAACCATCTCCGCCTACGAGTCGCTGAAGATCCGCGGCTACGATGTCGAGGCCGTCATGCTGTTCAAGGACAGCGAGTATCAGAACCACGGCTATTTGAAATCCTACTTTGACGACTTCCACACGCCCAGTCTGGCTATTCCTGCCCCGCCGTCCAAGAGCCCAAATCCGTCGACTGACGAAGACAACATGACTGACTACTACCGCGGCGTCAGCGAGAGCGAAGACGTGCATGATGTCCTCGCCCACTTGGCCAGACGGCACGAGAGACGCATCAAGAGGCTGGAGACCATGTCCAGTCGCGCGTACGACCAGATTTGGTGGCCGTTTACCCAGCAAAAGCTTCTTTCTCCATCCACCATCACCAGCATCGACTCTGCAAACGATGACTTCTTCCAGACCTTCCAGCAGCAATCGGCCGGCCAGAGCGAAGACCTCCCCGCCGCTTCTCCCGTGAAACCTCTGATCAAGCCCTCATTCGACGGCTCAGCCTCCTGGTGGACCCAAGGCCTCGGACACGCCAACCCCAAGCTGACGCTCGCGGCCGCCTACGCCGCAGGCCGCTACGGGCACGTCATGTTCGCGGAAGCGGTGCACGAGCCGGCGCTGGGCCTCGCGGAGCTTCTCCTTAATGAAATGCAGAACCCGCGCCTCCAGCGCGTCTTCTTCTCCGACAATGGCAGCACCGGCACCGAAGTCGCCGTCAAGATGGCCCTGCGCGCCGCGCGCACCCGCTACGGCTGGGACGCGTCGGAGGACTTGGGTATCTTGGGCTTGAAGGGAAGCTACCACGGCGACACGATCGGTGCCATGGACTGCGCCGAGCCGTGCACGTACAACGAGAAGATTGAATGGTACAGCGGCAAAGGCTTCTGGTTCGACTTCCCGACCGTGAAGATGGTGGATGGGAAGTGGATCGTCGAGGTGCCGGAGACGTTGCAGGAGGCCCTGGGCCCGAGCCAGTCGTTCAACTCCCTGGACGAGATTTTCGACCTCGAGACCCGTGTCAAAGGCCTCGCGTGCAAGCAGTACGAGCAGTTCATCACGGCCACACTCGAGAAGCTCGCCGCGCAGGGCCGCAAGTTTGGCGCCCTCATGCTCGAGCCCGTCGTCCTGGGCGCCGGGGGCATGCTCTTTGCGGACCCGCTGTTCCAGCGCGCGCTGGTGAGCGTGGTGCGTCGCAGCGCGCACATCTTCGCACCATCTCACTCTGCTCCTGCGCCAACAGGAGAGAGCAATAGTAGTGCCGACCCAAGCAAAAGTTTCCGCGAAATATCAAGCGAAGACCAAGCAGTCGTCAAGCAAATGATGGCCGAAGACGGAATCGAATCGATTGAGGAATACACGAAAGTCCAGCGGGCACCCTTGGCCAGCTCTAAATCAGCAACAACGTGGACAGGCCTCCCCGTCGTCTTCGACGAGGTCTTCACGGGCCTGTACCGCCTCGGCCGCTTCAGCAGCGCGTCCTTCCTGGGCGTCCACCCCGACGTCTCCGTCCACGCGAAATTGTTGACAGGTGGCTTGCTGCCGCTGTGCACTACGTTGGCGAGTGAGTCCGTCTACGACGCCTTCTTGAGCGACGATAAGACGGACGCCCTGCTCCATGGCCATAGCTACACCGCGCACGCTGTCGGCTGCACCGTCGCGACGGAGTCGGTGCGCACGATGCGCGCGATGGAGCGCGAGGGCGCGTGGGACGCGTTCCGCGAGGAGTGGGCGGGGGCGTGTGCGGGTGCGAACGCGACACCAGCCAAGGATCCAGCCGCCGTGTGGTCCGTCTGGTCGGCCGCCTTCCTGGCCGCGCTCTCCCGCTCCCCGCGCGTCGACGCCGCGTGGGCGCTCGGCTCGGTGCTGGCCATCACGGTGCGCGACGAGGCGGGCGCGGGCGGGTACACGTCTACGGCAGCGAAGGGGGTGCAGGCCGCGCTGGCAGACGGGGCCGCTGGCTGCAGCGTGCATTCCCGCATCTTGGGCAATGTCCTCTACCTCATGGCGGGGCAGAAGACGAGCGTGGAGACTGTGAAGGAGGTGGAGGGTTGTGTGGGGGCGGCGTTGGGCGTGCGTGTGTAGGTAGGTGGCTTGTATAGTACGCTGCTGCTTCGACTTTGGATGTACGGAGAGGTTGTGGAAGAGCGGATTGGTCAAGACTGAGATGTGTGTGTGTGTGTGTGTGTGTGTGTGTGTGTGTGTTCTTTTCTTCTTTGCGCCGCTGTTGTGGTTAGGCGCGGCGCTACGCATGACCTTTCAAAGCTCCATTGTCTTGGTTTTCCGGCTGCGGGGCTTACGTGTTTGTGTTTGTGCTTGCTTGTGCTGTGTTGTCTAAAAGCGGACCTATGGTGGTTTGGCTACTGTTGGGCCCTTTGGCTCGCTCCTCGGCTTCGTTCTGGGGATATGGAGGGCGCGCACGACGCACTTCTTGTGGGACTGGATAAATTGGCTGTGTGTGGGATGCGAGAGTGTACTGGGAAGGTACGGGATCCTTATTTGAGTAAGGACGAGGTATGCACAAAGGCCTTGTTGCCAGGGCTGATGCATCATGAGTAGACACTTCAAGACAGTAAGTACAGCAGCGTCGTTGGCAGCAACCCTGCCAGCTGTTGTGGTGGTTTGGCGCGGCTTTGCGCATGCCACCTTTGCCTTGGTTCTGCGTGCTAATTGTCTTGGTAGCGGATCTCGAGTTCTCGATAGGTAAACGCGGAATCATTGCTTGTTGAACCGTGGAAGGTGGACTTCGGTAGGTACCGGGGTAAGCGCGCCAGTCAGAAGTATGATCACGACAGGCTATAAATTCGCAGACTTTGTCGAATGATTTTTCAAAATCGTGTTCTAGTGGTTCCTTCACATTTTCTAAGAAAGGTAAGCGCTTTTACACTCATCCTCGCTTCTTCTTCTTCCTGTCTCTCTCTCTCTCTCTCTCTCTCTCTCTCTCTCTCTCTCTCTCTCTCCCTCTCTCTCTTTCTCTCGTTCAATCAACTCACATTCTATCCAGACTTCAACACGAATCCAAGACAACTGAAAACAGCGTAAAGCTGTTGATAGTAGCCACACCCACAAAGGCATGACAATAGACGTCCTGCCATACCGAGTCGGAATTCCACGGCTTTTGCCGATGCCTACCGCTTTTACAACGCTCCCCGTTGAGGAAGAAGTACTCAAGACACGATTACCCGGAATAAAAGCCAACCTGAAGCCTCATCACGTCAACGCTGTCAGCATCGAAGTAGTGTCGCTATATACGATCGGAGTCACAGAGCTTTCTCGACCCACGCTACAGATTATTGTCGGCGAGGGTCCCTCTACTGCATGGGTCGCAGCAGCTCAGGATATTGCCCGGCTATACCCATCAGTTTCAGTTGAGATGGTGCATAAAAAGTATCCGACTTTTGAGGCTATTGGGCACGGCGAAGAATAAATCCTTGCAGCCTGGGAAGTCTTGTCCCCACAGATCATCCGGTATCTCCAGTAGAATATGGAATGGACGTCGCTCTCGTTAGTCCGACAGGAAGGCGCCCCAAGGCCACATGTCTTGATCGAGGTTAAAGGAGCAGCGCAAGCATTGGACCACCTGGACACTCTCCGCGAGATGAATTACGGTCCCATCTACGATGTGGATATCTGGGAGTCCCAAGGTTTACACTTAGCTGGAGATGACGACTTCATTGGAAATGGCGCCAGCCTTCCTAGAAGGGTGTGGAACGGAGACGTTCACATGGGCAATTCCATAGGAGGCACCTCCACCGGCAGTCATGGCACCATTGGAGGCTTCGTTACCCTCGAAAGAGACAGAGTTGAAAAAGAGTACGGAGTCACTAATTTTAACGTCTCCCTCCTAAGCCCCGGCGTCCGCGAGGCTTCCAGCGCTGGTACCAAGCCCATAGATCGCCTTGAAGGTTACTCATACTACATACCTTCGAGGAAAGATTCCACAGAAATGCTTGACGGCATTATGATGGAAATTGTCGGCGTCAAAGGAAAGCTTTACGAGAGCAACAACAACTTCCCAACTATCGCCGAACTAGCAGGCTCGGGGGGTATTAAGGCGGCCAAACAACTCAAAAATGGACTCAAGGCCATTGATGAGCAAGAGCGCTTTCAGAAAGATGTGGAAAAGAACCTTGCAGAAACCACTGGAACCCTCCATGCAGCCAGCGCCTACACGTCCCGAGAAGAAAAACAAGGGGAAATAGCTCTTGACTGGACACTGATTGAAATAGACAGGGATATCTCCTGGCGTTTTCCTTCTCGGTCAGGAAATCCGACAACGGCATACAGTACGTTAACTCCACCAAGCTCGAAAAATAAACCTGACATATTTCAGCTATACCTACATGTAAAGTATCCTTTCCCCATACATATGGTAGCTACATGTGTGTATTTAGTGCTTAGAAGAAGATGTAATGTAGATGTTCGTATACCTTCTCAGCTGCATAAATATAATGAGTGTATTCTAGGTATGTCTACTTCTGAAGTAAACTATCTGTACATGTGAAGTACGTGTTCTCTTCTTCGTAAATACATTCATCTGCATACATCTGACAATTATTCTAAGTTATTTAGCAAGTAGTAGAGCAACCGATTTATACTTTTGTACCTATATACGAACCAACCCGTCCCTACCGCAGAGGTGAATATGTAGTACTATGAAAGTACTATGAGAAGCAGCGCTGAATATTCTGTGTATAAGCATACAGCATGGCGTATAGATTGCAGAGAGCCTCCACTGTCACTTCCTCGTATACGCGGAGCCTCTCGCCTTTTCAGCCAACTCAACAGTGTGATAACAGTTGCAACAATCACTCACTGATATATTTGGTATCATGAAACGCTATTTCATTTCTGTCGTGTGCTAACTGAAGAAGTCTTCGCCCTTTTGGAACATTAGTCCCAGGTATCTCCATCCGAACGCCTTAACTAGCCTACTAGGCAGCTATTGGACGCAGAGGCGCAGAGAAGCCATTAATCGTTGCTAAAGGAAGAAGGAAATCCCCTGAAAAGCCAATTTCTGATGCCGTTACCAGTTAACTCCTAAGCCTGAGAATGTGCAGGTAAAGACCGTCTGGGTATGAGTTATTTGACTGATGGATGCGGATAGACTCCTCTCACTGAACAAGTTGCGGGCGCTTGAAGACGCTTTCCACGAGGGTGTCCGCATTCCTCCTGTTCGTTTTTCCAATTCCACTCAATGAATACCGGACATGGACGCCGGTGATGCCTGGAGGAAAGCCCTCCTCGTTCGTCAAGAGCTTTGCTGTTTCCTTAAAAACCTTTCGCACTTGGGGGGCATCCGGTATCTTGTCATAAATGACACCGGGTGCGTGCGTTTCCGGATGGAGCTTTTCTTTGATGGGAAGCATGTAGTGCTCCCATGCGGCGATGGAAGCGTTAGTGACCGTCTTCCTCATGAGGGATGCCATGTGGTTGTCGTTCAAGTTAGCTTCCAGAGCAATGACGTCGGATACGTGATAGTAGAATGCCGCAAAGACATCTTTCGATATCTGATCCACCCAGAATTCCTGTTGATGTCTGGGTGATTGCTCGGCGTAACGGAGACCCTGCGAAGGGATTGCCATCCACTGATGAACACTGTCTGGTGGGACAGGGTTGCAATCCTGTACCGCTTCAATTCTGCTTATCATCGTCGCCTTCCACCTCCGAATGATTCTTTCCTGTGCTTCGTTGCCCCTCTTCGCAATGATAGGACTATTGTCCACTCCGTTTTCCAAGGCAGTTCGTAGGTGCTGAAGGTATGCGCCCTTCCGTTCTTCAAAACTTTTGAACAACGCATCAGCGTGTTCCCTACATTCCATCCCATTTCGTGGCAAGGACTGGGAGTCCGTCGTACCCGACCTGACCCTGTGCGCTTCCAGACGCACATTCTTGAGGTTGGTCAGGAAGTCGTTATGAGTCACGGTTGAGGAGACCTGAACAATGTCAATCAGTATACTCAGTTATCATAGGTGGTGAACTTACCCAAGAGATGAACCAGGACTTGGATGTATCATTAGTTTTGGTCGGTAAACCGATAGCGCCATTCTGAAGCCTCGTTGACAACGCCTTGCATTTCTTGACCTTCTCCTCGAAATCGGTAGTGTCTGAGCCAGTCGCGCCGCTGGCGCATATGCGCGCGTTCGCTTCTGAGGTGTTGTTGTAACGAAAGAAGTAGACCTTTCCGTAGTCCTTAAGTACACATTCCGTAATGCTGCCGGTCCATGTTACTTCCTCCGTTGGAACACCAGCAGCTGGGGCGAGGCATGTCAGACCAATCCCGCCAAACCTTGACGCATCTGTAAGCCAGTAGTCTGGAAGGGGTGGCGGGATGTCCGGGAGCGGGCACTCGGCATCGTCTAGCGAAAGCATGACTGGCAATATCAACGATGGAAGGATGGAGTTGAGTTGAGGCTGAGAGAAGACATGCAATTAGCAAAATCTCAAGTGATCGACCCTAAAGACAGGTTGTTGACACGCCGAGGTCGAAATGCGACCAGGAAAGTAGGCCGAAGAAGTGAGGTAGTTGACGAGACCTCGCCTGGGAGAAGCCGACGGCAAGCGCAAAGCAGGGTTGAAAGGAAGTAGGCGAGTAGCGAGGTAGGCCTAAATGGCAAGAGTCGACAGACTAGACCTTTCCTGGGCAGGCCTGGTGACGAGCAGGCGAAGTGAAGCTGGGCAGTGAGATCCATAGGCGAGGGACGGTAGGTGGCGGCAAGACTGCGCTGGAGCGACCCCGGCAACTGGCAAAGGGCAAGATCGAAGAAGCCGAGCTGGAGTCGATGACCAATACTGCTGAGCAATGAAGCAGCGAGCGCTGCTTGCAAGAGATGAAGCAGCGCTGCAGGCTAAGCGAGATTAGCTACATAAGGCAAACACTAAGCCTTATCAGGCAAGTGAAATCTGCCTGCAAGACAAAGGTCCAATACCGATGACCCGAGAAAACGAGAGTATGTCCAGGGTATTTTGAACGAGTATACAAGTGCACCATAGGCCGATGAATTATGAGTAAGAGGTCGCGGAAAAGCCAAAAGCGGTAAATCTTGAAGAGTGGACAACCTATCCGGAGCCTTTTACATTAAGGTATGCATTAAGAACAGAACGATGCACGCAAGAACGCATCACCAGTGACGAGAACTCTTGTAATAGGAAGAAGCAGAAGGTGTCTGGCAAAAATTCAGCCTATCTAAGAGACTTCAATACCGCTTGCCATAAGCACTCCCGTCATTCCTTTTCGAGCTTCTTCACCTCAAAATGCTTTCAGTCACCTGTTCCACCAACAAAGGGAACTTCCGTGTTTGTTGGCAACTTCACACTACTAAAGTTAGCAACCAGTAAATTGACCAAATCGTTGACGGAGACGTACACGTAGGAAGCGGAGTGGAGAAATTCTACGATCATGATTGCGCCAGCCTCTTCGAGCTTGTGCCAGCAGCGCTGGAGTTCGTCGACCGTACTCATCTCTTCCTCAGGCGGGGCATGGTAGATGATCTGCGTTAAATATCAGGACCTGCTTTTAATTTGAAGGAAAGGGATGGCTTGCCCTAAAGAAGTTATAGTCCATTGTAGTGCTTTCTGTGTTGTAGCTGTCGGAAGTTATGGTTGGTTAGAACAAAGCAGCTTTGAGTAGGTGTAATACGATTCAGTTGCTTCATTTCACCTTTGTCGTTTCGGTCTCTTTTCGTTTCGGTCTCTTTTCGTTTCGGTCTCTTTGTCTCGGGTTTGAGCAAATTCAAAGTTTGCCAAACTTGCGGGGAAGTGCGCTGTAAATGCTTGTAGACTGGCTACAACAGCTCAGGAACAGCCTTTCTGTCTCTGAGACCGGTCGACTACTCTCTCGCTGAAGATTCTTTGCTCTACGCTTGCGAATTATACTAAGTAGCCTTTTTGCTTATGCGAATATATACTAAATAGTGTGCTTGCTAATCGGTACCAAATAAGCCGAGGGAACTCTACCATAGAACCGCCTATAAGCCACCTTCTCGCCACTTCCTTGCCACATTCAAACTGCAGCTTGGCCCGGCTTAGCCGCCGACGGGTCGCTCCTCAAAATGATTCGACCCGTCCCGGGCGCCTTCGACCCGTCTGAACACGCAGTCCAAACCTACTTTAGCCCGGACTGTTCCGCACTCTGGCTCCGCCTAGTCAAGTACCTTGAGGAAGGCACTCTTGTGGCCGAGGTATGGCTCTGGCTACTGAGGAAGGAACACTTCGCGCGCGTGGCTTCGCGATCGCAACCCGTATTTTTTTCGTTCCCGCCGCATCTTCCCTTTACTGGTTTGGTCCTACGCCCCGATTCGCGCACTACGGTCAACGTCAGGACAACAGTCAACTCCCCGCGAAAATTACAGCGGTGAGTACCGAGAAGGCTCTATCCGCTATGCCATTCTGACTCAATCTTCTGCAGATGTCGCGAAACAATGCTTTCCCAGTGCATTGAGGAGGTGCAAAGCAATACGAGGCACGCACCCGAACATGAAAGCTCTACAAGAGAAGGTTAAACTTGCGCTGGCCAATCAGAAGTATTACGGGCAAAATCTCCAGTCATCGAAAGTGAAGCGCGCCGTTGTACGAAAAGTGGCAAGGCACTTGGTCACAGAAGGCCTGGTTAATCTGAGTAAGTGATTTATGCGGTCCTTGTTTTGTCATCAGGATTAACGTCTAAATGCACTAGCTTCCAATGATGGCTCCATCCTTCCGGCCCCGGGCCAAATTACACCGTCTTTGCTATCTGGCAACGATACTTCTGCCGACACAACACCTATGAATATCATCGCAGCCAAGCAGGTCGAAACTGTTTTCCTAGCTGCACCTACCGCGAAGCCGCCCCCTCTTCCAGGCATTGATCATACTCAAGAACCGATTCCTGCCACTCGGAAGGTCATCAATCCCACAGTACCAAAAAAGAGGTCGGCGGAGGAAACCGAAGCCGTAGTCGCGAAGAAAGTCAAGGAGTCTGACGACCGTGATCCAGCCTATCGCGTAAATCTGCACAGATATCACCTCAACATGGACACTGATGTGGAAAGGACGGAAAGGTGCAGTGTCTACTTAACAGGTACTTCTGTCGTTGGCCGAATCCACTTCAAGCATGGCAGGGAAAACAAACGGACGGGCGCACGTTCTATTTCGATCTCGGCATTCGTCCCGGATTTTGATATCGATGCTAACATGCTGATCTCCGCTTTCTTCGGTACACACACAACATACCACTCCGAAGGTACTTACTTCTCCAGGCATTACGGAGTGCTGCCAAGGGAGTTGTTTCTTGACGCCATTATGAGCGGCGAGGTTGTCACGCGACGCACCAAGAACAGGGTAACATTTGCCCGTGCTAAGACCATCGCCGACGCCTGGGGACTCACCAACTACCTGCAACCCTTGTTCGATGCCATCACCACTAAGCTTTTTCATGCCTGAACTCGGACGCCTGGCATCCAGTTACCTCTGTAGCCAATTCAATTCCAACAATTTTGTTAGACAGCAGCGTTAGGACTGCTCAACAAGGCGCCAGGACAATACAAAAACATAGATGATATGAAACATAGAAGTAGCTAGACATGAATAATAAATAATTTTGTCTTACCGATACCTCTCGGTCATGGTGATGAGCTTACTTACCTAGTAGGTAGTTCGTAAAAGAAAAGGACCAAAACTCTTTTATACCCTTTGACTGGTATATATTTCGGTAAATCTCAAACGGCTGGAGAGATAGATATTGTTTTAAACTATATGCCCTTGTAAGGCATGCATCGAAATACGAATGCAACTGTGAAGCTGGGCGCGAGGAATTGGACGCCGCTTGTCCTCCTAAATTACTACTACCTATGGAGGTATATATGCTGCTATCTAAAAGAACACGTTTTCTCTTTAAGATCCTTATTCCCTTGCAGTGGATAAACGTGTGGTGTAAGGGTAAGGCTGTAATGTAACAACTGACTGTAATAAGGCTGAAAAAACGAGATTTATCGGAGTGATCCTGGCTGACAGCAACCTTTTTATCTGTTTAAAGAGTAACCCATAAAGAGCATTCTAATCTACATACATGGGCACGTAGGGCATGGACGGAATATATTTAAAACTTAAATAACGGATCACTTGACACACACTCGCTTCTACGGCGGAAAGCTCACTGTGGGGATGTTAATAGTATCGTAGTTCTTATGATTATTGAGGTTTGGGCCATCTAAATTCATCCTCGCGCCTACAAAGTACAGTATGCGGTGAGGATGAAGATGATTTCATTGTGTTTGCGAGTATGGGAATTTGAGGTGGCTTGACACATCCCTGATTCTTCAGTGTGCGGTCTGCTGTAGGGATAGTGATGATATCGTAGTGCTTGCAAATGTTCAGTTCGGGAGCTTCGAAAATGGAGAAGTGGTTGTGCTGTCACGGCTGTGTCGGAGGGACAACGAATTCATACACCTTTAAAACAGCTGCTACACAAATGTCTATAGCATGTTTTCGATGCCGTGATCCACGCTTTTCATCATTTTAGTTGCGTATTCTTCGAAACCTTCAAGCTTTTCCGGGCTTGATAAATTTTGTCATGTCCCGACTTCACTTCACTTCCGCTTCACTCATGGTTGCCTAAACCGGCGTCGTGGCTCACGGACCACCCAGTCAACTAACCTAAATCTCCACCGGCTCTTCGACCTGCAATTTAACAACATTGCCCTGCACGTTGATTTACACCACGTCCCGCACTCACCGGAGACCCGTACCCACAGAATGGCAGACGGAGAGGTTTCTCACGTGAGTTCACGCTTTTATTGACATTAGCTCACCACGACGCTGACTTCTCACCGATGACAGTATTGTTGTTATCCGCCTGCAGCATTTGGAACTCATCACGTACCGGATCAAGCGACGATTCGAGGCGATGTATTTCAAGCCTCCGGGCAAGACGGTCGGCGAGGAGGCAGCTAATGATCAACCCGTTGAGGATGACGGCTCTGAAGTTTCCCCGGAGATTCACGTGGACCCGGACTCAGACGCCATTCTCATGACCGAAATTGTCAACGATGGCCGCAATGCTTCCAAGGATACTCGTGTGACTGAAAGCATCAAGGCAACAACTGTTGAGACTCAAGTTTTCGACCAGTGCAGACAAGAAGCTTGGACCTATGTCCACGAGCTTGCCGAAGGCTCTGCCAGCGGCTGACCGGGTCTTGCTGATGAGCAGAAAGAAGCAAAAGTCACCGCTTTCAACCAGGCTATCAAAAAGCTCATCGAGAATGCTCTAAAGAATAGCCATGTGATCGTCGGAACTACGATTACCTCTGATGACCTCCACCGTATGGACAAATTCAATTCCACGCTCGCTATCCTCGATGAAGCTGGTCAGGTGGGAGAGCCCCAAGCTCTTACTGCCACTGGCAACACCCCGACGGCCAAGGCTTACATCCTAATCGGAGACAACAAGCAGTTGTCGCCAACGGTCGTATTTGCTCCTAGAAAGGGCAAGATCAATGTCGATTCTGAGTTGCCAGTTATCGATCCTGCCCAAGATGAAGATGATACTGGATCTGAAGATGGCGATAACGAAAGCGAGTCTGGAGAAGCCCCCAGTAACGAACTCTACCAGCAGATCACATGGTTATTGCTGGCTCGTTTGCTGGAGTTAGGATTTCCGGCGCATCTGATGACCATCCAGCAGCGTGCAGTCCCCGGAATTGCGCACCTATGGTATTCGTTGGTCTACAGCGCCAAAGTTAGCAACGGTGACAGAACTGCTGTCGTTGTCCGCCCAGACGCCGTGGCATTTCAGGCATGGGTCAAGACGACACATGGCTTCGACAATACCAGTGTTATCTTCATTGACACAGAGAACTCGAAGTTCACCTTCGCCGCCGGCACAAAGTCCGGGAAGAACGAGGATTTTGCACTCGAAGCCAAGTCTATTAACGAGGCGCTGAATCAAAACCACGGTATCGCCAAGAACGACGTTGCTGTCGTGACTCCATACACCGGGCAGGTCATCACGTACAGCATGTCCGGAGTGCCCACAGCCCACACTGTCGACAGCTCGCAAGGTAGTGAGTTCTCTATTGTCGTCTATGACCTTGTCGGCGCTGGCAATGGTGAGAGGCCCATTCACTTCATCGAAGACGGGCACAGGCTGAATGTCGGCATCTCGCGCGCTCGTAATGGCTTGATCATCATCGGTGATTCTCGCGTCGTCACGGCGAAGCCCAGGTCGACTGAAAGCAACATGAGCCATCTTCTCGGAAAAGTTTTTGCGAACCTCCAGGAACTTGGTCCTGTCGTCAAGAAAACCTTTGATCATCCTACCAAGTGCAACATTTGCTCAAATCTTGGACATGTTGCTAGGAATTCCCGGACAAGGTCAAGTCCAGGTACTGCCAGGCCCAAGGCCACAAGGCTGCCGAATGTCCGGAAAAGCCTCGCCGCGTTTGCCACAAGTGCCAGAGCCCGGATCATCTTCTTAAGGACTGTCCCGACCGCCTGACCTGCATCAAATGCCGCGCGACCGGGCACCTTGCGAAGGATTGCATGGAGGTGATCTGCAATCGATGCAAGGAAAACTCCGAAGGCCCTCAAGCAAAGCGCCGGCGCTGGTTGGGGCAATACCGGTAGCAAAGGCAACCCAGGAGCTGGCTCTGGTGGTTGAGATGCTGACAACAGTGCATCCGCTTCAGGCAATTTGGGACATTGATGCTGGGACCGGGGGCGGATCTGGCACTGCCAACGGTGGCGACGGCAATAAAGAGATTGGTTTTATGTTGGATATAGACGGCATGGACATCGATAACGGAGGAGCTGATCTTGGCTGGACCGTGGACGGGGACACTGGCGTCGAGGACAAGCGTTGGGCTTAGGTAGTATACCAGTTTACCCGATCTTAAGCTATTCTGTACACTCCGCGTGCGTATATGTGTGTAACCTATCATTTGGTCTCCTACCTTGGTGTTTTTGTGCCTTGGTTGATTACTCTCGCACCATCGTATGTTTTTCTCTTGAACTCCTGTAGAATACTCTCGCATCCTTGCACCTCGGTTCCCTTGTATCTCTATAAGTTGTCTTACTCTCCCTAACATCTGTACTTTTGTACCCCCATAGGATGCACTTGTATACGTGTATCTTCATACTACGTACCTCTACTGAGCATTCTCGTACTCTCATGTGTTTTTATCTCGAACTGTTCCAGAGTACCCTCGTCTTCCGCATATTGATACTCTCGTATCTACTTAAGTACTCTTGTACTCTCTGAGCATTATATTTTCGTAGCCTCCTAGACTATCCTCGTAGACTCGTTCCACCATACCTTATACCTTTAAAAAGTAGTCTTATACTCTCGCGTATTTGTAATTTTAAACCCTTATAGAATATCCCCGTTGCTCGTAGGTCTATATTCTGGTATCTTTCTAAACAATACTATACCCTTATATATTTATATTTTCATGCCCTCGTGGAATAATTTCGTATACTCGTAAGTCTATAATCCGTACCTATATAGTATGTTTTCGTACCCATGTATATTTTTGTCTTAAACCCTTATGAGGCACTTACGTGATTTTGTATACTCGAGCCCTTATGCCTTCGTAAGTACTGTTATACCCTTTATACCTTCTTACTTCTGTACTTTTATGATATACCATCGTGTTCTCGTAAAAATTTAGCACTATGTATGCAAGTCTCTCCACCCCCGTTAGCTTTTACTTGCTAAGCGTAGCGATGTAGAACTACCAAGATACAAAGTACAGACCACCTATAACTTACTAAGAAGTACCCAATAGGTACTGCGGACATGGTTTGACATGCAGTTAAGGGGTAAAGTAGTCACAGTGAATACACAAATTGTCAAGGCCTAGATACCATCTGCTTCCAAAGGCATTCTACCTTAACCCATCCAAAAAGAAGCTGATGCCTCGAGAACGAATTATATGCAAGACCTTCAGTTCGCTTCATTTCCACAAACTCCTTAGCCCGTATAAAGGAAGGCTTCTCTTATCTGCAATCTCACTTGTCAAACACACATTAAACGTCAAACAACAACAAACACCCGCTATAAAGAATCTCGTTGTACGGAAGGGCACATTATAGTAGAGCTCTTGCTTTATTGCGCTTGCACCAGCTTTGTAAAAGGAATGCAGTGTAACATCCGCTTGATGCCTGTAAATTATACCGTACTGCAGCTGAGTGACTTGCCGTTTTGAAGACTATTGGCGCTTCATGTTTATGCCTCCCCCGTAGACAATGTAGATTATAGAGTGGCTCATAGCAGCAGACATAGTGATGAACGGTAGCAAAGGTGAAAGATACTCGCGCCATCTTGCGTTTCCTCTTCTGTTCTCCTGAACTCAGCCGTCTTCGTTTTGTCCCGACCTCACTTCACTTCACTAGATTGCCTAACTCGGTGTCGGGGCACACGGGCCACCCACCCGACTAACTTAACTCTCGACCGTCTCCTCAACCAGCACCAGCACCACCTACACCCAGAAGATGGCAGACAGAGAGGCTTCTCCGGTAGATTTCCACGGCTTTATTGGTGCTATACACATGGATGCTGACTTGTCATAGGTGCCCAAGCTTGAGCCGTTGTCGGACGACGAGGCTTCTCACACGGAACGCGTTTCTCACGTAAGATCACGCTTTCGTTGCCACTAGCTCACAACGACTCTGACATGCCTTTAGGTGCCTGATTCCTACAAGAACATCACTGAGATTCTCCAATCGCCCGGCCTGCACGATATCCAGGTGTCGGTGGACCCGGACAAGGACCCCGATGGCTCCATCAGCGTGCATATTCACCTGAAGATCAACCCTGGCAAAGTCACCAGAGAGAGCCCCGAGGAGAACATGGTCATCGAATGTGGACATTGCCACGGTCAAGGCCACGCTGCTGGCGAATGTCCCGAGAAGGAATCCGTAGACTGCCCTGATGAGAAACCCCAACTGTGCCATGAGTGCGGCAGCCCCGATCACGTCCCCAGCGACTGCTCCGATCGCGTTCTTTGCCACAACTGTCGTCAAACCGGACATTGCACCATCAAGTGTCCAGAGGCGATCTGCAACCGATGCAAGGTGAAGGGACACATGAGAAGTGCCTGCAGGGTAGGGCAAGTTCGCCGCGACTGCGATCATTGCGGACAGCGCGACCACCGTTCAAGTGACTGTCCGGAGGCTCCCAAAGCATGACGCCGGCACTGCATTTAGCGACTGAGACAACGAGAGCCATATCGGCACGGGTATAACGCTACCTACTGCATAGGCGCATCCAACAACAACAACAATCAGTCCGCTACAGGTAACACAACAGACAGGGTTTTCCGATTTCCAGAACCGATCGCTGTCACTGGACAATCTACACAGAACACTGGCACCGAGAATCTCCTGCTTCTGACCGATAGTTCAGTTCAGATCGCGATACCGTAGCCGATGGCTTCAAGAATTGCCACTTCCTTAAATAAGACGTACATAGGTAGTCTCAGATCTTCAGAACGGTACACGTTAGCTGACTCGAGAAGTTTCCTCGTGCTTTGTCTAATCAACAAAGTGGCCATGATGTGCTGATGGACGGAGACACGCACGCGCATCACAGCCCATGACATGATAATACCTCAGCGCGCGCGCGCACTAGGGCCTTCCCACAAACGCCCACCCCGCCCTTGACGCCCTACGTCTACGCTACCCCGCTCACGCACACCCACACGCCCACGCACGCCAGCGCACTATCGCCTCCCCGCTCGGCCCGCCCGGTCCTCCCGCCCCTTAACCCACGTGTCGACCATAGCCCGAATGAGACACTCGGTGACGGCTTTCCCGCGGCGCACGTCGTCTTCGGTGGGGCAGTGCGGGACGTGCAGGAAGATGACGGGGCGGTCGGCTTCCTCGTCGGTTGAGGAAAAGGTGGTGCTGGTTGTGGCGTTTGTTTCTTTTGGGGGTGGAGTGGTTGTGTCGACGAGGCTGCGGCCCTCACTGAGTGTTGGGTCCTCACTGAGCGGTCGGCCCTCACCACGGGCACACGCTCCGCTCTCGATGTTGGCATCCTCGCCCTCGCTCTCGCCCTCGCTCTTAGCAGCGCTCACCTCGCCTGCTTCCCCCTTCTTTGCCTCGCTCTCACTTTCCCTCTCTTTCTCTTTCTCTTTCTCGCGCCTCCCCCGCTCCCAAAACCACGCCAAGCTATTCCAGTAAATAAACCCGCACAAAAAGCTGCCCACATCATCACTCGGTCTCAAATCGAAGACGTCCTTCTCCGGCGCCCTGCCCACTCTAACACCCACGTCCCTGCACCCCCTCACCCAGCGCAGATAGCACTCCTCGAACGGCAGGGTCGTGTCTAGGCGCGCCGGGAACACGTCCGGCGGCCACGCGGCGTCGCTCTCGGCGGGCTCGAAGCGGCGGCCCTCGACGTCGCGGTTGCGTCCGTATCCGCTGCGCGCGCTGCTCCGCTCGATGGCGTAGTAGCTGCGGCCGGCGGCGAGGCCCACGTGCAGCACTAGGTCCGGCGTGTGCTGCGACAGGAGGGTGGGGAGCTGGGCGTAGGTCGCATGGTAGGCGACTTTGAGGGGGTGGGGGTGCGTGTAGAGGCGGATGGGGTGGGAGGGGTTGGGACTGCTGGTGGTGCTGGTGCTGGGGAGCGTGGGCGGGAGCAGAGAGGTTATTTGGTGGGAGGGGTTTGGAGGCGACGAGGGCAGGAAGGGCTGCGTGGTGGTTAGTTTTTGGTCGGGGCTGAGCTGGCCTTGGCTATAGGTACTTACGCCGAAACCGGTGACCAGGACGGTTATCTCTCGACCACCAATCGGACTGTGTTCCAGGTCGCTGGCTCGAATGTCGCCCATGGCGCTGGGGAATTAAGGCTGACGGTCAGAGGCGAGAGAGTGGAACGGCGGGGTATCGAAAATGCGACGACTGCGTGGCCGAGCAAGACGAAGAGCGAAGAGTAAAGGTGGGAATATGTAAGAGGAAGCAAGCGGGCAAGAGCGGGGTAGCCGCGTGCAACGAATAGACAAACACGTGGAGGAGGGTCAGCGGAGCGACTCACGGGAAAAAATAAACAAACAGAGAAACAGACACAGGCAGAAAGGTGAGCGACACGGTTATGTATTAGTGGTGGTGAGAGCAGCAGCGTGGTGTGGTGACCGGAGGATGATACCCCGCGCCAGCTCCACAAAGCTTAACTCGACGGCAGCGGTGCCGCGTGCGGAGGATCAGCTCTCGCGGGACTCGTCATCCTCAGGAACAACCGAGGCGGAACGCCAGCGGGCCGAGCACACACACACACACACTGATGGAGGTCCCAACTCCGACAGCGGCGACGGCCACGAGGCAGGGGCTCATAGGGCAGACGTTGGAAATGGCGGCACACGCATTGGCGTCATCACCTACCCCAGCCCGTACCCGCGGTGCCGCATCCGATGCCCAGTGCAGCTGCACCTTCGTGCGAGCCTCATCGAGTCCGCCCTGCTACCGCCCCTCAAATCTCGACTCTCCTTTATCTACCGTCGTCCTGGACGCCTCAATTGCTCTCGCCCAGCACCGCAGCCTCCCTTTAACCCCCGCAATCCCCGTTCCGACACGCCCTACCCACCTTATCCGACCGAACCGCACCGCACCTCCGCCCCGCCCGCCATGCCCGCCCACTCCCACGATTTCGACATAGCCGTCGTCGGCGGCGGCATCGCCGGCATAACGCTGACGGTCGGGCTGCTGCGCGCCGGCGTCAACGTCACACTGTACGAGGCGGCGCCCGCGTTTGGGGAGATCGGGGCCGGCGTGGCCTTTGGCGCCAACGCGACGCGGGCCATGTCTCTGATCTCGCCCGAGATCCGGTCGGGCTTCGCAAACGTCGCCACGTACAACCAGTGGGAGAGCAAGGCCAACATCTGGTTTGACTTCCGGCGCGGGCAGGCCGCCAAGGGGCAGCATGCCGACAAGGACCAGGGCGAGCTGATTGCCTCGCTGCCCACGCCCCAGGGCCAGGCCAGCGTGCACCGCGCCCACTTTCTCGACCAGATGGTGCATCTGGTGCCCGAGGGCGTGGCCAAGTTCGGCAAGCGCCTCGTCGATGTCGAGAATTTGGCGGATGGGAACGTGAAGCTGAAGTTCAAGGACGGCTCCGAGGCGGTGCATTCCGCTATCATTGGCTGCGATGGCATCAAGAGCCGCACCAGGCAGATCGTCCTCGGCGAGAATGACCCTGCGGCTAAGGCCGTCTTCTCCGGCAAGTACGCCTACCGCGGCCTTATCCCTATGGACAAGGCGGCCGAGCTGCTGGGAGACGAGCTGGCGCGTAACAGCCAGATGTACTTTGGCTACCACGGACACGTCCTGACGTTTCCTATCGAGAAGGGCAACACAATGAACGGTGCGTCGCCTTCCCTTATACATCGCTCCCCCCCCCCCCCCCCCCCCCCCCCCTCCCCCCCCCCCCCCCCCCCCCCCCCCTCTCTCTCTCTCTCTCCTCCCTCTCCCAACAACCACAAACTCACTAATACCCCCCCTTAGTCGTCGCATTCAGCAGCAAAGAAACCTGGGACGATCCCAACTGGGTCGTCTCAACCAGCAAAGAGGAGCTCTCCGCAGACTTTGCCGGCTGGTCCAAGCACGTACGGGACATCATCACATTGATGCAAAAGCCGGACATCTGGGCACTGTTCGAGCACCCCCACGCACGCACCTACCACGTCGACCGGATGTGCCTAATCGGGGACGCGGCGCACGCGACGACGCCGCACCAGGGCTCGGGCGCCGGCATGGCTATCGAGGACGCATACGTCATGTCGAACCTCGTTGGCGGCGCAAAGACAGTGCAGGAGCTGGAGGCCGCGTTCGCGGCGTTCGATATTGTGCGCAGACCGAGGACGCAGCAGGTTGTTAGCACGAGTAACGAGGCGGGACGGCTGTATGAGTTTGAGTTGGAGGGGTGTGGTGATGTTAAGGAGCGGATTGAGGCGAATTTGTTGAAGCGGATGAGCTGGATCTGGGAGGAGGATTTGGAGGCCGAGTTGAGGACGGCGCGACAGGTGTGGATGACGGAGGTGGAGGCGAGGGGTGGGCGGCCGCGTTTGTAGGGTGTGTGGAGGGGATTTGGGGGGGGGGGGTTGTACGTTTATTGGAGATGTAGATACGGTAATGATACTCTGTGCATAGCAAGCGGTTTCTATTGTTGGGCAGTCGTTGCTGGGATGTGTTGTGCGCGGACGTGGTTTTGGTTTTGAGTTGGTTGTGGGGTGGGAGAGGATGTGCGCTGGTGAAAACTAAACACTGAGGAAAGAGAATTACAGTGATGCTGTTATTTGCCTAGTCAGGCACTTCAATAAAGAAGCGTACACCCAACAAAGCAGCAGCAGCAGCAACAGCAGCAGCAACAGCAGCAGCAACAGCAGCAGCAACAGCAGCAGCAACAGCAGCAGTAAGTTCATCCCAAAACTCAAATCACCGTCCTCCCTACCCACACACCCCCTTCCCCCTCCACGCCTCCCCACCACCGCCTCCAACCACCACATCCACCTCCCACCCCCTCTACGAATATAAACCCTCAACCCCCCTCACCACCCATCTCCACCACGGAGCAATACGGTCTTGTGGTCTAGTGGTATGATTCTCGCTTAGGGTCCACCCTGAGTTTACACAATAGCTTGCGAGAGGCCCCGCGTTCGAGTCGCGGCAAGACCCTTTTTTGCTCTTGGGAGGGGGGCGGGGGGTGGTTTGAGGTTTTTTTGTTTTTTTGTTTTAGGGGGTTGATGTGGCCGGAGTGATGCCGGGGTGGGTCTGTGCGGTGCTGCGTGGATGGGAGATGGGGAGATGGATGGGTGGGAGAGGCTGTGCGTGTTGGAGGTGAGTGGGATGAGGGAGGACGAGGGGGTGGTTGTGGTTGTGGAGGTAAGGGAGGCGGGGGTTGTGGTGTGCTGTTTGGCTTGGTTGATGGTGAGTGTTTTGCTGGGATAAACAGTACGCGTTGGTTGTGCGGTTGTAGGATGTGGTGTTATACTTGGGTGTAGGAATATGCTAGCTGTCTTTGCGTATAGAGTATTGTACAATAGTAGACCAAGGATGAGGTAGGTTCCGATTGGGTTAGCCGTGTCCGCTTACTGCTGCAGTCTCGAACTGGTCATGCTTGATTCAACAGAGCTGTAGTGTTACTAGCTGTTAAGCTTTAAAATCCGAGTGTATGCCTGACAGTACGACGCAGCAATGTAGTAAATCCAATTGAATCCCGTTGATGTGTAAAAGTAGGGTAGCATGTAGTGGGTACTCGAGTACGAAGTGCATCCGTAAACCGTATCCCCTCGGCTCTGATAGGCGGGATCGTATATGCATAGCCCGTATTCGCGTGGCACAACTTCGGAAGACCCAAAGTGCAGCCGCTTCCCGTTCGGGACGCTAGCTCGGACCGCCTCCATCGTCGATGTAGCGGCCCTCTCTTGCCCTCCTCACACGGCTCATCAGGATGCAGGTGGAGCGCAAAAAACGCAAGGCCCACCGCAAGTCGAGGCTTGGGTGTGGCAACTGTAAGAAGCGGAGGATCAAGGTAAGACTCGCGGCGCTTGCCTGCTTTTCTCGCGTCTCGTCATTCTCCCTCGTTCTTCACGGCTTTCGTCTCTTCGTTGTGCAGAATGCGACTCTTGTTATCGCTCATGACATCGTTCTGCATGCGACGCGCACCGTCTTAGTGCCTACCCATCTAATACTACAGTTGTTCGAATAAGAGTTTGCCTGACTTGCCGCGGGTCGAAGACATTGAGCGATGATAGGAAGAAGCTCAGCTTAAATGACATTCAAACAGACGAAACAGCTTCAGTCCAAGCTAACTCCGCTTGCTTAGTGCGACGAGCGTAAACCAGCCTGTACAAACTGCATCCATCACGATATCGACTGCGACTTCAAATCCTCCATTCTCACGCCATCAGCATCGACCGGCCCTCAGCTAAGCCTGCCCCTCGAAGCGTCTCTCGTGTTTACGGCTCCAGGGCCTGGAGTCTCACCAGCAAACTTTCCCGCTTCAGCTTCCCAGCTGCCTCTTCCCGACGTTCTATCCACAGATCTTCATACGCTGGAAACAAGCAACTTACAAGCTCTCAACAACCGCCTAGCCGGACCACTGGATCTCTCGGACCTGGAACTGCTCCACCACTACACCACCTCGGCCTACAAACGCATGACCCACGGTCCAGTACTGGAGACGCTATGGCGGGTGACGGTGCCCGAAGTCGGCTTCGAGCACCACTTCGTCATGCACGGCGTGCTAGCCTTCTCCGCAATCGACCTCGCGCGAACGCATCCAGAGCGCAGCGTCTACTACCTCTTGCAAGGGCACCAGCACCGGGACAAGGGGCTGCGGCTGGCTTCAGCCGAGCTCAGCACCATCACGCCGCACAACTGCCACGCGCTGTACGTGTTCGCAGTCCTAACAGCCACCATCGGCATGAGCGCCGGCCCGCAACCCGGCGAATACCTGCTGTTCGGGGCGCACGGCGTCGCGGCGTGGCTCGTCCTGTTCCAGGGCGTGCAGTCAATCTTCCTGACAGCCAAAGACTGCCTCACGAGCAGCTGCCTCGGGGCCCTCTTCCGCGTCGGGTCGCGCATGGCCAAGATCCGGCAGGAGACGGCCGCGCTGCCCGAAGACGAGCACATCCAAGGCCTGCGCCTCCTGGTCAGCGACGTGCTGGCCAACAAGCCCGACCGCCACGTCTGCGTCGCTGCTATCGACGACTTGTCCCTCTCTTACAAGGCTACGCGGCGCAGCGAGCGCCCTGACCGCGAGAGCCAGCTCGTCTTCATCTGGCTGTACCGCCTCTCGGATGAGTTTATCGCGTTGGTGCAGGCGCATGACCCTGTCGCCCTGGCCGTTTTCGCTTACTTTAGCGTCCTACTGAAACCCTTGACGATTATGTGCTGCGAGGGCTGGACCCGGCATCTCGTTTCGGGAATCTATTCTTTCATGGACGAGAGGTTTAGACCCTGGCTTGCTTGGCCGATGCAGGAGGCCGGATGGTTCCCGAGCTGAGAGTGCTTCTTCGCTTCTCATGCACGACAATTTCTTGAGCCAGATATGGCATGGCCCGCAGGGAGCAGACATGAAGATCTATCGAAAACCCTTCCCCAACAGACCAAAAGACCAAACAGCCGTTTTAGACAAACACGACGACACACGAAAAGCTTCTACAGTATCAAAAGACCACTGTTCTCGCTATATGCAGAGCTTCACAATATCGAACTTTGGCAAGACCTACACGACTCCAACTCCCGCACCGAACCCGAGCTTCAGTGGGCAGACAACATCAGCGACGAGCCAACGCTCAGTACTCCTCAACGTCTTGCGACTCCGGATCTAACTCTCCTGTGGCGGCGGCGGCGGCGGCACCGCGAGAAGCGGGAAAGTTCGCACAAGTGTTGGCGGCCGACTCGGCTCGCCAGCGCAGTAGCTGCATGCCGTTTTGCGGCCATTGCTGCGGGAAGCGCTGGTCGAAAACCGACCAGATGGTTTCGGGCCTGCCGCGGATGGGCAGCCCGTGGCTAGTGTCGATGGCAGCTGCTTCGGATGCTGGGATCTGCCATCTGGAGCTGGTTCCGTTGCTGGTCGTAGGGGGCTCGGCGCTGGGAGCTTCTTCTTCTTTTTCTGTGCCGCTCGTGCTTGCGTTGGCGCTGCTTGCTGCGTCTGTGTTGCTTGGGCTACGAGCTTCCTCTATGTCGCTGCTCGTTTCCTCCACGTCGCTCAAGCTGGGCATGTCGCTGGGAGATTCCTCCGTATTGCTGCTCGCCTCAATATCGTTGCGAGCTTCCTCCGTGTCGTTCGTGCTTAGCATACTGCTATAAGCATCTCCCCAGTCGTTCAAGTCTGGCGTGCTGCTACTCGTTGCCGCGTCGCTTGAGCTTGACATGTCACTGCTCGCTTGCTCTATGTTGTTCAAGCTTGGCGTTTCGCTGCTCTCTCCCTCCGCGTTGCTCGTTTCCCATGCGTCACTCGAGCTGGGTTTGTCGCTGTAGTCTTCTTCCATGCTATTGAAGCTTGGCATTTCGTTGGGAACATCCTCGGTGCCGCTCAAACTCCCGGGCGATGGCGAATAGTTCGACGCGCTCGGCCCCTCAAGCAACACAATCCAAGCTTCCTCTGCGAACGCAGGTGTCAGCGGAGCCAATAGGCAGAGCAACTCCCGAGCGGCATTGTAGTGGATCCGTGGTTGAATTTCAGAGTTTCCAGCATACACGATGATGGCGCTTGCCAGGTTCTGGAGCTTTTTCTCGACTTTTCGTATAAGGCCGGATCTAGAATCCAGCATCTGAGTCATATGATTCACAGCCTCTTTAACTGCTAACTGGAGCCTACATTCCTCGGTGGTCAAGTCCGACAGCATCATGACTTTGGGGCGATTGGGTTTGGTATTGCCAAACACAATCTGGTGTTCCATGGGGAAATGGGCGCCTGAACGGAGGAGGGCTTTTCTCTGATTTTCAATGTAATCGGCACCCCGCATTTCTGCACCACTATGCGGGGCATCGAAGCCTTGAGTCGCTCTGTACGAGACGTGCGCCAGGTTAACGGCCTCCCAAACCCTAGCCAGAAAGCGGCGCATATCAAGCAGATGGTCCTCGGCATGCGGAACCTCGCGCGCGGCACAAGGGCTCCGGTGGCGGGCCTCTCTGCTCGGAACGCGCGTATCCCGGTGGCGGAAGGTATAATACAAGAGCACAGCATCCGTGCCAAAGCGGGCGACATAGCCATCGACGCGCCGAAGGGCCGTCGCTTTCGCACCCCCGGCGTCGCGCCCCGCGAGATTGGCAGCCAGGCGCGCCGCGTGCCGGTACACGGAGCGGTGCAGCGGCGCGTGCGCCCGCAGGCTCCGCAGGCTCCTGACCTTCTCCAGCACGCTGGGCGCGGCGTGGCAAGCGTACACGGGCGCGAGCGGCGATGCGGCGGCCGCGTTGGCTACGAGCAGCGCGTGCGCGATGTCTGCGTAGCTGAAGAGCCGCCCCGGCCGCTGTGCCCATCGCGCGGCCCATTTCGCTTGCAGCGTGCGCTCGGGTGTTGGCGGCGACGACGGCGACGGTGCTGGTGCCGCTACTGCTTCGGCGCTGGATTGGCGGGTCGTCATAGCCGCTGGTGGCGGGGAGTCGGCTGAGGGCATAGCGTCCGGCAATGGCGTCGAGTCCGATGCTGGCCGAAAGCCTGCCGCGTCAGTGCTGTAGTAGTAGTAGCAGCAGCGCCATGCTAGGAGGGGGCGGCGCGCGCGCTGCGAGAGCCGCGCGGCGTGCAATGCGCAAGGGAAGCGCAGGAGCGGCGCCATTGCGTGGATAGCTGTAGCTGTGTACACGACACGGTGCGAGTGGTTGCGGGATGGTGCGCTCGTAGGCTAAGTGCGCGACGACGACGACGGCGACGACGATGCTCTCAGGCGAACGAGGCGGCGAGGAAGAGCAGAAGGAAGCCAGTGGACAGCAATCACTCACGGCTCACACAGCGAGCGGATAACAGCAGCGAAAGCGAAAGCGAAAGCGCGGACAGGACAACGAACGAGGCTGAGCTTGACACCTTATGCAGCAGAGTGGCAGAGTGGTAGAGTGTGTCGAAGCAGTCGCACAGGTACATCCGAAGCCAGAGCTCGCTCTCGCGTTTGGCGCGCGCGCGTACCTACGCATTGCATGCATTACCCCTCCCGCCTGCCTTGGCCTGCCCTGGCCTGCCCGTGTCACCAGGGTGCTGCATGTCGGACGTCAGATCATGCATGCAGCTTCCCCGCTCGACGCTCGGCACGCTTTAGCCGGGATGTTCGTAACGTGGATGTCTGCGCGTACGGATTACGCTGGGAGACGCTGTTGCGCATTGCGAGACTGAGAGTGTGGCTGCTGGTTACCTAGGTAGTTAGCGTGGAGGGTGTTGGAGAGTGGTGTGGTGGTGGGGTGGGCGGTTGGGATGACTAAGCGTGCACAGACAGACAGACAGACAGACAGACAGTACCTAGCAGTCAGTGAAGGAGCACAGCATAGGGTACAAACAAAAAACAGTCATGTAAAACGCAGGCAACCCCATCATCAAACGAGAGCAAGATATATTAAAACAGCACCACCCACACCTAAACAATCCCCCCCTCATCAAACAAATCCTCGACCAAGCCGCCTTCAAGGCCCTCCCCATCCACCCCACCCATGCCATAAGTCTCCTCAAACTTGACGATACTCAACTGGCCCAAAAACGGCCTCAAGACGCGTTGCACCAGCTCCGCCTTGGGCATGGCCTTGACGTCCGCGCTATCGCCAACACCCGACTCGGCGCTCTTGAGGACGGGGTCCAGGAAGCTGCGGCGCAGCGACAACGATGACAAGGCAGCGGCATCGGCCTCGTCGACGCGGCCGAACCCCAGCGCCTCAGGCGAGATATGCGCGGCGCTGACGCCGGGATCGCCGTCCGCGGCAGCGCCGGGCGTCGCGCTCGCGGCGGCGGCTTGGGCGTGGTTGAGGGATTCGGCGACGTCGTCGACGAGGGCGATGGGCGCTTGTGCTTCGGGCGGCCGGTAGACGGCGTCGATGGTGTCGGTGACGAAGAGCCATTCGTGCAGCTGGAAGTCGTCTTGGTCGAGGGCGACGAGGCAGTCGAGCAGCTTGCAGGCCTGCACGAGCGAGAGGTTGTTGTAGCGCTCGTGCTGCTCCGTGTCGGGCAGGATGCTGAAGATGGCCGTTTGCAGCTCGCTGTTGATGACGGGCCACAGCGGCGCCAGGTGCACCGCTGATGTCCGCAGGATCAGCGCGCGCAGCAGCATGAATATCTCGGCTCGCGTCGCCGCGCTGGGGCTTGATGCCGGTGTGGCTGTCAGCAGCTCCACCAGCTTCTCCTGGAGAAGCCCCATGTTCGGCACAAACATGTCCTCTGGGTTCGCCAGAATCAGCACGGCAATGCGTCTGAGGTTCAGCTGCGTCCTGCGATCCGCCTCCTGTCTGGCTGATGCCGCACCCACGCCAAACATGATACCCGCCGTGGTTGGTGCGCTCAGTCGACCCAGGAGTTCAGGCATGCGGTCCTTGTCCGCCAAACACCACTGTCTAAGCACTGGCAACCACTTCTCCCTTGCCAGGCTCACGCCATGAGCAAAGAACTTGGCATCATTGAACGCGTCCAAAACGTCCTTCTTCCATGCCTTGCTTGCTTGAGCTGTACGTGTGAGCTGGTACAGCAGCTCAAGAAGTGATGGTGAGACATTCTCCGGATAAGACTTTGCTCGGAAGGTAGGTCCAATCACGTTAGTGCAAATGGACGTGACGGCATTCGTGATGCGATCACTGTCGACCAGGATAAGGGGAAGCTTAGGAAGAATTGTCACCAGGATAGCAATGATATCCATGGTGCGCGTGCTGACAGTACTTTCCTCCTGCGGAATCTTGTCGACCGAAAGAGAAGAAGTATCCTGCAGGAAGCCCATTGGTCGCGTTGTAAAAGTCGCCGTAAGAAGGCGTAAGAAGAGATCCTAACAACGTCAGCTGCATATCAGACAATTTACAAGTCGTACTTACACCAAGATCCCTTCTCATCCTCCGCTGCTCTCCAAAGTTTGTGTTATCCACCTTCTCCGCCAGAGTTGCTGTAAACTCCAACAAGTAGGGCAAAATCTGTCTATGCGGCATCGGGTTCGCCAGCACATCTCTCAGGAAAGTAAGACAGTCCGGCCAAATCTCATCCATAGCATCGTCCTCTAAGCTCCTCGTGTACTCCACCAAGAAAGCCAACAGTTCCGTCTCCGCAAGATCAGACGTCAAAGTCGACATGCGGTGAGGATCCAGCGCATTAGGATTCGTGCGGCTATACACAGCGTTGAAGATCGCAGGAGTCGTGTTCTTCGGACTGGAGCCATTGAGCACGTTGAGCACACCCATAACAGCCGCTGCTTCCGCGCTGCCTGCCGTAGCTCGACACCATATGACCGCCAGAGTTTCTAGACACTCGAGCGTCTCGACCGTGAACAAGTGCTCCAAGATCCTCCTCGCACGGTTCCGCATGCGGAGGCTGGTATATCCGAAACTTGCCAAGGATGTATGGTCTTGCTTGCCAGCCTCGGTGCCGTACCCGCCCCAGGACCAGATGGAGAAGCAGATTCGGACCGTGTCCTGGAAGCAAAGGAGGACGGTGAGACGGCTGTTTGCCGTAGCAGCGCGGGTTTGGCTGGGATTATCTGCGGCAAAGACGCCGGAAACCATATTGCCAAAGAAACCTTGTGGCTGCTCAGCGGGCTTCATAACCGTGACCTTGATCTCCTGCATGACCAGACGATCGTGCGCGTTTGCCAAGATCTGCTCGAGTCCGTTCATGAGAGAAATCAATGTTGACTCTGGTGCAATCGAAGCAGGATGAAGAGGACTGTGGAACGTTGATTTAAGCTGCCCAAATGCCAATTGGATCTGCTTGCACAAGCATTCCACAAGCGGGAGCAGGTTCTGGAAAAGGGTGTCCGCGAAAAGAGGCAATACTTCAATGAGGAACTTAACCCAGTCGTCGAGCACCAGTCGGCTCGAAGGAGAAGAGAATCCAGCCTTGAGACAGTTGACAAGTTGCGGTGGCGGCGCCATTGTCGCCATAGCCGAATCGTCGGCTTCAGCCTTCTCCATCGACTGACGAAGGCTGCCCGTCCGTTCTCTAGTAATTCCCGGGGATGGCAACGCAGTTCCGCGTATACGCAGCTGGAGCGCTGCCAGCGTTGCTTCTAACAGCAAACTCTGCAATGACGGACTTGCCGAAGAGAGACGACTCATCAAAAACACTTCCAACTCCATGTCCTTGAGCGGCATAGCGTATGGGTTCAACGCGATTGTTCGGATGGTTGAGATAGCCGTACGGCACAGCGACTCGACGTGGGTTGAATCTCTAGGCGAACTTGATACGGAGAGAGACCGCACGCAGATCCGCACCAACACGGTTTGCAAAGTCACCTCTTCCGTTTGCTTTGAAGAAGTATCATGCACCGACATAACATCCCTGGCCAGAACAACCCAAGTATGATCGGACGACCACCGAAGAATACTGAGCAGATGCTGCAGATGATACAGACACTCTCTCGAATCGTCTGTCAGTGCCGGCGGTTTCTGCGCAGAGGTATCGAGATTGTCGGATGACTGGTACTTAATGCAATTGAGCGAGTGCAGATGCGAGATGATGATATCGAAGACTCTGTTTAGACTGGGCAGATCCTGCAACCAAGTCTTGACAAAAGAAAACAATTCCGTGCCTTCTTCTGACAGCGCGTCCAGAAGGAGCAACAGTGGTCGAGTGAGGATGGCCTGGTATCCGCCTACCAGAACAGTACTGGACAAGGTCGGCGCGCCACTTGACCGCCTCGAAAGCCCTCTTCCCGTCTTCTCGGTATGGGAATTCTGCTCGTGAATCGTGTGCGCCCACAAAACAGAGAAACGCCGTCCGGCATCAGCCGACTCTATTCCATCGTCTGCGCTCCGTGTCATGAGCGAAGTAATGGCTGCCTCTACCAGGTGATCACTAGCTGTAATTGCCTGCAGCTGCCACAAACAACGGACTGCTTCCACGTGGTATTTCGGCCGGAAGGGCGAAAGGTAAAACCAAATTGCGTTGACAAGAGAACTGACAAGTTCTGGCATCCGCTCAGGGGGGAAGTAGCTTTGCGAGGTGTTGCTAGCTTGAAAGGCTCCAAGGATAGTTGTGATGGCAAGAATAGCAGGGAACGGCACGCTTGCCTCTGCCTTTTCAGTTTTGAGCGCAGCCTCAAAAGCGGACAGAAGCTCATCGCAGTTGGCTGCCCGGGTGTCCGAAATCTTCATCAATACGTTTGATAGGAGCCTGGTACTAATCTCGGTCATGGAATCCGACGTGCCACTCCGGAGAGACTTGACGAAGAAACTCGACGCTTCACGCAAAAGACCGTCTCGGAGCTGAACAGGAGAGAATGGTGAACCAGTGCCTTCAAGGCTGCCTTGTGAATCGAGGTAAAACGAGCGAATGCTCTCGACATTTGGGGGTGACTTTGACTTCTTTCCGTTCTTCGGTTCTTTGCCAGTAAGCGCCCGCTCGGGTATTGTCTGAACGAGTACGTCCGCGATATCAAGTTTCGTGTTGGTGATTTCTTGTGTCATAGCATTCGAGTCGTTCTTCGCAGTGTCACAGTTCAGTAGGTTCAGGATCGCAAACGCAACCAGTGGAATATGATGAAGCAGCATCTCCTCTTCTCGGATGTTGAAGCGGCTGATGAGGAACTTTGCCAGCTTCAGTTTGCGAAGCTGCTCTTCTTGGTCCTTGGGTTCTACCGTCAACGGGCCGTCTATCAATTCGAAGAGTTGACCCCAGATAAGTCCGCTTTCAACCCCATCGAAGAAGATGCTCGCACTGCGTATCACCTCATCAAAGCTCTCTTTGCTGGCAGTTTCGCCGTAGATGCGCGCACTCTCGAGGACGGGGATAAAAATTGCAGGCACAAGCAGACCGCCTACTTCCCAACGATCCATCAATGAGAGACAGATACGAAAAGGTCTGGCTCTTGCACTTGGAGACGTATCACGACTGTTAATCAAAGCCATGATGCCCCTTGTCAACGCCTGCAGACCGTAGCGAGCAAAGTATGCTGCATGGTGAGAGTTGACGTCCATTGTCGGGCTCTTCGGATCGTCCGGGACATCCGCACCTGCGGCAGGCTCAGGGCCGAGGAACCATGTCCACAGTCTTCGGTTCAAGCTCATATCCCTTCGCGCGACTACTCCGGCGGCCGCAGAAACCAGGCGTTGCAGGTCCTTTTCATCAATGCGTACTTGCAACACTTCCGAGTGGAGAGGTAGAGTGTTCACCAGAAGATCAAGATAGCCTCTCTGGACCAAGAGCTGGTGATCGCCTAGTCCGGCAGCAAAGCATCGTATGAGCAACCCAGGTTCCGGAGCGATTACAGCCTCGGCAGCTAGAGACAGCGGTTCGCCAGGCTCCTCCTCCGTGGCCACAGAATTTCTCCTAACGGGCTGCGCACTGCCAAACTTCGGCAGCCTGCGCACTAAGTACGCAAGAGCGCCCTGCCGTCGCGGCGCATTCGTGATGGTAGCAAGGAAGAAGCATTGCCAAAAATACGAGTCTTGTGCGCCGTCGCTCTTTTGCCCTTCTGTATTTCCTATGGTGTATCGCAGCTTATCCACGAGCTGGACCACACGCTCAAAGTCTTCGCTGGTCTCTTCCTCTAGTCCGGGTAACAGGCACAATATAACGGATTTGAGAGCCGGCCTAAGTGCCTGTGCATTGACGGCAAGGACGTACGTCTCGATGAGGGAAAGGAAAGACGGGCGTACCGACAGCGAGGCGAAGGAGAGGACGGAAGCGAGGCCGGGGAAGTAGACGTGGAATTCACGCGACAAGGCCGTCTTTTTCAGAATCGAGAAGATGTACGTATAGACCTCGAGAGCCTTCTGGTGTACGCCCGAGGGCAGCGCCGGGTTCAAGCATTGCGCCAGGCGTGTCGCGACTGTCGTGCTGTGCGGTATGACGGAAACATCGGACGGGTGCGTCTGGATTGCCTGTAGACAAAGAAGTCCTCATCAGTCCCCGGGACAGCCCTTGACCCCTGCTAGCTCTATACCTTTAGCAGCCTTCCCAGGAATGAAATGTAATCAGCCCATTCCTGCTGCGGTGTGTCGAATAGTGCAAGAGCGCGCTCGACGTTGGACTCGTATCGGCGGTACGACTTGTCTTTTCGTATAGAGGCTGGCCGAGTGTAAGCGCGACTCTCTGTCAAGGTAGCTTATAGCTATACATAGCGACGTACATACCGTCCTCGATGGGCCGTCGAGGTGAGCGGAGCGCGGGCGAGGAACGACCTGAGTTCGAAGGCGAGTTGGACCTGCGGCGGCTCAAGGCTTCAAGAGACATTGTGCCCGATTGTTCCGGTCGGAGGCATCATATGCGCTTAGGATGGCGGGGAGGTACGGACAAGTTGCGCCGGGAGCTCCACGCGTCAATGTTAATCTACCTGGCCTTGGCGGGTCCGTGCGGATCGCCGATGGTGCCGATGCACTGCTGAATTCGTACCCGGAGGGAAAGTCAAAGTCCCAACGTTAATCCAAATATTTATAAACACGGATTAGGTTGATAACATGTTGTATTTAGCCTTATACAATACCTTTAACTTTCTCATATAAACCCATCCATATAGCCTTTCCCCACACTCCCAACACCCAACAACCCAAATCCCAGAACCAAACCTACAACAACCAAACCACGACCTTACTTTCCTATCCCTTTCCTACAACAAGCCCAACCCATCCCCTATAAGCAGAATTATTTTCTTTCAATCCTACAACCCAACACCACCCCAGAAACCCCCACACACAAACTAAAACGTCTCCCCCAACGGCAGTGCGTCCAACCTGGGCCAAAACTCAACACCCAGACCCCAGCCACCCCAGCCGCAGCCGCCCAGATCGAACGGCGCGTCAGCGTCGGCGTCAGCGTCTACACCTGCTACGTCTCCTACCGCGGCTGCACTGGCGCCGTTGATGTTGTTGCTCCAGTCACCGCCACCGCCGGTGGTGACGGTAGCGGTGGCCGTGCTCGGTTCAGCCTGCTGCTGTTGTTGCGACTGTGACTGCAGCAGCAAGCCCGACGGCCGCAGCTCAGCAGCAGCAGGAGCATACAGCGGCTTACCATGCGGATCGCCTTCCATCAGCGCAGTACTCCTACTCCCATCCGCACCACCACCCTCACCTCCACCTCCACCCACGCCCACACCCACGCCGCCAACCTCATCCCGCAGCTCCCGCAGCACGATCCCATACCGCAAGCACGGCGCGCTGTGTTCGCCCACCGCCGCCAAATGGCCATGCACCGTGTCCGCGAGGGCGAGGAGCGCTACTTCGTCGTCTTCTCCGTCACTTCTTTCCCCTCTCCCACCACCACCACCACCACGCCCAAATTCCTCACCCTGCCCACGAAGTGAGTTTAGCTCGCCTCTCTGGCTTAGCTCGCCTCTATGTCTAAGCTCGCTGCGCTCGCGCCGCTCCAGCACCCAAACCCACAGCACAGCCAGCGCATTAAACGCGATATGCTGCGAGAACCAGAAGGCCGGGAACGGCTGTTTCTCGGCCACGAACGTGCGGACCAGGTTCAGAGCCGAGGAAGCCGCTTTCAGGGTTGCAGAGGCGAGGTGCTTGCGTGTTGGTTTTGCGGGGGGGGAGGTGTGGATGTTGTCGTGGTTGTGGGTGTTGGTGGTGGTGTAGGGGGGAGAGGACGTGCTGGAGGAGGTGGTGGAGATTGCAGGGGAGTGCTGGGAGGTGGGGGAGGGTTGGGATGGGTGGGAATGGGAGTGGGTGTGAGTGTGGGAGGGCGAGGCTTGCGCGTTGTGATTGTGGTGATGATTGTGGTGGTGGTGGCGGTGGTGGAGGTGGGAGCTGCTGTAAGCAGTAGGACTACCACCACCACCAACATCCCCACCCACTAAAAACCCCCTTCCAACAAACATAACCGCGTGCGCATACGCAATCTGCAGCACAGTCGCCTGCCGCCTAAACACCGGAATCAGACTCGACGGCCTAATCGCGCCCGACAGGAAAGGCGGCAAGCGGGCTTTCCACGCGTCCAGCTCCGCATGCAGCCCCGCTGCCGCGCTCAGCGCGCGCTGCTCTTCCTCCTCTTCTCTCCCCTCCCCTTCGCCTGACTCCGCTGACCCGCCACTTCCACTGCGCCGCCGATGCCGCCGTTGCCGCTGCTGGAGCGCAATTGCGCGGCTTAGGATGCGCGCAAGTCGCGCGTGGAAGATCGCCGCGTGCATGACGCAGTCGGCGTCGCTGGCGGGAGACGCAGGCCTAGGAGCAGCAGCGGCGCTGCCAGCTTCAGGCGCAATGTCTTCATCATTGAGTGCCTGCGGCAGTGGCTGTGTGATGTCCTCGTCGCGGAGCAGGCGCGGTCGCCCAAACATGACGCTCAGGTACGTGTCGAGCGTGTACATAGACCAAAAGAGGCGGCGACGGCATTCGCGAGCGACGAGCACGTCGCCCGTCTCCGCGCTCCGCGCTCCGTTTGAAGGTGCTGCCCGCTCGCGTTGCCGCCGATGCAGTCCCAACGCGAGTGCTAATTGCGCCGTCGTCCCGAATGTGAACCACGCTTCGTTGGGTCTCGATGTGCTGAGCAAGAAATGGCAGAGCGCGAAACGGGCCTGCGCGGACTCGAGCGTCGGGGCACCGGCTTCTCGCGAGAGGTGCTCTCGAGCAGCACGCTGGTAGGATTCGCCCTCTGTGCGGATGGCAGCGTCGGGCTTGGCGTGGTCATGCTTATTGAGCTCGTATATGGTGGCCGTGGCAAATACGAGGAGTACAACGGCCTGCCGTGCGGGAGATACGCTAGATGCCGTTGTGGGGTCTTGCATTGCGGCGAGCCAGGAGACCAGCGTCGGCCGGTGCAGGAAGCGGTACGTCGGCGCAGCGTACTCGAAGTAGCGACCGACGAGGTAGTCTGCCCGTTCTGGGGACGGGAACGTGAAGCCTGCATCGTGATCTACGGGCGTTTCTTTGTCGCCGTACGTAAAGATACTGCCAGAGCTCCTATTTCCTGCCTCTGCTGAAGTCTCTTCTACACCCATCTCATGATGCGCCTGGCCCAGCTTCCTCCATGCCCGGCGCAACCACGCGATCCCAGAATCGGGACCCAGGTAATGCCCATCGAGCGTGGCTTCAGGCTCGAGCGAAGCACCTCTGGATGGGGGATCGTCGACGAGGATACGCTCCGGGTCGGGCGGCAGCGGGCGCCAAGACTCGCCATGGTGGCGGAAGGCGTCCGCGCGGAAACAGGCCGCCGGAGGGTCGTGGCTCGACGGAGTCAGGTAGGCGCGCTGCTGGAGCTCCTCGGGCGAAGGGATGCGCACCTCGGCAAAGGCGCGGGGGATTTTTCCGCCAGCGGCGGCAGCGCTGCGCTTCTGCGACTGGCGCGGGCGCGCCTTGTGATGGTGCCGGGCAGACACGAGAGCAGCGTCATCGATGGTCGTGGCCGTCGTCGTGGTGCTGTCGTCGTGGGCGGACGACTCGGCCGCCAAGACCAGCGCGTCCAGCCCGGCGCGAGGCGGCGGCGGCAGCGGGAGCGGAGGCGGCGGAGTCTTGAAGCGGCCGCGCGTGTAGCTGGCGAGATAGGTGCATGGCTTGGCGGCCCTCTCGCACGACGGGCAAGGCTGGGTGCCCGAGCAGCGTTTCTTCTTTCTACGAGCTGGTCAGCCAGTGCCGAGGTGAAGAGGGGACCGACTGCGGGGGAAGAGAGGCAGAGAGAGACATGGCAAACAAAACACCAGTACATACGCCTTGCACGCATCGCAGGCGCGCGTAATCTTCCTGCGTTTGGTACTTCCGTCAAAGGGGGGCGACAGTGCCGCCATGATGCTCACAGAGCGGAAAAAGACACGAGGATCAGTGACGGAAAAAGACAGGAAAGGAGGGTTGTCTACAGACAGCAGTGCCAACAACAGCAACAGCGGCACCGACTCCGACGCGCTGGCGGCGTCATTGGCCGAGCAGGCGGGGCAGGCTCAGTGGCCAGGCACGAAAGTGGTGGTGCCATCAGGTGCAGGGTCAGATGATTGGTGCTTTGCGGCGACTGTCTGTCTACTGGCTTGTCTACCTGCCTCTTCCTCACCTCGTCCCTTCTCGGTCCGCGCTCGGGATGCCGACGGCCTCCACTCGGAGCTAATCCGCTCAACACCGCCCTGCTGCCTCTTGTCCTTCTCTCGACACTTCGTCGAGGGCATCGAGGGCGGCAAAAGTATAAACATTTCCTCCTCTAACCCTCCCTACGTTGTCAAACCGTTTGTACCGTTGCTGCCCAGCCTGCCAGCCTGTTTTCCGCCTCTCCGTTCGGCCGGCGGGTGCGGTAAAGTAGTGCCCTTTTTCCGCCGCTTCTAACCGCTCCGCAACCAAAAACTCTCCACTTCCTCGACTTTCGCTTTTGCTCTCGCGCCTCGCATTGCGTGCACAACTGTATATTAGTCTTTATTCCTGTTACGCCTTTCCCGATGCCCGTGGCCTTGTGTACTCCCCGATCCCCGCCCCGATCCCCACCCGTCCGAAACCGCGGGAGGAGCGGCTCTCACTGCAAACGTCAACGCCCTCCGTCTACGTCGTCCCCCTTCATGCCCCTTGCAACGAAGACATCAATCCCGAATTGAACAATCCCCCCTTCCGCCCCTTATCGGCGACCTTCTCCTTAGCCTTCTGCTGACCGACCGTCGTTCCCCCGCCAACGATCTCGTGCTCGTACTTTATCGGCTCTAGCGATACCACCCGCTTCTGGTCCGGCTTGGGAATCTGTGGGTTCGACGAATGCGCGCGCTTCAGTTTCGGCATTGGGGCGGCGCCACCTACAGCTGCACTGGCCGCAGCCAGTTTTTCGAGCGGCGTCGATGGCGACAGTGAAGCGGCTAGGGTGGCTGCAGGGACGTCAGATGCAGCTTTGGTGGGCTGCGTAGGCCGCGTAGGCTGTGTGGACTGCATAGGCTGTGTGGACTGCGTGGACTGCGTGGACTGTGTGGGCTTCTGGGCCGCCTGTTGCGACGGCATACTTGTGCCCGGAGAGGGGAGCTCTGTGTCGACAGGAGGCGTCTGAACAGCAGGCTTCTTGACAGCAGGCGACTCGACAACAGCAGTGTCGGCGGTTTTCGAAGGCGGCGGTTCTTCAGACGTTGGCGATAACGCAGGAATAAATATGCCTGCCATGCGCATTTCCTCATTCTTCTGGGCGTCAATATCGAGCTGGAGGTGCGGGTGTTGGAGAATGTCCTCTGCCGACGGGCGCTCATACGGATCCGGGTTCAGCACCCAGGCCAAAAAGTCAACATGCGCCTTCGGCACGCCCGCCTTCAACAGGCGCGTTGACCAAATATCTTCCTCGGCGCGAATATGACCGGTTGGCAGGATGCAGTCGCTGTAAAAGGGGGTGTGCTCGAGGTCGAAGTCATCGTTGATAAAACGTCGCAGTTCTTGCTCAATGTGGTAATATGAGGCGCCGTCTTGCAAGTCGTAGAGGCCGGACTTGTCGTGCTGGACTTGCGCTTGCAAAAGGTGACAATACTGACAACTAGGTATTAGCAAGTGGATGCAGATTTGGGATAGGGATCTTACAATCATGCCCCAAGACCAGATGTCGGCCTTGGGCGTAATGAGGCTCTTGAAATGCACTTCGGGGCTGCGGTACACCAGTGGCTGGACCTTGCCAATCGCCGGCTCCATCACTGGGGATTGTTAGTCGGTCCTACTTAGAGCGTCTAGAGCGTCTAATGTTCGACTCACCAATCCCGAGATCGCCTATCATAGCATTCAGCGAGTTCTCCGCCGTCGTCTGGTCCGCCGTCCGCCGGAAACCGTTGACGAAGATGTTGTCAGGCTTCAGATCGGCGTAAACAAGGTTCTTAGCATGAATAGCGGCGATTCCCAACAACGCGCCGCGCATGATAACCGTAATCTCGTCATCAGTGAAAGGCCTCGCAGCACGAGCTTTCCACAGCGTCGTCTCGGTCGGCTCAAGCACCAACGCGGGGGCGTCAGCAGAGTACTTGCGTGGCGGGATGCGGTCGAGCTGGCGGCGGATATGTGGGTTGTCCTTGAAGAGCTCATGCATAATCATCTCTGAGCGGAAGCGCGGCCAGCCGTGGTAGGGCGCATCCTCGATGCCCGGTGCCTTGAGGATGAAAACGGATTCTTGGGAGCCTGCGTCGACGGCGCTCCACACGTTGGGTGCGGCGCCCGGCTTGGGGCCCGTCATGGGGCTCACGACGAGGTACGACTCGCCGCTCTCGCCCAGAAGCTGTTGGCCTTCTCCTAGAGGTGTCGACATGGTGTGAAAAAAGGTATGATTTGGTGGTGATAGGTGTTGGAGCAATGGCTCGTAGGTGCGAGGTCATTGTGACTGAAGAAGTGCGAGCCCGAGCACGCGCTACGTCATGACGGTTCCTGACGTCTAGCGTGCGCTACCAAACGGCCGTGACCCGTAATTTCACAAGGCTGATGCTCTTTTAGGCTCTCAATCGCCATATCGGGCAACGTCCAACGTCGGGCCTGTCGCATCCAGCAACGATCTGTCGTGTGGCTTTGGTGGCTTTACACACCTGCTGCACCGCCTCGTCCGATGACCGATCGTGCCATCAGTGTCTATGTCTTTTTCTTGCCACCCCTTTGTTGCTCCAATGGCCAATTTGCGACTCTGCCCGTGCTGCGTGCAAGTGCGTTTGGAAACCTGCCTTACGTGCGTTCGACGTCAGGTCAGATGAGGTGGACGGGAGATCGACCGCTTGAGCGGCGCCCCACCGGCTCTCGCTATTTTTAGTGGGTTTCACCATGGTCTTCGTAAGTTCTTGTGTAAGGGCATTTATCTCTTCGCTGTCATTCCTGCTTCATTTCCATGTCAGAATTGTCGCAGTACCGGAAATGGCAATTTCATCTGTACAACAATCCTTCCACCACTCTATCACCACAGGACAGACCCACTCAGAAAGCACTCTTTCTCGAGATGCCCGATATCACTCCTTAACATTCCCGCTCATAGTACTCCATATGGCTGGAGGCACGCTAGGATACGTAGGCTTTGACCTATAGTAAGTAGGGCGAACGCATGTTTTAACTTTGACTCGGACCATATCAAGCAAGCTTCAAGCTAAGAAGCTTTGATTCTGCAACGCCCGTAAGCAGCCAACTATACTTCCACGTCGTCATGTCCTCTATTGCAAACAACACTCTCTCGGCACCTGAAACCCCGGCCTCAACCTTAACAAGCAGCAATAAAGTCAAATATACAACTACTACAGTCACAAGGGTAAGTAAGGTTGATTTCGAGCGAATCGGACCGACGGGAATAACCAAAAAACAGACAATATTTATATGCAAAGGCTCCGTTTTGTTTGCTTTAAGGAGTCAAGAGTCTCTGAGGGTGTAAAGTACCAGCTAGGCAACCTCGGACACCAAAAAAAAAAAAAAATGTAGTTTTACCTGCGATTTCGTGAGTGATTCTACTAGTAGGGCTCGTGCTTAATCACCCTTACTTACCCCTGCGACCGTAGTACCTTGATACCATACGCCGTATCACGCTCTCATTTTAACACTTAAGCTCATTACACATCCCCATCCAATCTACTTTTGTTCTCGAACATGGATATCAATGGCCTCTGAAAGCTCTACCCGTCGTTTATATCTGTCTCCCGCTTTTTATTTTTATTCTCATTTTTATTTTTATTTTTTTCCTTCTCCCCTTCCCCTTCCTATATCTTTTTCTCTTCTCCTTTCGCTTCCCACCCCGACCCTGCACTTTCGAATCCGACCAAGCTTGAGGAGACAATGCTCAACGTCGCGATACTGGACACGAGATGTAGCCTCATACACACAACCCTTGCCATCCTTTTATATTCTAGTAAGGCATGCCGCCACTTACCCAAGGGTAGAGCATCTCCAGAACGACGCAGCAAAGGCAATCAGTACCAATGTAGCCAAAGCAATACACAAGTCCCAGCCTTAACATTTCAGGACACCAGAAAGAAAAAACTACATCTAGGAGGGCACAAAAAGGCTGCCTACAAGCCAGAACAAGCTCGCACCGACAGTGTGGACCTAACACTAGCCAAGGAGCTGTACAAAGACCACATTGACTGGAAAACCCCGTCTTGGGGAATCTCGACTACGCCCGAAGGGCAAAAAGAGACAGATGAATTGGAAAAAATCCGATGAGTCGGGCAATGAGGCTCTTTCGAAGACGGTGGCGCTTACCTTCGCTAGGCCTGACTGATAATGCGCACAAATTTAGGGAGTTGACATGGAATGCCCTCGCCAAGTTCGTTGCTGAAGAGGCCGCTGTAGCGTTTAATGAGTATACCATAGTAGGTCTGATAGGTGGTAAGCCAAGATTATCCAGAACACCGCCATCCTCTAGGGTAAGTCCGGTCTTCGGTATTGACGATGTATGTGATACGCCGATTAGCAGAACCACATAAAGAGAGCAAGATCATAAAAGCGCTTTCACTCCAGCGACTGCGTACCCGTCTGCACTACCGCGAACTAGTTTCTGCGAATTCCCTACCATTGCTAAGTCCCATTGTTACTGATATTATCGCGTACGTTCAGCTGTCTTTGTTTACCCACGGTGTTCTTCACAACATGGAGAAATAGAGTAGATAGGTATGTTCGCGGGGACGTAGACACTGAAGCCGCAACTCTGAGCCATCCTCTTGACGGGATGCAGGGCAGGTCCCTTGCGCACTTGCCGGCCTTTTTGTGCTCTTAGTCTTTCTCTTGACTTGTCTAGCTCATGGATTCCGTCTGGGCATTTACTTGCCTCCTTGTAGTTTACCTGACAGTTGCGAAGCTTCTTGTACGTCTTTGCCTTTCGTCCTCGTCCTGTCTGTTCCAGTTTTCTAGACTACCACCAACTATTCCATGCGTAGAATACATTTTTCACAAATCTCTATCGCCGACAACTGCATCTGTACAGGTAGCCACTATGACACGCGTACGCAAAATGCACGCTCAAAAATATTCACCTCAACTGCAGTGTAGTTCCCGATTACTAACAGCCGCACAGCATAACCGCCATACACGCCCCCACGAGACAGATCCGCACAGCAAGCACCACCAGCACAGCCCACCGCAACCTAGACACTCGCCACAGCCGCCGGTGTGTGGCGTAGCCCCCCGTGGCGATGCAACGGGAGATAACGAAGGACCCTGATTCGCCAAGGCCAACGCTATGCCCTACGGAGTCTCGAGAGTCGAAATCAGCCTCGCAGCGCAAACGCAAGCCCTGCCTTCGTAGGGAAATAATGCGGAGGATGGTCCGTGAACAAATTCGCGGCGCAACGTCACGTGGGATCTGAAACCGCAGCCGGAAAGGAGTGAAACGACGGGACAGCGGCTAAATCTGGACGGGATGATGGGGGATCCAGCTTCCTGCATGGTTGATGTTGGATGCGAAAGGCCGCAGAGCGGAGATCGAAGCGCCCGTGGGATGTGCGGCTGCCCGGCCGCCGTGCCGCTTTCGGTCCGAGCAGCAGGTTGTCGTGTGTTTCAGGGCTGAGCGCTCCGCTGCATGCGGCCTGGCCTTGGATGTGCTGCAGATCAGGCCCAGACCGCCCCCAGCCGCGTGTCGCCAGTTGATGGCGATGCGGCTCGGCGTGCACTGCGCGAGCAGGACCATTCTCTGAATTGTGCTGAACTAACAGTGAGGCAATGGCTCTGGGGCCTTGCTGCGCCTTGTGCTCAGTCAGCCAGTCCTGCCTGTGTCTGATCGAAAAGCTTATAGACATCTCTAGGAGTTACAATTCTTCAGCCTGACTGCGGGCCTTGCTTAAGTGGACGTCGAGATCTTTCACTTCGAAATAGCCATTCCTGGGCCGGGAGTATGGAGATCTGATCGCTGGTCTAGCCGTGCTCGTCCATGGTGGAATGGGGAAGACCCACTGTTTGTAGATAAATCGTCGTCATAAGGGCCTCGTCTATTGCCTTGTTCAACACCAAAAGTTCCTTGACTATTGACACCCTCTGTTCTTCGACACTCACTTGAATAAAGTCCTGTGGATCATCGCATTTTCTTTCCCACTGCACTTGCCAGACAGTCGTTCTTTCCTCTCATTGGTTTACACTCTTTTTCTTTTTCGAGATATATGTCCAGGGGGCTATTTCAAACCCTCTTCCACATCAAACTCCAGGCTTAACATGAGAGTCTCCGCTGTCGTTTCGGTGCTCTGCACTATTGCCGCCACCATCCTTTCTTTCCTTTGTCTCTTCGCTGGTTGGAAACCAGATTTCCTCGAGGATGCCAGCATCATGACGGTTAGTGTGTGCTGGTCTGCTCTGAAGCAAATGACTGATTGTCGGTAGCTGGATATTTCAAAGCTTCTCCGGAGTGAAAATGGTACGAACACTATTGTCAGTTACAAGAACACAGACGCCAGCTCTGGTAGTGCTTCGGCGACCACAGGCGATCATGCGTGGTATAGCGTCCACGTGATGAATTACTGCGAAGGCAACTTCGAGTCTGACGGCTCGAAAACCCTCATTAGCTGTTCCACGGGAATGGCCTTCTTTTCGTTTGATCCAATAGAGGTGCTCAAAGCGCAATCTGAGGGCCCTATCGCCGTATCCTTCAAAGGCGATATTACCACAGTTGGTAGTAAGATGAAGGACGCCTACAAGGCCACGTTTTTCCTGCTTTGCATGGGACTTGCCGCAGCAGCAATTGAGGTAGTTCTGAGCATCGTGGCGGTAATCATGGACTTGCGCCGGCCAATCCATGGAACTACTATCTCTTTCATCAACCTTGGCCTTGCAACCGTAAGTACTCCAATCAGGATCTAAAGGCATTTTCTGATGATATAGACTGCTTTCCTCGGCCTGGGACTCGCCTCGGGAATCATTACCGGTGTGATGATCGAAGCTGTCAAGAAAATCAACCAATCTAGAGCAGAGACTGGTCTTGTAGCAGCCAAAGGCGACAAGTTCCTGGCAATGGCGTGGGCAGCAACCGGTCTGATGTTACTTGCGACGTGCCTGTGGCTCGTGGACTACTCTGTCGAGCGCAGCATTGCCAGGGCTGAAATCGAGGACATGTACGCCAACCGTGCCATGGAGCGGAACATGCGGCTCAGGAGACGGACCTTGGAGATGGGCCAATTTGACGTCGAACAAGACCCTGTAGCACATCCGACCAAAGTCCAAGCGGTCCATCATTATCCGCATCGGCTTGACACATGCGAGCACAACCACGGGGATATGATTTCGGGAGTCAGTCGAGCTGCTGATGTAAGTCTGCAACCTGCTCCAGCAAATTAAGCATAAAGCTTACATTACCTAGGACCACGCTACTAGCGGCCTCATCGTCGACGATATGCACAAGGAATTTGGACCGAATTACCTTGTGCGTCGGTGAACGGCCTGGCGCCGATACCACGATACTTACGAATTTCTGGATAAACGATGTTGGGACAGGACGCACATGTCAAGGTTTGGGAGTTTTAGCCAGGGAACTTTTTCTTTGGTAGCATGCGCGAATCGATCAGTCTTGTTACATGCAGGCGAATATAGTACTTTTGGCTCATAGCGTGAGCATCTTGATGATAAGCTGTGAGAAAGTGATCCATATCGAAGACGTGTTGATAGCGAATCCAGGGCCATGAAAGTAAGCTGAATTTGAGGTATATCGGAATTTGGCATTGAATACATCTCGGTCCTTCTGTCTGAGTCGCGCTCCTGCCGTCGGTGAGGCAGGCATAGTTCTCAGGTCTCGACCGGAACTGAGATACCATGGAAGCATATTTAGTTTGTCTGCGATGCTGTGTCAATCCATGGAGCATGCTCAGTCTACGGGTCGGTGGTTTCCGTCGACACCGTGGATGTCGCCATGCGGGGTGGGTTGAAAATAGTTCCTGGCCATGTCTAGGCCTTCTCTCATGAGGCCGCAGCCTGTGCCTGCTGCTGCATCGTGGTTTGCAGAGCAATGACCTGCCGAGACAAGTCGTGTCAGCCTTACTGGGGTATTCTATCCAAGGGTGTGGGTGCCCTACATCCATCTTCTTCTTTTCGCTCTTCTCTTGGATCTCGTTGATCTGGTCCTCAATGCGCTTACTGCCGCCGCCATTAGCCCGCATATTCTACCCGGTCTTCCTGTAACCACATACATTTCCTTTTCAATAAACTCCAATCGTCCCTTGACAGCCATGACGGCCTCGGACTTGTCCTGCTTCAGGAGGACGGGGCCTACGAGCTTGTAGACATTGGCGTCGTCGGCAATCTTGTCAAACTCCTGGGGGATGTGAGTTTGGAACGGTTGCATAGTGTCGGGAAAGACATACGGCTTGCACGCCTATGTTCTCCTGCTGCTGCGACTCGAGCTTTTGGCGCGCCTCGACAACGCTTTGGAGCTCTGCGGGCAAGTCAGTCCGGTGCGCAACTCGCAACTCGGGGCACGGGCAAATTACCGGTCTGGAGCGTGGCGAACTCGTCGGTCAAGTCCTGCAGCTCTTTCTGCTGCGACGCCATCTCGACGGGGTGCGGGGAGGGTGCGATGTGGACGTGGGGGAGACTTGGGGGTTGTGTTCAAAGGCCGCGGCGCATCCGCGTTTCTGGAGCCTTGGCGTTGGCGGGGTGGAAAGCGGATGGTGACATCGATCTGCACAACGACAACAACAACAAAAGCTCCGCCCGCAACGCGTTCCGCTCTTGGTGCAACTGATCAGCTCTCTGGTATGCCTCTTGCGGCGGAATAGTATCCAGGGCGCTAACCGTTTCGGCCAAAGCTCTCTGCACTCGCGCCGAGGCAACCCAGTCCGCCATCACATCTGCGACACCGCCGTTGATCGCATTTTGCAAGCCGCTGTCGCACTTGCTCCCAGCCCCGTCGCAACCCTCGTGGCGATTGCACTTGATCTCACCACCACGGACGCACAACTCGCGCATTTCGAGCCTTAGGCAGCAGGCAGCACACTACCTCAGTCCATATCTCGCCTCCCACAGTCAAAATGAGCGGCTCCGACTTCCTTGGCCGTGCGATCGATGTGGTCAAGAAGGCCATCGAAAACGATACCTCTGGCGACTACGAGAAAGCGTACCAGCTCTACTACCAAGCCCTCGAGCTCTTCATGCTGGCCCTGAAATGGGAGAAGAACGCTAAATCGAAGGAGATGATCCGCGCCAAGGTCGGCGAGTACATGGAGCGAGCGGAGAAGCTCAAGAACCATTTAGCAGAACAAGATAAAAGCAATCGCAAGAAGCCGGGAGCGGTGGGTGCGAATGGTAAGGTTGCTGGTGGGTCGGGGAAGGGATCCGGCGGAGATGATGGGGAAGACGAGGACCCGGACAGCAAGAAGCTACGCGGCGCGCTTGCGGGAGCAATCTTGTCGGAAAAGCCCAACATTAAGTGGGAGGATGTGGCTGGTTTGGAGCAGGCGAAGGAGGCGCTGAAGGAGGCCGTGATATTACCTATCAAGTTCCCGCACCTCTTCACTGGCAAGAGGCAGCCGTGGAAGGGTATCTTGCTCTACGGACCTCCTGGTACGGGTAAGAGTTATTTGGCAAAGGCGGTCGCCACTGAGGCAAACAGCACGTTCTTCAGTGTCAGCAGCAGTGACTTGGTGTCGAAGTGGATGGGAGAGAGTGAAAGGTAAGTTTATATAGCCTAACGGCGAGCTTAACTGACGATTTCAGGCTTGTCAAGCAGCTCTTCAACATGGCAAGAGAAAACAAGCCTTCCATTATCTTCATCGACGAGATTGATGCCCTTTGCGGCCCTCGCGGTGAAGGCGAGTCGGAAGCATCACGGCGTATCAAGACGGAGCTGCTGGTACAAATGGATGGTGTCGGCAAGGACTCAAAGGGTGTCTTGATTCTCGGCGCTACCAACATTCCCTGGCAGCTTGATGCAGCCATCCGGAGACGTTTCCAGAGGCGTGTGCACATCAGTCTGCCTGATCTGCCGGCGCGTACGAGGATGTTTGAGCTTGCTGTTGGCTCGACGCCGTGTGCGCTGAAGGCGGAGGACTTTAGGGAGCTGGGCAAGCTGAGCGAAGGCTACTCCGGTAGTGATATCAGTATTGCGGTGCAGGATGCATTGATGCAGCCGGTGCGGAAGATTCAGACGGCCACGCACTACAAGGAGGTAAGTGGAGACGACTGGAAGAACCTAAAGTGCCATCTGACACCACACAGGTCATTGTCGAGGGCGAAAAGAAGCTCACGCCCTGCTCTCCTGGTGACCAGGGCGCCAAGGAAATGTCGTGGACCGACGTTGAGTCCGATCAACTCTTGGAGCCGCCACTCTTGATCAAAGATTTCATCAAGGCCATCAAGAGCTCGCGGCCCACGGTCAGCCAAGAAGACCTCAAGAGGAATTCGGAATGGACCCTCGAGTTTGGCAGCGAGGGAGCGTAATCTAGTTTCCTTTCTTGCTTATGAGTATGAGTATAAAACGGTTGAATTGCGCGATCATAGCGTTGGCAGGTCTTTGGCGTTGAGATTCTTAAGGTAGAGCACGATTATCTGGTGCGCACGGGCACCAATTGCACGATTCAAGATCCTTGCTCTGTGTTGTCGAGCTTGCTTGGAGACTCCTGACTACTACTACACCGTACCTGTGAACTGGGAAAGCCTCCTAAATACCTGGAATTCCTCGGAGACCAGTTACAATACTGAGGGTGGAAAGAATGCTTGGCTGACCTTGTCTCATAAAATACCAAGGCTACCAAGACCCCTGTCATTGTGTGACCTCATACATCAGCCTAGAACGAGCTCCCTGCTCTCCGGACCATCCATTCACCAACCACCATGCTGCTCAGTCTAACATTAGCAGCTGTCTGCTTGCCCTTTTCCCAAGCAAACCATCACGTCGAGAACTACCAAGCGCATCTCAGCACATTTGAAGATGTCCCGGCTAAGAGAGTCGCCATAATAGGTGCGCCACACCATCTCCGGACCTCAGTTCCCCACCCTGAGCTCGCACCCAGCTTCCCGGTCAACAACTGACAACGCTTTCAGGTGCCGGCGCCGGCGGCTCGTCCGCCGCTTACCATATCTCGCAATATGCAGCCGAAGCAAACATTCCGACCAACGTTACGGTGTTCGAGCGATCGGCGTACGTCGGGGGGCGCAGCATGACGGTGAACGTATGGGACGCGCCATCCTTGCCTGTGGAGCTGGGCGCCAGCATATTCGTCTCCGTGAACAAGATCTTAGTGGACGCGGTGACGCGGTTCAACCTCTCGACCGCAGGCTACGACTCGTTTGACGGCGATGCCGGCACCTGGCAGGACGACAAGTTCGGGAGCGGCGACTTCATTGGCATTTGGAACGGGGACGAGTTTGTCTTTACTGGCAGCGATGACTTTGGCTGGTGGGATAAGACGAAGCTGGTCTGGCGGTATGGGCTTGCGCCGCTGCGGACGGTGCAGCTGATGAAGAAGACGGTGGGTAAATTTTTAGAAATGTATGCCGCGCCGCACTTCCCGTTTAAGAGCTTGTCGGACAAGGCGCATGAGTTGGGGCTGGTGGAGGCGAGTGCGGCGACGGGGGAGGAGTTTTTGAGGAAGAATGGCATTGGTGAGAAGTTTGCGCGTGAAGTGGTGCAGGCGAGGTAGGTTTATGGGAAGTCAAAGATGGAAGAGGATGGCGATGGGCTGATTGTCGACAGCACCCGCGTCAACTACGCGCAGAACCTTCCCATGATCAACGGCCTCATCACTATGGTCTGCATGGCCACTGACGGCGCCATGGCCGTTGCCGGCGGCAACTGGCAGATCTTCGCCAACATGCTGAAAGCCAGCAGCAACACCTCCGCACACCTTAACACGACGGTCAGCGCGCTCACGAAGCAATCCGACGGCAGCTACACACTGGCGCACAAAACGACGACGGCCAACGGCGTCTCGACCACGCAAGAAGAGCGCTTCGACAGCGTCATCATCGCCGCGCCATACCAGTTCGCCGACCTAGCCATCACGCCCGAGCCCGAGCACGTCCCAGACACAGTGCCCTACGTAACGCTGCACGTGACGCTGTTCACGTCGCCGCACGCGCTCTCGCCCACGGCATTCAACCTGCAGGCGGGAGCGCGCGTCCCGCAAGTCATCCTGACGACGCTGGGTGCGGACGAGTCGCCGCGCGGCTCCGCGCGCTTCCCCGGCCGCGCCGGCTTCTTCAGCATCAGCGACCTGCGGCGTGTGCGGCACCCGGGCTCGGCCGCCATCCCGGCCGGCCGCGCCGAGCATTTGTACAAGGTGTTTTCGGCGGAGCCGCTCAGCGCAGCGTTCATGGCGAAGATCTTGGGCCGGCCTGAACCGCTTGAGGACGAGGAGTACGAGTTGCCCGAGACGGATGTGAGCTGGGTTTATAGGAAGGTGTGGCACAGCTATCCGTATGAGTTTCCGCGCGTCACATTCGATGAGGTCAGGTTGGATCGCGCGCTGTGGTATACGGGTGGCATTGAGCCGTTTATTAGCACCATGGAGACGAGTGCGTTGATGGGGCGGAACGTGGCGAGGTTGGTGGTGGACGAGTGGGAAGAGGAGGAATTGAAGATGGGGAGGGTTCGCGAGGGCGGGGCGGAGCAAGCGCTGTAAGCTGGGCTGTTCCGAAGTGTCAAGAGATGGTATGGTCTGGTCTGGTCGGGGTGGAGACAGAATGGTTCGTGCAGTGCAGTGCAGTGCATGCAGCCGCATGTAGGCATCTGCCCACGAACCATCTGTCCACCCCCAGCACGAACATCACACACAACATCGCTATTTAGAATCGCGCAACCCACCATTCTTATCCTCAGCTCAGCGCTCACGTCCCCCTCCTCTTGCTCGACATTCCCCTGCCCAACTTTGTTTATCCTAACCCAAACCAAACAGCAATTCCAGCATCCATCCTCCAGCCCATAGAAATTACATTTGAGGATCGCGCAGGAGGCGGGTCCATTGCATGCCAGGTTGGGTAGGAGCGGAATGGCGCGATCTTGGCGCTTGGCGCTTGGCGGGCGGAGGGAGTGGGTGGGGAGAGCGATGTGCTCGGGGATTGGGGTGGGGTGGGGTGGATGGTGCAGTTCCTTGTCTTGTTTGCCTACACCTACCTATATGTAGGAGGAGTAACTCATCTGCGTAAGGTTACGAACCCATCTGTCTGGACACGCACACACATACACACACACACAACGTGACGGAATGTCGACCTACCTGCGTAGGACGGAGTAGGAGTAGGAGTAAGAGTAGGAGAGGCAGAGCCGCACAGCACCACCCACGCCGCCGCCCTAGCCGCTGCAGAGAATCCCTCGCGACAGAGCCGCACAGCCAGGTATTTGACAGAAGGAGGGAAGGGTCTAGACAACGAGGGCATCACACCACTGTGCAGAGCTACTGTGCAGACGCACTCCTTCTCGCTTTTCGTTCCGCTCCCGTCCGTCCTGCTAGCACGCAGTGGCTAGGGAAGGGGACGCAGCGTCGCGCGGTATCGGAGGCGCGAGTCGGGCGGCAAGAGCCGGGGCGCGCGACCTCGTGGCTAGGTGCCCCGTGGTTGTGTGTTGTGTGCGGCTATTGGCTGGGCACGCGTGTCTACCTACGTAGTACGTAGTAACTGCGGCTACGAGGAGGCATGGGAGGGTACGAGTAGACGCGAGTGGCCATCGGCATGACCGTTGGCGCCGGGAACAGGGGGCGCGAGACGATGGAAGCGGCGCAGGCCAGCCGAAAGGCTAAATGGCGAGAGCGGCGGGAGCGGCGCGCAGCGGAAGCAGGTTTGATTAATGGATTGGGAGGTTGGATTTTGGGATCATGGATGATGGTTGATGAGAAGAGGATGGGAGGATGGAGGAGGAGGAGGGATTGGTGCTAGCTGGTTTTGGGAGATTGTTATGATGGATGTTGTGTATAGTAGTAAGTAGTATTGTAGTTGCGGGAGAGGCTCGGACAGAGAAAGGGGGTGATAGTGAGACAGATGGCAATGGCGTTGGTTGGTACTCGTCCAAAGGTGGTCAAGACACATGCCGTCATGCAGTGGAGCGGCGGTTTACCTATGATGTGCGCGCGCGTATCGTCCCGCCTCTGTTTCGTCGCCGGCAGAATTGGGCCGACGCGCGCGAGATAGGCGAGCACGAGTCAGTAGCGCGAGGCAAAATTCATTTGGATCGTCGACCTTAACGCCGGCTTGGAACGACCTTCCACGTGTCTGGCGCGCTCCACAGTCCATTCTCTCTGTTACCTTTGTCGGCCATCTCTCTCTCATCACCAATGTATTGGGGTTTTCTGTGCTGGCGTCAGATCCTCCCTCAATTGACCTCGTTGACCTCGACCTCGGCCATCTGACGGCCTCAGCTCCCTGTCTCGCAGCCAAAGTCCGGGGCTTCCGCTACCTAAACTCCACTCCAATGAGGCGCGCACAGCACGACCATGTTCACAGGCCTCGAGAGTGGCCCTTGCAGGCCCGAATCCATGGGGCGCCGCCGACCCTCTCTCGCTTGCTTGCCCCCTTCAGGCAGCTGCTGGGAACAAAGTCCTGTCGTGCCAGCCTCGCGGGAATATCTTGCCTTTCGTCACCAGGGGGCTCAGCCTGGGCTAAAGCAGACTTTCTTTGCTTAATTTCTTTGCATGTGCATTGTCGTCGTCGCTCGTTGTCTCGTTCAGGCGCATTTCTGTCTCAGTCCTGTCAATCGTTCATTCATTGGCCATTCCCATAATCACCCGCACGTGGGCACGCGGATCTCTGTGGGCTGCGAGAGAGCACCGAGACGACTTGCACGCAGAATTGCCCCGTCTGGCCTAATAGCTGCAGACCCATCACGCCCCACTGTCCTGTAGGTGCCCCGTGGATCCCCCATAGTTGCCATCACATCCCGAAAACGGCTTCGAGCGTCGAGTCAGGCCTGGCGCCAGTCCTCTGCGTGCCCCAGCTCTCTCGGCATCAAGTTATTGATAAAGCACCGCCAGACCCTTTGGGCCCCACTCCTGGTGCTGCGTATGGAAGTCATCGTCGCCCGCCGCTCTCTTGCCGTTCAGTGTACGATCATCATTTCGCCTCGTGCCCCGCCTTAGTCCTCGAATCAGAGTCCACTCCGGATAACGGCCGCGGCACGCTGTCTTTTGGGCTCCGTTAACTGTCGCCCATCTACTCTCCGCGCTTTTAGGCGAGGTAGCTCTGGGCTGTGTTCCGTCATCTTTTGAACTCTCAACGACCACCGTAGCGACGCAACCCCGTCAACGGGCTCGGAAAGATGGCAAATGGCGACCCCACTCATGAAGAGATGCTCGTCGAGGGCATCGTCTTCTGGGTTATCGCGTTGCTCTTTATGGTCGGCAGGATGTCGGTTGCCCCCAACTTGATGCTTTGGGTCTAGCTAACGAAACGCAGATGGTCTCGCGCACTTACGACCGGCTCAATCAAACAAATGGCGTGTAAGTCTCTGTTTTTCTCTGCGCTCAATGGCACTGCTGACAAAAGTAGCGGATGATTATGTCATGATAGTGACATTTTTGTTCTACACAGCTTTGATAGTGCTGCTGCAGTTCAACGTCCGTTATGCTTCGAACTTGATGGATCCTGCGGATCTCCCCGAGGTTCTCAAGCACCCAGACCAGGTTCAGAGCCGAATCTTTGGCAGCAAGATCACTCTGGCGGTGGAGCAGTGCATGATTCACACGCAATGGGGAACGAAAGGTACGACGCGGCCTTGACGGCTGACACGAGCTCTTTTCTGACCTGACCCGCCGCAGCGTCCATTCTCATCCTCTACCACCGCATGACGCGGGGGCTTCGCGAGAACACCTTCAACAAGATCCTCGCGGGGTACATGGTCTTCGCCTACGTCTTTGTCCAAGTGACGTTTTTCGGAGTCTGGTGCCGGCCCTTTAACCAGTATTGGGCGCTGCCGCCCTCGAACGAGCAATGCGCGCATTACGGGCACTACTGCATCACGATGCTGGTCTTCAACGTATCCACAGACATACTAATGTTCTGCATCCCGATCCCCCTAATCCTGCGCGCGCAGATGAAGCCGCGCAAAAAAGCGCTGCTCGTGGCCGTCTTCAGCCTTGGCGTCTTCAACATCGTCGCCTCGGTCCTCAACAAAGTCTACAACTGGATCCTGCCGGGCTCCATCGTCTACATGATCTGGTACGTGCGCGAGAGCAGCACAGGCATCTACGTCGCCAACGCAACCTGCTGCTGGCCACTGCTACGGCGGATCCTAGGCCGGGCCTCGCGCGAGTGGACCGACTCCCACACACCGGGCGCGTATCCCCCCACGAGCGGGGAGGCGTACTACGGGGAGGGGAAGTCGAAGACGCGGTCGCGCCGCTCGCGCCACCTAGCCCACCACTCGACGCACCTCTCGGCCGGCGGGGCGGGCTTCAGCAAGCTGCGCTCGCTCGGCTCAAAGACCGTGCACTCGCTGCACAGCAGCGTGTCGCACAGCGCGTTTGCGGCGCCCCCGTCGCCGCCCTCGTCGCAGAACAAGCGCCTCACTAGCCCGAGCGAAGAGGCCTTCTACTGCGGCGCGCATACCACCTCCGGCGGCCCGCTCGAGGTCTGGCGCCACGTCGAGTATGACATCAACGTCTCGGAGGAGGGCCGCGCGCCCACGGCCTCGCCGCCGCCAATGGAGCTGCGCGATCTGGCTGGGCGCGAGATCGGCGGCAAGGACGCTGCCACCGGCCATGTGGCAGTGGTGGAGGTGGGGCGGGGCCAGGACGCCGCTGTCTCGAGGAGCAGTTCGTCGGGGAGCTCGAGCTCGGGCGGCAGAGGCGGGTTAAGGGCGTTTCGGAGCGTGAGGGATGTGGGGAAGAAGGGGGGAAGGGGGCGGAGTAGGGACAGGGATGGGGGTGGGGGCAGGGAGAGAGCGGCTACGGCTGAGGAGGATGAGGGCCGTGGTGGTGCCGCGAGGAGTGGTAGGAGTAGTCCGACGGTGGGGTGGGAGGTGTGTCAAGAGCGGAAGGCGGCGGATTGGCCGTAGTGCCTTGTTCCTGGTGGTTATGATGATGTTACGATACCCGCCCCATGTGAGATACCTATTTACCTATTTACTTGTCTGATTTACGCAGCGGTTGCTGCTTGGTTGGTTGGTTGGTTGCTTTTTTACTCGGATTGTGCTGGCTGCTCTCCCCTCTCCCCAGCCTCAACATAACCCTCCCACGTCCCAAAACAGCCCACAAGCAAAGCCCCAACCCACTCACCAACAACCCAAGCCACACGAACAGCCTTCCCCACCGCCAAGACCTCGTACCCACCAAGCACACTATGCAGCGGTAGGAACGTAGGCAGGCAGGCAGCCACTTACTCAGTCCGCAGTCGGCCAACCCAGCGCAGCGGAACCGAACGCAGGAACGAGCCGACCCGACCCGCGTTGTCGGGTACGGGGTACGTAGGGTTGTGAGTTTTTACGTACGGACGTACGCACGCAGAACCGCGACCAAACAGCCTGTCTGCAGATATGGCTACCTACCTCAGCAGGCACGGGCAGTGGGATGGGAAGGGTTGTGTGCGTGCGAGCGACAGGTTTACGTTTTTATAAGATATATTTGGAAAGCAGGGACAGGGGCGCTGCGTTATACCTTGGACGTGTCTACAAGCTCTGTGACTCTGCTTTGTTCTGACTCTGCATACGTCTATACTAACCATCCATAACCACCCACGCTACCCCAGCCAAAGCAAGCAAACTCCACCAAAACGCATTAAGGCCGGGGTACACGCCACAGCTAGAGCTAGAGCCAGGCCTTAATGCCACGACGCTTGTGCCCGTCCGCTTTACGAGACCCTACCCTACGCAGCGGGTGCCGGGCAGGCGTGCCAATGCCAGGCGCGGCGGGCGGAGGCGGCCGATGCCGACGCGGGCGGGACGCTTGGACCGTGGGTTTAGGTACCTACCTAGGAGGACGTACGTGGTGGCTTTGGCGTTGGCTTTCGCTTTGGCGTTGGACTTGGGGACGGCACCAACGGGCTGGGTTAGGTTAATCGGAAAGTGGAGGGTGGTGGTTGTGGTGGTGACGAGGTGCTGGGGAGGTGCTGGTCCGTGCATTACTAGGTACATATTGTACACAGGCAGGCACGTGACCTTGTCTGCTTTCTTTCCTCTACCTAGGTAGCCATCCCCGGTCTAACCAGGTAACCAGCCAACAAAAGAATAGAGACGCGATTCGTCATTGCCCCTGTTGTAGGTAGCTAGGAATGCTGCATCGATGGCCCGTACAGAAGGCTGGGCACTGGAGTGGGCTTTGCTAAGGGAGTTATTTGAGATAGCTGCGCGGATATGAAGTCGAATGAGGGTGGAATGGTTCGTTGGTTGACTTGATCTGTTGCGTGGGGGTTGGATTGGTGGGATGGTTTTACCTAACGGGTTGGGGGTGGGCTTGGGGTGCTTTAGGCATTTCGTGGGTGGTTTGGTGTTGCTGCTGTGGTGTATGGTGTGGTTTGTGAGAGCTTGGTTTGATAGCTAAATGTCGTGGATAAATAAAATAAGGTGTGTCCCTGTGGTTAGAGCTTACATATGGCATGGCCGGCTAGCAATTGATATTTCGCAGCTTGATAGAACAGACTGGTGACGGTCAATGGATGGGTTGCTCAAAAAATCAAAGCACCATCCAATTGGCACGAAATGGGAGCAAACATGGAACGCAGTGTCCAGCAGAAAGTGTGCAAGGAAGGAAATGCATGGGGATACCAGTTCCTGTCGTGGAATTCAAACTCAATCACTACTTTCAGCATCACCATCACCAAGTTCTTCGAACGATCATTCTCGCATGGGCAGCAGGACTCGCCCGGCCCAACCCTCTGCAGACGCTAATATGTACACAAGCGTACGCGCGCCGGACCCTGCACACACGCTCTCTCTCTGGCCATCTAGTCCGACACCTCCCTGGGGGTGATGGCAAACGTCGGGCGCACGAACCTGCAGCAACCACCTAGCGTTAGCAAAAAAGACAATGTGATGGACAACGCCCACGCGGCAGGACCAACGCACCTGTCGCTGTTGTAGACCTTGGTCTCGCTGCCAAGCAGCTCCTTCTCGCGGGCCTGGTTAGCGAGATGCCTGCGCACGAGATCGCGGTCCTCCTCGGCCGTCAGCAACGGGATCAGGTGGATGCGCGACCACATTTTCTCGCGGGCGAGCTCGCTGCACACACAAACACACACATATACGTCAGCCCAAGAACCGCAAAAACACCCGCAAAAACGGGCAATTGCACGCCCAATGGCGCAACGCGCACTACTACTACTCACTTGTGCTCCCTGATGCCCTTGCCCAGCTTGTAGAAGCCGTACGTCATCAGCAGCCCAATGCCCGCCACGTACACCGATGGCCGGAAGCCGCGCGCCGGCAGGTTGCGGCGGTACTGGACGGGCTCGTAGCCCCCGGTGGGCGGCATATCCTGGGGCATGGTTGCGGCGGAGGAGGAGGAGCGGCGCGGGGGCGCGGCTGCGACAGATTACGGGGGATGGGGAGAAACGGGCGGCTTCGGCGCCTGTGGGGTGCGGATTGCGCTGGTGGTGGTGGTGGTGGTGGTGGTTGGGCGTGCGTGTGCCGGTGATGTTGTGTCGCGTCAATTAGCTGTACGCTGAATGGGCCGATGGTGGACGTCGCCCGGCCGGCAAACCAGGGCTTGGCTCTAGCGCGGGTGCTCGGCGCGCGCTTCGCCGATGGTGTTGTGGTGCGAGATTTCTTGCCCGTCCCCCCCTCCGCGCTCTTGCTGCGCGCTTTGCACGACATTGCAGCCATGGCCGACGAGCAGAGACCTAGCAAGATGCAGAAGCGCGAGCATAGCCCCCAGCTCCAGGAGGCGTCGTTTGCGCCCTCTGAGGCTGCCGGCACCGCCAATGCCCCGCCAAACGGCGATCAGCAACAACAACAACAGCCCTCCACTGCGGCCAACACCAGCACGACGACCACGGCCGAAGCAGACGACGACAACGACGTGAATGCGCAGCCCGCCGCCGCTGCCGCTGCCGCCGACGCCAGCCCCGCAAACCCCACCAATATGAAGCTGGACGAGAGCGGGAAGCCCATGTCCAAGTCGGCGATGAAGAAGCTGCGACGGCAACAAGAGTGGGAAGCCGGGCGCGAGGAGCGCAAGGTGCAGCGGCGCGAGAAGGCCAAAGCCGCGCGCACGCGCAAGCGCGAAGAGTACCAAGCCGCGCGGGCAGCGAACCCGAACGAGGCGGGCGCAAACCCGCTGCCCACGCAGCGGCAGCGCGAGAAGGCCGAGCGCACGCGCAACCAGCGCGCCAAGCAGCTGCCCGTCACCTTCATCTTCGACTGCAGCTTCGACGACCTCATGATGGACAAGGAGATGAAGAGCTTGGGCAGCCAGATCACCCGCTGCTACTCTGACAATAGGAACGCAGAGTTCCGCGCTCATCTCGCTATCAGCAGTTTTGGTGGGAAGCTGAAGGACCGCTTTGATGGTCTGCTCAATAAACACTATCTAAACTGGAAGGGCTTCCGCGTGTTTGAGGAGGACTTTATGGACGTGGCGGAGAAGGCAAAGGTGTGGATGAGGGAGCCGCGGGGAGGGGAGATTGCGGGGGCTCTGGCAGTGTGTGCGAAGAAGCGGGAGGCTGGACAGGATACTGCCATGGGGGGCACGGAAGAGAAGGAGCAGCAGCAGCAGTCGACGGAACAGCAGGTGGAGCAGCAGGCAGAGCAGCCCGCGGAGCAACAGCCGGCAGAGCAGCAGCAGCAGCAGCAGCCGGCCGAGCAAGAGGGCGAGGTCATCTATCTCTCGTCCGAAGGCACCGAGACGCTCACGGAGCTCAAGCCCTACAGCACGTACATTGTCGGCGGGCTGGTGGACAAGAACCGCTACAAGGGCATCTGCCACAAGCGGGCGACGGAGCGCGGGGTCAAGACGGCCAAGCTGCCAATTGGCGAGTTCCTGCAGATGAACAGCCGGGCGGTGCTGGCGACGAACCACGTCAACGAGATCATGGTGGAGTGGCTCAAGTGCGGCGACTGGGGCGAGGCGTTCATGAAGGTGATTCCGAAGCGCAAGGGCGGTCAGCTGAGAAGTACGGGGGAGGAAGAGGAGGCAGCGGAAGGGGAGGAGGAAGAAGAGGGCTCGGCCGAGACGGTGGAGGACAAGGGTAAGCCATAAGATATCAGATGATAGAGTTGACACGATCATTGCCACATGTGAAGACGCTGGAGCCACATTCCGGGGAAGCGCGCGCCCGCCTTGGCAATGATGAAACCTGGTCTGACGACGCCTTTGCCAGCGTTCAACAATACCGCCTTTCTCTCCCCTCCCGCCCAAGACTCGATTTCTCTTCGCGCCACACGACTATTGAAACATCATCCCACCCAATTGCACCCCCGCGGACCCGCAATCCCCGCACATGGCAGCGCACAACCCCCGCCCGTCGCACGCGCGCTCGTCGACCACGGGCTCCAACTCGACCGCCTCCTTCTTCACGTACCCGGTATCGAAAACCGTGACAGGGCTCCTGCGGCGCATGTCGACGGAGCCGACGAGCAACGCGGCCAAAAACGGCGGAGGAGGAGGAGGAGGAGGGAGGAACGGCGGGGCGCGCCCAACGAGCATGATCCAGCCCAACGTGTCGGGCGTCGAGGGCGTGTACACGCCGCCGCGGCGGCACGCGTCGTCGCCGTTCCAGCCGCCGCCGCTGTCGCCGCTGCTGCTCTCCGGCTGGAAGGACAGCACCCCGCCCGACTGTCGCCTGTTGACGCGCCAGCTGGCCGAGGAGATCCGCCTCCTCATCCCGGCCCGCCTGCAGCTGTGCGAGGACTGGTCCCTCGCGTATAGTCTCGAGCAGGACGGCGTCAGCTTGGCTACCCTGTATAAGAAGTGCGAGGACTTGAGGGGGAGGCGCGGCGGCTACGTGCTTGTCGTCAAGGACGAGGGTGGCGGAGTAAGTCGCAACCACTGCACCCCACACACACCCACACACACACACTATCGCCTTACCTGCCTAGGTATTAGCACAGCAAAACACAGCTGACCCTCTCCCTCCCCACAGATCTTCGGGGCCTACCTCTCCGACCCCCCGCACCCAGACCCGCACTTCTACGGCACAGGCGAGTGCTTTCTGTGGCGCGCGCACGTCCTCCCCGGCCTCCCTCCGCTGAGTTCCCTCCCGCCGCCGCCGTCGGAGGATACGACGCACGCGCAGCGCATGACGAGCATCTCGCAGCCGAAGCAGCATCTCAGCCCGCCGGCGAGCGGCGCCCCCAGCGGCGCAAGCACGCCCGAGCGCATCCGCTTTAAGGCGTTTCCCTATAGCGGCGTGAATGACTATATGATTTTTTGTGAGCAGGGATATTTGAGTGTTGGCGGCGGGTGAGTGTGCTTGTTCATCATCATCATCTTCTTCTTCTTCTTCTTGTTCTTCTTCTTCTTTTCCTTCTTTTCCTTCTTCTTCCTCTTTCCCCGCGCATACGTCTGTTTTTGTCACAGACAGGCTAGCTAACGCGTCCGCAGCGACGGCCACTACGGCCTCTGGCTCGACGACAACCTCGAGGAAGGCGTGTCGAGCGCGTGCCCCACGTTCGGGAACGAGCCGCTCAGCGACGAGGGCACCAAGTTCGACGTCTTGGGCGTCGAGCTCTGGTACATTGGCGTGTAGGGATGGAGCTCTGGGGCCACGACCTGCGCTGAGCTGATGAAAAAGAAGAAAATGATGGACACGCGCACGCACGCACGCACGCACGCGCCGCGTGCGGTGCTGTGTTGTGTGTGCCCGTATGAGAGAGAGCGAGATATGACAAGGCGACTTAATACCCCAACCACGAAGACAATGCCAGCTAGGCAGGTAGATGGATGAATGGATGGACGCATTGCCATCTACCACTACTTCTTCAGGTTTTTCATTCACTTTTCCTTTACTTTTACGTTTACTTTATACGTCCACATTACTTAATCAAGCGCTGCAGTGCACAAAGCGGGAGGAAAGCCCGTTGGTTGTGGTTTTTTTTATAAGCGAGCAAACAAACACGGAAGTACGCACGCAGGCAGAGCATCTAGGGCGTCGGGCGGGCGTGAAGATGATGGGTATAACAACTTTGCGGCGGCGTTTCGGTGGGATTGAGGGTTCTGGCTATCGTAGCTGGTCGTTTCGTTTTGGCACGGCACGGCACGGGTCGAAGCGGGGCGGGATACCAATGGAAGCAGATGGATGGACGTGTAGGCGGGTGCCTAGGTAGGGGCGCTAGGTTGTAATGTGCTCGAATGGTATCTATCCCGCTTCTTCTTCTCCTTTCCTTTTCCCTTCCCTTATTCTTCTTTCTCTTCATCCATCGCCTTGTTTTTCGCCGCTGCTTTGCTGGCCTTATCCAGTTTGCTGTGTGTGCTTGAAGGAAAGAAGAGCCAGGACGCGAAACCGGGTCGCTGGGTTTACGCGCAGTGCTGCCTGGGTTGCGTTTACTCTAGGCGGGCAGGGCAGGGCAGTGAGGGTGCTGGTTGGTAGTTGGTAGGCATCCAGCCAGACGGGCGAGCAGGCAGTTACAGAATGCTCTACATATGTACAAAAACAATCAGGGCACGCCAGCCTACATACAGACAGACAGCAAACGCAGGCGCGCGGAGCAAGCAACGGCGCCCGGGCTCTGTACATACATACGCGTGGAGGCAGCGCCGCGACGTTAGCTTACGACCTACACAGAAGCCCCGGCGTGTCTCTAGATGGCCGGGTTTCAGTCGATGCGCCTGCACCCTGTAGGTGACGGGTAGCTACGGCA